TGTGAACAACATGCGATTCTCTATCACCAAAGAGGGTGTACGCTGGAATGAGAACGTATAGTTCAGTGAGCAGCGCAAAGAGTGACGGTAGAAGGATGATGGCAACCTGGGCCATGTAGAGAAGCCGAGCAGCATGCATCACGAGTCCCAGACTGGCTTGAGCTGCTTGGCGAGGAGAACGAAGGTGTGTCCCCGAATTCTCTCGCACGAATTGAAGTGCGGTGCTGGAGTAGTACGCCAGGTAGGCAAGCACGCCGACCACACAAAGACCACTTGAAAAGGCGTAGACGTCGTTCACCGGAGCCGGAGTAGAGGAGTAGGACCCGATGATCTTCCGACCAATTACCAAGGGAATAATAGTGCTGCCTACCCCGGTGGTAGCGGCAAACAGCCAGATTAGAAGAATAAAGGCAGCAATCCGAGTCCGGAAGGAGGGAGGGATGTAGACTTTGGTGAACATGTTGTTGGATCGGCCATGTAGCCCATCGGCAGGATCGGGCCTTCCATCAACACGTTCATTGTCCTCGGCGACCTCAAGGAAAACGTGGTTGCCTTTGGGAATGCGGACCTGATCAGACCCAGGGGCGCGCACGTATCGGCCATCGCGCAGGAAGTAGACGTCACGGTTTTCCCGCTCAGCTGCAGCCTGCTGATCATCTCCAACTACTGGGTTTTCCCAGTCACCCTCGCTTCTAGACAGAATACCCCACCAGGTCTTCCGCACGTGGTAGCCTTCTTCCTCTAGGTGTCGTTCTGGGAAGAAAAAGTTGCTGAGACGTAAGAAATGAGCACACTTGTGGAACCACCAGTCATATAAATCATGCAAACCATCTGAAGGTTTGAACGATTGAATGACTACAGGCAAAACGAAGTTGTAAAATAGGAGATCAACCGGGAACTCGAGCATTGGGGCACTGGCCGACCAGTGAATCGGGAGAACACCATCGAGGGCAAAGTGCAAGCCCCAAACAACACCTCCTAGACAAACGATCACGAGCGCACCGTATACAAGGGCACTGAAACCGATCTTACGGAGCTGGGTAGTGATGCTACGTTCGAGAACATCACGTATTGGGTGGAAGGTTGGATCATCCGGGTCACGAATAAAGTCTAGAGTCAAGTAGTTAGCAACCCGATCAAGGTCTGGCAAATCGATAACACCACTTACAAAGCACACCGCTTCTCAAAATCTTTCTGCACATGGAAACAAATAGGGCAAAGTGGAACATGTAACAAGTGCCAACAAACCAGTGCACGAAAAGTGAAGTGAGCGGGGATGCAGCAGTAAAAGCGATACGAGAGGCCACTGTAGCGTCGGAGAAGAGCGGAAGTAAAGCAAGATCAAGAAGACTGCCACAATACAAAGGGAAGACAATCATCTCAATCCCGATAATGAGGATGACCTTCATAACTCCTCCGGCTTGTATTAGGATCTCAGCAAGGAGGCCCTCGATCCTTTGTCCCCGGTTGGCACCAGAAAGCAGCCCCGTAATTCGTAGATAGAGAAGCCCTATCATGGACGCAAGCAAATAGCCCATGAAGATAGCGATGACACGATCCTTGGAATCCCAGACTGCCAGGTCATAATCGACCGGCACTGTGGCAGAGGCTGCTTTTGCTGCACTGGCGTTCATAAATCTTGTCCCAGGCATCGAGAAAAGCGATGATTTAGCGAAGGTGGTCAGTTGTTGTTGGGCTTGACCAATGAAGTTCTTGAAATAGGAAAAGTCCAAGTCCAAAGAAAGGGCACCGGGAACACCAAGTGTCACAAGCCGAATTGGGAAATCGTGCAGGATGAATTTGACAGTGGCAAGGACCGATTGGAAGACAGCACCGAGGCGAGCCTGGTGTAATTTAAGCGCCTGGTGCGAGAGTACTGAGAACATGGGAATATCAGATTCATGGAAGACCAGGAATGCTTTGATGACTTTGTTTAAGCGGTGACTGCTTGCGTCAATGAGGGAAAGCGATGCACTAGTGACTGACTTGTCCCGGGAAATCCATTCTCCAATAGGCAAAACAGCACTGAACGGGCTCAGTACGATCTTGAAAACAAGGCTGAACCAGTACATCAGATATCCCACGACACCAATGAGAGTATCAAGAGCGATGTCTGCGGCGACTTCAACCGCGGTGATAGGAACACCGATGACGAGTTCGAGAGGGTTGGCCAACAAAACAATAGCAATTTTACCCCATAGGTACGGGAGCCAAATACCGATGGCTACTGTGAACGCAATCAGCAGGGCACAGAAGACGCCGTTCTGAAAAAGCCCGAAAATGGGACCATGCATGCCAATGAGGTCCATGATCCCTTCGAAATCGTCCCCTTCGATTGCATCGATGTCATTAGGGTCCAGCCCAGCATCCGCAGCGGCAGCAGCATCAGCACCAGCTTGGGCGTTTTCCATCCGATTCGGCAAGGGCACGAAGGGGTCTTCCAAAGCCGGATCCTGAACAATATGCTCGTCATCTTCGGGAACTGGTTCTTCTGTATCGCGCTCTGCGGGTGTGATGTCTCCCCAAAACCATTCGAACACCCGATCCGTGAAGCCCAGTGGAGGCCGATCAGCCGCTTGTGCATTAGCGACAGGAATTGCATTGTCTCTATTCGGTGGCCCGCGATCCGAGTTCTGGGCAGAAGGTCCGGCATCCGCATCCAGCGGGTGATCATCAACATCTCCATCTTCAAGATCAACAGCATCGGCGCCGTCTGGGACTTCTTGATTGTCCGGATCGTGGGGACGGGTAGAAGGCCCTGCTGACGAATCTCGGTTTATGGTCGCTCCGGTGATAGCATTCACAATCCAGTCCAGATCATCCCCGTGAGCCTCCTCACGGAGAATGCGCAGCATTTCTTCATGGTTACCATGAGTCCGGGCCACTAGGTCTCGGAAAGCCAGAGCACGAGCCGTAGGAGGAGGGCCTTCTGCTTCATATTCCGGGTCGTTCCCATTGTAGCCTCGCAGCTCCGCTTCAAACCCAGGGAGACCGTACTCAGAATCATTCGAGGACGGAGCTGGGGAGTGGGGAGCAAAATGAGGAAGTATGTCATTGTCCAACTCGTGGGCTTCAGCGCGTTCATCGCCGACCTCATTTTCCAGGCGAGCGGGATTGGGCTCTGGTTGTCTAAGGCCACCTTCTTCATTGAATCGATCATTTATGCGATTGTTGGCATTTGCAATCAACTGAAGAGCAGCCTCACGTTCTCCTTCTGCGATGTTAACCATTGGTTGCTGTTGAACAACCCATTCTCGAATCAGGAAAAGCAGAATAAACGCAACGACCACAAGAAGGGTGATTAGCTGTCCTTCCAATGTATCCATGATCATGTTGTTGATTGTTGGATAAGGTGTCAACGAGTTCAGGAACTTCACATCCGAAAGCCATGATGGATACCGAGGTTTGGTTGAGCTAATTGTGACATTGTTTTGTCCGTTTTGCCCGACAGTTGAGGTAAATGCGGGCATGAACAGGTTAGGGATCACCTTTTTGATGAGGGTGAGCATGAGCGGCTCGCCAGCTGTGAGATTGAGAATCGACGATCCTGCAGATGGTACAGCAGTTGTAGATGAGATAGCAGCATCAGAAATGGTAGAAGTAATCGAGTCAGCTACTGCGGCATTTACAGCACTCCCGTTTGAAAACAGTTGCCCAAGACCCTCTTGGGCGGTTTGGGCGGCCTGGTTCCGAACGTTTTCATTGGCAGACCAGCGGCCATCAGCAAGCCAAAACAGTGCCCTCCATATTGCGCGCATAGACCACGGTAGCCATCCCAGCCAGACAAATGCAACAAGAACAAATCTCAGCCATGTAACTAGAGTCCTGAAGCATTGAATCAGGGCTTGCTTCGCGAACAGAGGTGCGGGTAGGCTCTGGGGCATGTTTGGATCGTATAGTTTTGTAAATCGGAACGGCGTTTTGCACAGCTCGCAGTGTTTCTTCTGTGAGTGTGATAACCATTCGACGAGACATATTTGGTGGACGAATTTAATACTACCGCTGCACTTGCACGGGTAAAACAGCGGTTCCTCTTCCGTTGCCTCGCCATGACATATCCGACAGGTATCTAGGTCGTCAAATCCCTTTTCCCTTTCGTCATAAGCCGGGTCGTTCATTAGATCGGGGAATGCAGTGTTATCCGCATTGTGGCGGAATTGGTTGTCCGCAGGCTCCATAATTCGTGAATCTCGCCGAGTTGACGGTGGTAGTTGATCAGATATTCACCATATTCCTAATCAAGCGGGAATGGGAAAAGTTGTAAACATGCGGAAGGCTTGTGTTGGTGGGCAATCTGAGTTGAGCTGAAGAAAATGATTAGTGAGGACAAGGTTTACACGCATTTCATAGGAATATTGTACCTCACAAGCGTAAGCTGTAGATCATTAGTTGCTTGATTGTAACAAAGCAATTCAGCCCAGGTAGCTGCCCCGGGCCATCCAATTCGCTGACTCAGCGGTGTGCGCTGGCAGTACGTTAAATACAGTATTACCTGCTTGTCAAGGTGATGATAGTGGGGTATTGTCGTATCTGCAGTACGGGTAGCCACCGATGACCTCACTGAGCTCTAAAAAAACAAATCCTTGATTATTGTGACATATGCGATCGCCTTATCCCATAAATGTAATAGAATTGCGCCTTTTCTTCCTCATCAGACCTAAACCGATGCGTTCGACCTTTTCTTCCTCAGAACCAACAATTTTCGAAATTGACCCAGCCTAGGTATCTGCCCGCGGCCCGTGAAAGTTGCTAGCGCCAAGACCGACGCGAGCATTCCGCCTACAGCAGCTAATTTGCTTTGATTCATTCAGTCTCGAGCTCCAACATCGAAACCCCACATATTCAACTTGGCTGTGGGCTTCTTTCCGATGCAGCGATAATCTTCTACTGAGCCGACTCAATCTAAGTGTGTGTAAGGGAAGTCCTCCGCAAATTACGGCGGCCGACCTCGAATCTCACAAGGAAATCGCGTGACCTCGACAGGGTCAGCCTCAGTTGCGATGGTAGTGAAAGAGAATGGCCAAGTGACGGATGTCACGGTCAAAGCAAATGGTCGAACGGATCTTAAAAAGCCACGGAAGAAGGGCTTCGTGCGATGGACAGTCGGACTTGTCGTGAGGTGAGTGATGGTATCGCCATGCTTGTATATAGTGAAAATCTTCCTCTAACCTCTTCTCTTCCAGGCTGTGTATATGGTATGCGCTCGTGACACCGTTCCTCAGATGCCCCTCCCGCCTTGCAGACCTCACAGAGACATCGCCTCGAGTTTGCAAGCCTTACCTGATTGCTCGTTCGCACGTGGAACCTTATGTGACGCCATATTATGATATTTATGCAGCGCCTTACATTGATCAAGCCCGGCCATATGTTGATCAAGCCCGTCCATACGTTGAAGTGTTTAATCAACGAGTTTATACCCCAGCATCGAAAGTTGCCAAATCAGGATATGAAAAGTACGGAGCGCCGGCATTGAAGCAAGCTCAGGCATATGGGATTGAGCAATGGCAACGTCAAGTCACACCAAGACTACAAACTGCTCAGAATAAGGTGCACCAACTTTACTTGGCCGAGGTTGATCCCTATGTCGAGCAAAGCGTTGCTTTCGTCTCTCCATACTATCAATCGGCCAACGCCGTTGTGCTCAATGTCATTCAGGGCCATCTAGTACCTTTCTACGCGCGTTCCAGACCTTTTATCGGGAAGGCTTACTCCACGAGCCAGGGCATTTTGACAACCCATGTCTTACCCGGGGTGCAGTACACCTGGTCATCCGCGGTCTACTTTGCTAACAGCTCGCTATGGCCTCATGTTACTGGTCTTTATTCTGAGCAAGTGGAACCCCAGCTGGTCAAGATTGGCCAGCGGTTGGTAAGCTACAGAGAGGGCAAGCGACTTCGCGCTGTCATAGAGGACTTGGATAGGTACTATAGCCCCCTGATTTCTCTATTCCATGGCATGCTAACCATATCATTAGCAGCTCAACAGTCCAGTCTGTTACCTCCCTGATCACCAAGTCACAGGAGCAAATTCACACCACGACCACTGTGACTTCAACTTCCACGCCCCAGGCTTCTGCCCAACCTACTCTTACTCCTACCGAGCAAGCGCAGCAAGTCCGCGAGAAGATAGATTCGGACCTTGAGCGGTGGCAGGGGAAGTTTGTCATCGCAGCTGATAAAGGTATTGAAGACCTTGAGGAACGTATTGTGGAGATCGTCTCGGCCCTAGTTGCAAGCAGCGCGAACAGCCACGGCCAGAGCCTTTCTACCGCGCTTCAGTCCGTTTCAGCTGAGCAGCTTTCCTCTATCAAGCAACGTATCAACGAACTTGCAGATTCAATGCCAGAGGAAGACGCCCCGGAAATCGAGAAGTCTACTAGCGACTTGCTGATTCGGGAAATCCGGACTTCTGCTATCTCTGTGAGAGATCGCGCCCATGCACTCCGAGAGTGGTCTATCTCGTTCGAGGATGAACTTGTTCGCCGAGTCACTGCTGCTATCAATTCAACACTCGATGTTCTCGACAGCATTCGTGATCTAGGCTTGCAAGAAATTGGCATGCGCTGGGCCTGGATGGATGGTGTCACATACAAGGATTGGGCAAAGTACCATGTGCTCAAGACTCAACTCGAGGAATGGCGCAACGAGATCCGAAATGTTGGCATGAACCACAAATCCGTATCTGGCGCCAGAGCTGTGGCGAGTGACATCTTAGACCAGGGCATGCATGAAGCTGAGCAAGCTGCCAAGGAACTTGTCCGGTTGAAGGATGTTGGGATCTGGAAGATCGCTGCCCGTGAAGTAAGCGATAATTTCCAAACCCGCACCGAAGCCCCGCCAGCGCGGCCCAAGCCCCAGGAGACTGAGGAATCTGACGAGGAGCCCGCCAAGGTGGATTCTAATAACGATGAGTCCTCTGAAGAGGTAGCAGCGCCAATTTCGGACGACGATTACGAGGAAATTTCCTCCACCGATGAACCTTCCACGGCTGTCGATGCTGAGGCGGATTTTGATGTCGCTAATGAGTCTGTTATGGGCGATGATATTTTGGTGGAAGAGCAGCCTTCCGCAAGACCCGCCTTTGGTGTTGCGGCTGCCGATGCAAATGCGCATCAAGCGCCTATCCTAGATGACGAGGGCCACGATGTCCTGGACAGTCTGGCGAGCAAGGCCGGCGATACTTACGCCGAGGCGAGCAATGCTGTCAGCGAAGCTATCCATGATACTCCTCTGAGCCCCGCGGAGAAGATCTCCAGTGACGCCTCTCAAAAATATAGCGATGCAGTAGCCGCGTAAGTAGTATAGCATATCCAGCGTGTCTTGAGATTATATACAAAATCGAATTATCGCTAATGCGAATTTCCGCTACAGTGCGTCATCGGTCATCTATGGCACCCCGACACCAGTTGTCGAATCTTTGATGGGCGGAGCCAGCTCAGTATTTGCCGATTCCACAGATCAGGCTAAAGTACTCTATGAGATTGCGAAGTCTCAAGTTCTGGGCCAAATGTCTGAATCTAAGGCTCCTGCTCATGCCCAACTCCTAGCTTCCATAGAGTCGGCCTATTCTGGGTCTCTTAAATATGCCACAGATGAGCTGGAGTCCAAACTTCGTGCTACCCCAACGCCGTCCAACACCGGACCTCTGGCCCAAATTTCATCCATCGCCTCGTCCCGACTAAACCAGGGACTCAGTTTAGCATCCGAACAATTAGCACAAGTGCAGCCACCAGTGACAACAGCCAGTCTTCCTCGGGGAGTTCTCGACCCATTCGTCCTTGATGCGCAGCGTCGCTACTACGAGGCAGTCGGGTTAGCCCACCACCACTACTCTGCTTTTGTCTCTACGGCATCTGGGGCCGTCTATGGTTCTCCAACTCCCACCCCAGCTGGAAGCTTCAAGGGAATCATTGAGGAAGCTGGATCTCAATACGAGCAAGCCTCCTCGTTGGCTTCTGCTAGCCTTGCCGCTGTCGTCGCATCGGCAAGCTCAGTCATCTCTTCCGCGGATGGCGGCAAAGCACAAAGTATCATTGGTGATGCTTCATCCAGATACAACGCTGCGCTCTCTGTCGCTTCCTCCTCTCTCTCTGCAGCTTCCATTTCGGCCAGCTCAGCCGTCTATGGAACTTCCACGGGCCCTGTAGAGTCCCTTTCCAGTCAAGCATCTGAAAACTGGGATAATCTCATTTCCAAAGCCAGCGAACAGATCTACGGTACACCAACGCCGTATTTGCAGCAAGTGGTGAACAACGGGCGTCCGCAATTTGAGGCAGTCCAAGAGCTCATATCTGAACTGATTGTGGGCAAGCAGCCTTCATTTACCGAGAGCGTGCTGAGCAAGCTGCACGCTGCATACGAGACGCCTTATCCAGCTGCCGCTGTGTCCTCTGCCTCTAGCTACATCAATCAGGCTTATGGATCTGCATCCTCTGCCGCTGCTTCTATCGCTTCAGAAGCCCCAAGTGTAGAAGACATTGTGCAACACGCGAATGACCAACTCCATGCTGCTGTTGAAGCCGCTAGTGTTGGTATCTACGGGACTCCCAAGGGTTCCTACGAAAAAGCCACCGATGCCGCAGCCGATACCTACTCAACAGCTTCTGCTCAAATCAGTAGCGCGGTTTACGGCAAGGAATCTGGTTATATAGATATCGCCAAGGATGCCATTGAAAACATTCAATCCACAGCCAGCGCTGCTATCTACAGCGAGGAACCCAACGCAATGAATAGCGCAACTATCCGTCTCGCTGGAGCCGTTGAAAGCGCCAGGTCTCAGATTGCTGATCTAGCCGCCAGCGCTAGCAGTGTTGCGTCTGAGGCAGTCGAGACCGCCGCATCCCACATTGAAGATACAACAAGCAGCATTAAGAGTGCTGCAGCTTCAGTCAAAGATGAACTCTGATCAATTTTAATCCCGCATGTACCATCTCTTTTTTCTTTCTTTTTCCTCTTTTGATTCGGACTCAATCGTTTTGCTCCGAGCAAAAGCCATGCCTTGGGAATGCCATGCATGCGTGGCTCACGACGCATTATTCCCCATATAGTTTGTCACGATGGCCATATGCTCATGATCTGCAACATGCACAGTCTCACTTTGTTTTTTCGGCTTCTATCCCCTCATTTTGCGTTCCTCTCTGATCACTTCCTGGTTGAAATACGAGGCTTCTTTTGAGGTGATGTATGTTCGGTACATAATGAATGAATGTATTACTTGACTATTTTCTTGATTCCTTACTTGAGCAGTTGATATCTGTAGCTATCACCCACGGTGTGCATCGTGCCAAACAGGCTACTGAGGATAAAACAAATAGGTCACTTATCAGCAGGGATATAGATGAGCGGGCGAAATTGCCTCCGCCTAAGCACTGTTTACTCGATGCGTTGAGAGAGTAGTAAAGTCATCGTCCTATATAAAGTGACACCTGAGCAGCCTACTTGGGTCGAGGGTAGCAGAAAGGTTCTTCCATGCTCCAATATATAGAACGAAAGATGCACCCGAGATAACAACCAGAAGAGATAACAATGATTTGGGAGCTCCCATTTTACATCAACTCATTTTGTACATGGCTTCCACACTCCATCAAGATCACCTATACTTCACGGTGGAGCCCCTCTTCTCCTTCTTCAACTGCGTCTTGCTCTTTGGGGCATCGGCCTCTTGGCCGGCATCACCGCCACCCATTCCAGCAAATCCCTTCTTCACACCCATTATCGTGGTGTAGGCAGCGTACACGGAGTACAACGGGATCACGGCCCACAACCACCAGGCCCGGTCATTGAAGAGGCAGGCAGCGACAATGCATCCCTGGGTCCAGTAAAGCACATCCCACATATACTCCGTGAGGCCAGTCGCGTTGAGATCATCACCGGCGGAGCGCAGCGAACCATCTTCATTATAACGGGGCCGGCCCATTCGGTCCAAGTAGTATTCAATGGCAAGGGTTGGAACAGCCAGGAAGAAGTATGGCTTCAGTGAACGAGGCCGCTGGAAAACAAAGTGCAGCACCAGAAAGAGCAGGTGCAAAGCAGCAGAGATGAGGTGAGTACGGCTGAGGACGGCACCATTGCGGGTCGCCAGAGATTTGGTAGCTTTCTGTGATACAGTCAGAGAAGTTGCCACAAAATGATCAAAGCTAATTTGAAGCTTAGTCGCAGCAAGAAAGCGCTTTCACTACATACCTTGGCCATGATTGAATGCGATCACCAAGTGATCTGCAATCTGATGCTGAAGATGATCCTTTCCAAATTGAAGATACCCCCAGATAAATTGAACCAAGCTTTTCCCCTTTCAAATGGCAAGCAAACGACCAAAATTCGAGACTGAGCGAAGAAAGAAGAAGAAGAGAGGGGACCTGCATATGACAGCTATAGCACATTGGGTGATTGTTGCCCTCCACTACCCTCACCGCCCGACAAAAACGGCAGAAATGACAAAGGCCGCTTCAGACCAAAATAACAGAAAGAACGGCCAAAGTTCATCCCATCTTTGAGCACATCTTGCAGTTCTCCGCTTCTTTGGATATGTTCCTGGCACTCTGAAAGACTCCTCCTGCGTCCGCAGATGACGTAACCAGAGGAATCCCTTTTCACTTCTTCCTATACTCCATCCGCTTACCATTTCCGGCTTGGGTTTACATTCCTCATTGTTCCACACCTGCATCCGAGAGCAGTCGATAGCTCCTGCATCTAGACAAATTCAACCAAGACATCGGACTTGCTGCTGTCCATGTCTTGCGGCTGTTGATGGGACCATCCTCCCGCGCTGCAACAACCCACTCGATCGCGTCGTTGTTTCCTCCCCGCGTCTTGGAGGACATTACAAAGGCGCCGGACATTGATGTTACAGTAACGCTGAGGAGCCGAATCTGTCAATCGCATTAGTATCTCAACTTTCAATAATCACTACATAATCCTCGCCTTTCGTTGCGCCGTCGCATACCGTCTTGCCGACCCCTCACCATGGCCTTGTCCACCGGGCATGTTGCCAGTCAGCTAAGGCACCTCATCTATTACCAACTCGACAATAACCTAATCCGCAATGCGCTCTTCCTCGCTTCACGCCTCCTCGCCTATGAACCGCGATCCTTTGAGGCCCAATATTTACTCGCTCTTTGCCATCTACACAACGGAGAAGTGAAGGCGGCGTTCGAATGTAGCCAGGCTTCGGGCTCGCGCGGTCTGCATGCCGGTTGCGCATATGTCTTTGCTCAAACTTGCTTGGACTTGGGGAAATACTTGGATGGTGTTACGGCTTTGGAGCGCAGCAAACCGCTCTGGGCCTCGAAGAACCACTGGAGTAAGCGCCGGCAAACTCCTCCTTCAACTTTGAGCTCACGGGCTAACCACATTACAGACAAGCATAGTGAAACTCAGCGACAGCACCTGCCTGATGCTGCAGCTGTTTATTCTTTGCAGGGAAAACTTTGGCATGCACATAAAGATTTGACCAAAGCAGTTGACTGTTACGTGGAGGCACTGAAACTGAACCCCTTCATGTGGGATGCATTCCTAGGGCTTTGCGAAACAGGTATGTACTGCTTTCTTCTCATGATGCGAGCTTTTTTTTCTAATGCAATGTCAGGTGTCAATATTCGAGTCCCGAATATCTTCCAGCTCAGCCCAGAACTTCTTGCAATAATATCATCGTCGCCGGAGGAAATAGCTACTGCACCAGACAACGCGACTCATGAAGAACAGATTTTCCCCATGCAGCCTCCTGGTAACCCCGAATCCGACCCTTTCATGGTCTCTGCCTCCCGTGGCGAGGCTGACACCACATTTGGGAGCTCCGCTCTTTGGGAAAAGTTGAATGGGACCTCTGTCAATTTCGCTGCTATGGCACAGCCGGTTTTCCACGACGGAATGGAGACCCCAGGCGCACAGAGCAGTGGCTCTGATGACTTCCGCATTGCGAATGGTGTCACTGACCCAGAAGCCGGGTGGGAAGCACCCTTGGCCCCTGCTCGAAAGACGCGGACAATCCAAACTATGAGCCTTGACCACACCGGGCAACCTCCACCCCGAATTCGTACAACAGGAATCAGACCTCGACACAAAACACGAACCGAACCAGAGGCTCAGCCGACCGCTCCGGTAGAAAGAGACCCATCTTTTATATCGAGATTTGGCGACCGCAAGCGCACAGTCTCTGGACAAGTCGCCCACCCCATTCCTTCATCACAGCCCACTGAACCGGGTGCTCCCCAGCGCCGAAGCGTTCGCCTCTTCAACCAAATCAAGCCTACAACCAGCAAGCTTCCAAATAGCACGCTTACTGGCAGAGATGGCCGTGAGATGAAGAAGTTGAGAGGAGGACCTACGAAAGGACGGGTAGGAGGTGTCCCGACTGTCGGCCGTGTCGTGAGTGGCAATCGAAAACCAATGGAGACACCCGACAATGATGGTAAAGATAATCGGGCTGGCTTGTCGCAATCCCATGCTCATGTCCCCCCATTGCCCAAAAATGCCGAGAAAACCAAAGAGCTCGAAGCCTTGGATTGGCTTTTGGGTCTTTTCAATAAACTTGCATCTGGGTATTTCTCATTGAGCCGTTACAAGTGCGCGGACGCCATCAACTCTTTCAATTCTCTGTCCCAAGGGCAGCGTGAAACCCCTTGGGTTTTGTCTCAACTTGGACGGACCTATTTCGAACAAGCAAGCTACACTGAATCTGCCAAATACTTTTCCAGGGTTCAAAAATTAGCACCCTCCCGCACTGAGGATATGGAAATATATTCGACTGTCTTATGGCATCTGAAAAGTGATGTAGAACTGGCTTACTTGGCCCATCAGCTACTCGAAGCTGATCGCCTATCCCCTCAGGCCTGGTGTGCTATTGGCAACTCTTTCTCTCACCAACGGGATCACGATCAAGCACTCAAGTGCTTCAAGCGAGCGACTATGATCGATCCTGAATTTGCATATGCTTTCACACTACAGGGACATGAATATGTCGCCAACGAAGAATACGACAAGGCGTTGGAGGCCTATCGTCACGGCATCAACGCGGACAATCGACATTACAATGCGTGGTATGGACTGGGGACGGTGTATGACAAGATGGGCAAGCTTGACTTCGCTGAGCAGCATTTCCGCAATGCAGCCAGCATCAATCCGACGAACGCGGTGCTCATTTGCTGCATTGGTCTGGTATTGGAGAAAATGAACAATCCCCAAGATGCCCTGGTTCATTACGGTCGAGCCTCCTCACTAGCGCCCAACTCGGTATTAGCCAAATTCCGCAAGGCGCGCGTACTGATGAAGCTGCGCGAATTCAAGTTTGCTTTGGCCGAATTGAAGCTCCTGAAGGATATGGCGCCGGATGAGGCAAATGTGCACTACCTTCTTGGAAAGCTGTACAAAATGCTCCACGACAAGGCCAATGCTATCAAGCATTTCACGGCGGCCTTGAACTTGGACCCAAAGGTATGTCGAGTATAATCTTCCAAATCTCCCTCCCCTTTTAAGTTCTTTCTGACTGTGATCCCACACAGGCTGCACAATACATCAAGGACGCAATGGAGTCGTTGGACGACGACGATATGGAGGATGAGGACATAGCGTAGGCCTGTGACGTCCCAGGTCTTTCTATTGGGTTTCCACGGAGCCCCTCCCTTATGAACTCGGCGTTTGAGGACCTCTTTGCACAGCATCACTGTGGAGTTTTCTTTTCCAGGTTTAGACATCTGGCATATGATGGTGTTCTGTACATTAGTTGAACGATTTTCCCTGGGCATGCATCATGGGGATGATGCATGCATAATTCTATTATTCTTTTGAGGAAAGTGAGTCTCATTATTGGCCGATGCCTTAAAATATACTTGATTCTACAATACACATATCCCCGCAAGTGCCCTGGTGACATCGTCATATGCATCTACCAGGCGGTAAGTCGGCCTCGGGGCAGAAAAACGATTCAACGTTTCTACTCCGATTTGTCCTTCCCCACAAGCCATGCATGGCTCAGTCTTGGATTTGATCTGCTATTCCTCTTTTCTTCTTTCATTCATTCGCCATATTGCGGTCTTGGGCTGGGTATTGCCCGCTTACTAGTGAACAAAGTACGTCTATTCTCAGCAAATGTTATTTCCGTATTCTGACCGTATTTACGCAGCTCTTATTGACTCGCCCAACAACCGTCATCATGTCTTTCGGCTCTTATATTGTTTCAGGTGCTAGCTATTTCGTGGTGGTGACCGTCTCCCTCTTTGCAATCGGCCAAAAAGTGCCTCGCGCCGCTTTCGCTGCCCGATGTCTCGCCTCATATGGCTGTCTCCTCGTCAGTGCCGCGTACGGCGTGCTCGTTTCGATCTGTCTGCGAATAGTTGGATACGGCCGTGTTTCGCAGTGGGCAGCAGGCCGCAGCTTTAAGTGGCTGATGCGGTTCACAACCGGCGTCAAGTTCGAGGTTATTGAAGGCGGAGAATACCTCTCCACCCGTCCGGCAGTCTTCATTGGTAACCACCAGACTGAGCTCGACGTGTTGATGCTTGGAAGTGTCTTCCCGCCATACTGCAGTGTGACTGCCAAGAAGTCACTGCGAAATGTTCCTTTCCTGGGCTGGTTCATGTCTCTCTCCCGGACTGTGTTCATTGACCGTGCCAACCGGGAAACAGCCCTTAAGGCTTTCGATGGCGCCGCGGCGGAGATGCGCGATCACCGCCAGAGCGTTTTTATTTTCGCTGAGGGTACCCGGAGTTACTCCGACGAACCTACCCTACTACCCTTCAAAAAGGGTGCTTTCCATCTCGCTGTGAAGGCCGGTGTGCCCATCGTGCCGATTGTGACGGAGAACTATTCACACGTTCTATCGCCTCGTGCCTGGCGATTCAATGCTGGGACTATCAAAATTAAAGGTGGGTCATATTAGAAATTGCCAATGGTAGAGCATGACTAACAATTTTGAAATAGTTTTGCCTCCCATCCCGACTCAGGATTTGACATCGGGTGACGTGGATAGCTTGACCCAGTCGACGCGCGATTCGATGCTCAACACTCTTACAGCAATTTCCCATGCGCAGAAGGAGGAGGTCGATGTTGCTTGCACCAACGGCGTCTCCAGCGCCATTGAAATCTAAGAGCCAAAATAAGTGTGATTCGTCGCATAGCTCCGCGCTCGGTACTTGCTATGTTTCTCTCCTGGTTTGAGTGCATGACAGCAGAGAGCAAACCCAAAGCCCACAATTCACCAAGAAGAATTCCGCCCTTGACACTCTGCAGTATAATCCTGCCTACTTCTCCGGTACCTACCCTCCACTTCATGACCCAATGGATAGAATATATTTGAGGGCCCCAGACGTCGAATCTATCCGGCACCATCCGTCACTGCTCAGGAGAACAACAATGATCTAGACATCAGCATTGCTTCTTGACACACTTTTCCCTCTTTGCAATTCAAAATGTATATATCCTTAGCGTAAACGCATGACATGACCCGGCTACAGTTGGATACTTGCTTTTCTTACTATTATATATTTGGTGTACATTGGACCATAGAATAGAAATAGGCTTGAATTCTTTACTCGTTTTTTCCGCACAACTTGTACTTTATCTTCGAACATTGATCAAAGTGACAACAAAAGTAAATATTCATTAAGTGGCTTATTGGAGATCAGCATCTGATCGGCACTCACCTTGTTGTAGCGTTCCGGACAAAGGGACCTAGCAACCATCATAAAAGGCCCAAAGATGGAATCACAGGAGGGGTTTCATTTTCGCTAATTACAACAAGGCAATGCAAAAATATACTGAAGGGGAATAATGGCGCCGAAAACTCGCTCAGAAAGGAACATGAGATGAGGAGATGCAACATGTAAGTAACTCGGGGGGAGGATCGCCTATTTATATGCCAGGAGAAGTGGGACTTAGAAACTTGATAGGTTCTGGGTGTGCTCGCAGCGGCCCTCGGCACAGGGCCGGATATCGATGTCAATATCAACCTCCTGCATGGGCAACCAGGGGTCGCTGATTTTCGAGTCCACACGCCAGGGGTCCTGGTCGCCGACTGTACGAAGCGCGATGGGGGCAATGCGGACGTTTTGAGATCTGTTCTCAGGGTCGAGTACTGTGGTGCATTCGGGCAAGTGGTGATTGCTGTCATTCATGACGACTTCCCGCGAAACGGCTCCGATATTGGGGCCCGACGCGGCTGTAGCGACAATGTAGTCGGACTCGAAGCCGACGAGCTGGACGCGTACAGAATAGTTTGGAATGCCACGCAAGGAGATTTTGATATCGGAGTAAGGCCGGCCCCAATCTTGGACCGAGGGCTCAGTGAGAGAGTGGCCAGTGGATCCTAATTTCTGAACAGGTTCGGGGGGGATGACGTTTGTGAATTCCAAATCCTTTATCCAAGTGGCCAGAAGCCCGTCTCCGGTCATTTTCAGATACGCCTCCTTGAGAGCCCAAATCGAGTAGAACAGCCGAATGCCATAGGCAGCAAGAACTTCCTCGTTGTCTTTTCTCGGGTCACTGTTACTTAACCCAAGCTCACGAGCCAATTTAAGAGTCGCGTATGGGTTCTTGATAGTTGCAAGCTCACGGGGAGAGAGAACTTCAGTGAAAACATCCACGAAAGTTGCCAGGTCGGCAAGTGTCTTCGGGGGACGATTAGTGCGACGACGAGAGGGTTCATCAACACAGGCAACGTCAATTCCCACGCGAGGCAAGGCTTGGGGTCCACTGGCTGAGTGGGCTGTTGCGGCACGCGTGCCTGCGAACAAAGTGAGACCAGCCTGGTGGCTGACGTTGAAATCAAGACTTGAGTCGTAGAATGGGCGATTTTCAGGTATGGGAGTACGCTGGATCTCAATCTTATTCCAGGGCGTGCCAGTGGCTTGGTGAACGTAGTAATATTTCAGGAGCTGGGACGCTAGCGACAGGTGCTGGTCCGAAGTTTGATAGTACTTCTTGACGGCTGTCTGATCAGACTGAGTTAGGGTTTGGAGAAAGGGAAGGTCAAAATATTTTTTATCCCAATTTCTGACATCAATATACCATCGGACCAACGTGGGCTGGTCCTTAGAGATGTCATTCTGTTTGATCTCATTCAGCGCCATTTTAGTCTGAAATTGGTTAGTAATACCTTCATAGAGGCTCTGTGGCTACTCACAAGTCCAAACACACCAACATCTACCATTGCCGTATGTATATATTTGCACCAAAGATGCTCCGCATCCCACTTCGTCAGATAGAAGCCCCGAGGCCATATTAGCGCCTTATCGGAGTTCTTATCTGTCAACACGTGTCGATAAGACGGCCCTCGGGCGGCGCATAGTTGGTGCGTGGAACTAATATAAGCATCTTGAGAGGCATCGATGCCTCCACCAACAAGGATGTGAATAGGCCAGACACGAGGAACAGGCTGTTCATGATGCAGCCAAGAGATGTTACAACAGTAAGCGCAACATTTATATGATTATTCAAGATACCATCTATGGGCTTTTTGCAAGAGATACACATTGGAAGTAGCCTGATCATTATATATATTTCTGTATCTGAATTTGATTTTGTATTCCATTGTACCCGGGGCTATCTAGTTGAGTTTCCAGAATTATATTCAGAGTAAAGTGAGCACATGAACCTTTTAAGAGAGCCTGCTAGGAATAGCCTTGCGTTGAGGCTCGCATGCTGTTCTTGATGTCGCGTGGAACTAAAGATGGAGATAATATGATATCACGTGCTGATAAGTTCCCCGCCGGGAAGTTAAACCCACGTGATTTGAACCGAGTCATCAATATCAATAAGAATCCGAGCTCGGAGGGTCCTCAATTCGTATCTTTAGAGACAATGGCTATTACCGTCGGAGTTTTGGCCCTACAGGGCGCATTTTTTGAGCATGTGCAACTATTGAAAAAAGCCGCAGAGCAAGCACCGCAGTCGGAATGGCAATTCATTGAAGTACGAACGCCACAAGAACTGGCAACATGCGATGGCCTGGTCTTGCCCGGAGGCGAGAGTACCACCATGTCTTTGGTCGCAGCAAGGTCGAATCTTCTCGAGCCCCTGCGGGAATTTGTAAAGTAAGTGAAATTGGTCAAACCATATCAATTCGATCTAATACGTTTGGTATGTAGAGTGGATCGCAAACCAACGTGGGGTACATGCGCCGGGCTCATTTTGCTCGCCGAGTCTGCCAACAAGACAAAGAAGGGCGGGCAAGAGCTGATCGGTGGTCTTGATGTGCGAGTGAACCGAAACCACTTCGGTCGACAGACGGAAAGCTTCCAAGGCCCATTGGATCTGCCATTCTTGGGCCAGGACGCGCCTCCCTTCCCAGCAGTATTCATTCGAGCCCCAATAGTGGAAAAGATTCTTCCCCACCATGAGGGCATTCAAACAGAAGAGGTCCAACAGGAAGATGTTGTTGTGGCACCATCTAGAGAAGTACGGGACTCAGTGGCGCAAGCAGCAACAGCAGAGCACGTTGAGGTACTAGCAACATTAGTGGGACCGGCGGCTCGACGTGCCACGGAGGGTCGAGACATCAATCCAGATCAGGAAGTTGGCGACATTGTTGCAGTGCGACAGGGCAATGTATTCGGCACCAGCTTCCACCCGGAGCTGACAGGCGACGCAAGAATCCACACTTGGTGGTTGCGCGAAGTTCAAGCAGCAGTGCTGAAACGAGACAAGTTAAAGCAATAATTCATAAGCATTAGAAGGTGGTTGGGGAAAAAAGAAAGTTGTAAATAGGGTATTCGGTGAATAGACATTTCCTGTTTCTGCTAATTGGATTCACCCTCCCATGAAGTAACGCCATTGCTTTGCCAAGCCAGTACTTTTCCATTATGTCCTGACCTACCTTCCGGCACCGTATTCATCCTCCTCGCGCTGGCGCTGCTCATCATAGGCACGGCCGTATCCACCACGGCCCGGATCGTATTCTTCACGGTATTCATCACGCACTTGACCGCCCGATTTTCCTCGTCTGCAGAGAAATTCAGTCATTACTTGTCCGTAGTCGCCATTGGTGAAGATCACATACCCGAACTGCCGTCCTTCCTCAAATCCAGGGTCAAGATCTGTCCGAATGATTCGCTCGTCCAGCTTAGTTCCTCCGATATACTTCAAGCAATCCAGCGCATCCTGGTGGGTGTAATACTCGACGAAGCAGAAGCCGCAGGGTGTTTTGTTGAATCGGTCGAGGCCCATTACAAGTCGCTTGATCTCACCGCACCTGGAATTCGAGGTTAATCATAGTTTGAAGGGAATCGAGGGCGCATGCTCACTTGGCGAAGAGTTCGTGGATTTGTTCTTCGGTGGTATAAAAGGAACTGGGGTTGGTCAGTAACGGAGACTGCGTCTAAGTTATTGCATGCTTGCATACAGATTTCCCACGTAGAGGGTTGTCGCGTTCTTCAATTTATCGTCAGGTTTCTCCTGTTGCTGCGGTTCCTCCTCCTCGCGGTCGTTGAATCTACGACGCTTGTTCTGTGTATGATTTTCAGCCTCTATGGCCCATTTGGACTGGTTTCGACGCAGCTTGGTAAAAGGGCAGTCCAGGGCAAATAAGTACTCACCTTGCTAACATAGTATGCGCTTGGTCGATCCAGTCGGTCGACTGTATTTACAGCCAGCAAACTCATGGTGAATTGAGGTGAAAGTTGAACTTGGAGTACGTGGTTGACGGAAGGTAGTTGGGGAAGCAAAGCAGCTCGGAGCTCTTCGAAAGATCTTGGCACCCAAGAATTCCACTCCGCATCAACAACTTTGCTTTCGTCAACTTTGTTTTTTTCACCCGCGCTACTCGTCTGCTATTTCTGACCGCCCCAGGATGGTCTGAGACTCTTAACACATTCTGATTACACACTTCAACTTACGAAATATCCTTAATGCCGAAGGTTAACAGTTATGCGCCTGCCTGGCTGTGCCGGCCCTCGCCTGGCGCAAAGTTCCTGTCCAGCAGTTCAGCCCAAAGTCCAGCGGAGGACCTGCAAGCCGGATCCAAATCTGTGAGCAATGGAGCTACGCGAACAATTGCTAAGAGGGGAAACGAGGTCTTTGCCGTTGTTGACAATGAGATACGGTGGTCTAACCTTGCCCGACTCAAAGACCAATGGCAACAAGAGATTAAGCAGAAGAAGGGATCTGCTAGTCAAACTGAAGAGCAACCCGATCACACTCAGCTCCCTCCCTACAGGGTATGAACACCTACTACATTCAAGAGAACCAAATTCGGGTCGAATTGAATTGCGACTAACAGTTCCGCAGGTTTTAGCAGTTCCTGTGTACGGACTGATCAAACAGATCATCCCCTCTCCGAACGGCGCATTCCTAGCTATCGTTACTGAACACACCGTTCACATCTCCGTTCTCCCCGATTCTTCGCACCTTTCGTCCTCCGACTCCGACTCTATCCGGCTGAAGACATATCAGTTAGGACCGACAACCCATGTTATTCCTGAGGCTGCGGTGGTCTCCGCGCTGTGGCATCCACTGGGATTGCACACCAATCTAGGGGGCTGTATTGTTACGATCACAGCCGATGCCGCGGTGCGCGTGTGGGAGTTGGACCGGAATAATCACTGGTCCTTTGACCAGCCAACCCTAGCAATTGATCTGAAGAAGCTCGTTGATGGGACCTCATCCGACCAGGATTTCGCGCCTTCTGGATTTGGCAAAAACAAGGGATTCTCTGCTGATGTCATTGACATGGAGGTTGCGTCGGCCTGTTTTGCTGGCAATGGGAGCGAGAAAGAAGACGCATGGGCGCCGATGACCCTGTGGGTGGCTATGAGACCCGGTGATCTATATGCGCTGTGTCCTCTCCTGCCTTCTAAGTGGCAAGCCCCTTCTACGACCATTCCTTCCCTTTCTGCGGCGATTATTCCGAAACTCGGTGCCCTGGAACAGGAACCAGAGGAATCGGAGGAGGAACTGATTGCCTCCCGGCAACAGTACGACTGGCTTTCCGAGCTCGATGAACAAGAGCCTCTGGATGCGCCTTCTGGATCAGAAACAATCCAAGGCGCAGATGTGTTCACTCGCCCGGCCAATCCTAGCGCCATTCCAAGATTACAAGGGCCCTTCCGCTTCGACAATGGCGATGAGCTCGATGATTTGGATCTCTGTGATATTCTCGTCATTGCTGCCAGTCTAAATGTCGAGGATCTTATGATGGGCGAGGACGAAGAATTAGCCGTGGAAACCGGGGACCAAGATAAGCTCTCGGCGACAGTTCTCTCTCTTACTAGTGGGAATGGCCGAGTCCACATCTGTCTGGAGCTTGATGGCGTTGAAGGACAATGGCTACCCAAAGCTAGGAAGAACGCATTCCGAACTCCTCTTTCAGAGCCGACTGAATTGGTCTTGGTCGAATCATTGGATACAATCAAGGATGGAGAGGACGCAAATACCTGGCCTACCTTCACTAAGGATGTCCATTATCGATACTCGTTCTTTGTCACAACTGCCACCAACGTGGTGTTCCTATCTCTATCCGACTGGGTACAGAGGCTGGAGGCTGAATTGCAAGCCGAAGATACCGCAGGCTCCGCTTTCCGTCTCCAAGTTCTCTGTGACGGGAATGTGACCAACCGAGAGAGAATTTTGCAGGTTTCGAATACAGATATTACCGTGCAGAACGAACATCTCGCCACGTCTCTTGTTTTCTACGACTTCGACCTTGGCTACTTGCTCCTCACCTACCATCCATCTAACCCTTATGCAGCTGTAATGGACACACCAGAAGATTCTCTATCTGTTGCATTGGACAAATCGCTGTATGAGCCCAGGGCACCAGCGCCAGGCTTGTCTATTTTACCCCCGAGCCGGGCCCCATATCAAGTTCCCGCCATTTTCTACGCCAACTCGCCACTGGATTCCTTTGTCGAGAAGCATGTCCCACATCGGCAACGCCACACGCTCAAGGAGCAAGTGCGCCTATCTCCTGCGACATTGGACCTTGTGGCCACCGCGCATCGCGTGCTATCTGCTCATACAAATGCTCTTGAGCGAGCTGCTTCGGATTTATTCCGCCGCTGTGAGCGGCTGCAGGGCGAGATGCAGGACCAATTGAAGCAGCTTGCAGATGTTGCGGAGCGTGTCAAGGGTGTCACGAGTGAGATTGGGGAAGATGGACATCGCAAGGAGGGAGTCCGAAACGGAGAAGCGTTGGATAAGAGATTGCAAGCCGCCCAGGATAAGCAAAGCGAACTGAACCGACGATATGAAGCATTACGGACTAAGGTCCTGAATTCTGGAGGTCGTCCTCTGAGTGAGAGGGAGAAGGCTTGGATAACTGAGGTGAAGACATTGTCTGCATCCTTACAGCAAGGTGAAGAGCAAGAGGAGGATCAACCATTGATCTCACGGTTGGAGACTGTAAGTTTTGTCTTTGTCGCATTCATCTCGGCTAGAATACTCACATATTATCTAGGTCAAACGCCTTGCTTTGGATCTTATGGCACAAACCAAGTCTGTCGCAGCCAAAATGCCTTCTCCAGAACTTGGAACTCTCTCCTCTCCTGGGGGCCAACCTAAGGTGCCCCAACGCCTGCAACGGGCCAAGGTTGCAGATGCGATGAGGATGGTCGAACGGGAGTGAGTTTATCTTTTATTTGCCTATTAATGGACCGATTACTAATCTTCTTGCAGGTCTGCCGTTATTGACGCGATTACCGCACGTTTGGAACGACTGAACACGAGTCTGTGACAGCCTAGCTCTGCATGTTGTCGGAGGATCTAGGTAGTTTATCACATGTATGTTATTACGCATCAATGCACGAGGCTCGTGAAACGAACCACAATTTGAATTTTGAAGCTTAGTCTCAGGCTGTTTTAAGCTAGATCTAATCAAAAGTTATAAAGCCATTAATCGCTGTTACACCATGTTAGACTTGGTCTGTCCATTCCTGCTATTTGATTTAGATAGCCTCGAACAGCTGTTCTTTTTATGTGTACCCGCCTCTTCATCCCGTTCCCATCTACGCAATACTCCGACGCTAGTCCTGGAATGATCCCAAAATAACAAATGAATTGCGCTGAAACAAAAGTTTTTTTAGAAAAAAATGGTGCAGCGAAATCTTCCAGTCCGCCCCGAATATCTCTCCTATTCTTCTGTTGGGTAATACTTTTGCGCCGAGCCATATAACAGTAATGATTGGTCCTCCAAGCTTTTGATTAGGCCTTTAGGCCTAAGAGGGGGACCCACCATGCTATAGTAGACATCATCTTCTTCGTTTCCTGAAGTGAAACTTTCCTCGTCGGTGGGATCTTCATCTTCGTCGAGGTACTCTTCACAAGAAACAAAAGAATCTGTATCATCCGACAAGTCCTCGAATGGGATCGTCTTGTGGCGCCTTGCTCGATAGTCCCTCCCCATCGATGCAGGATCTATCGGGTGACAGGCCCTGGTCAAATCGAACTCGTTGTCCTCAGATACGGGGCACAATTCCGAATGTACCTCGAAGTATAGTTGCGGGGTCGCAGGCCGCGAGCATGGATATGGCGACAGGAACTCTTCGGCTAGAAAATACTCGTCATCGTCGGAGCTATTGTCACTCCCGTCTGCGTCACTTTCGCAATTCGATGTTGTCGTCTTGGATGCTTCTGCATCTTTGTCAGCTTTATCACTTGTTTGTCGTTCGTAAACCCGCTTGTCCCCTCTTGCCCAGCAGTCTGCGCATGTTGCTGTGTTGGATTCGAGGGTTATCATTCTTGGACCCCAGCAGAAACGCTTGTTTGGGCATTTTGATGGGTCCATATCCCATATACAGCCGCATAGCGTGTACTTGCATGTCCAGTAGATACACATCTTGGTGGCTGGTATGGTTGAGTAGAGAGTACAGATGAGAGACTCTAAATTATATATTTTCTATCGCAAATTTCATTCGGAGCTAGACATAGTCATAGAAGAAAGGTTTGGTTGACAAAAGACAACTTTAAAGACAGTTTTAAATTATCCAAAGACCATGTGCTCCTTTAGGCTTAGTTCTCTCTGTCTTTCCCTTCTGGGGTTTCTTTGTTTGATTTTCTTTGTCTGGTTTCTTTGTTTCTTTGTTTCTTTGTCGCATTCTTTTTGCAGAAGACCGAGAAAGAAAGGTACTTGGGTACCTTTCTTTGTTCTTCTCCAGGGCTGGTGATATGTAGGGTTCTAATACACACGTGACAATTGAGGGCAAATCAATGCTTTACTTTTCTTTCATTGGACAATTAGATATCAGATCATTGGGTACTTATGTCCTGAGTAGGTTCTCATAATGATCTCAAGTAATAGAAGCCCAGGACACAAAGTGTGTTGTGGAACCAAGCTCAGTATAGTTCAGTTGGGTCAAATTACCATTTTCATCTAGCGCATTCGCCCTCAACTGTTACAATCCGTCATAGATTCCATTTTTGGTAATCTGTTGCATTTCAGAAGGAAAGAAATAAAAATCAAAACTCCCAGTTATTGCCATGCCCTCATTCCCATCAGGTCGCTCTGTACCAGCGCCGAAACCAACCCAAAATCATGAGTCACATTGTTGTCGTAATTGCTGTCATATTCATCAAATCATAATTGCAAAGGAAACCAAAGCGCAGGTGCTCCGAGTCAAGCCCAAAGTAAGTCAAGTGAAGTTAAGTGGTTGAAGCGAGCCCGGGGGTGCTGATGTAGAAAGAGTTGGCCAGGTCTTGGGCATCCTCAACTCGATCGTGGATCATGAGGTAAACATCGTCAATGATCTCCTCCCAGGTAGGCAGGATCAGGCCCTCAAGGCAAACCTCCCATTTCCACATGTCGTCAGCAAACTTGCCCTCCCACCAGGCACGCCACTCGTTGTAATCGTGCGGCTTGTGGCTCATGAGACGGAAGGCCATGTGGCCGATCTCCATGCGAAGCTGGCGCCAGGTCTGGAAAGAACCAGACATGAAGTGGTCAATCTGGTTGGTGTAGGCACAGGTGTACTTTCCGTAAGCGATCGAGTCGACGCAGAACTGCAGAGTATCACGGGGGATTTTGGCAGCGGCTGCAAGGGTCGGGTCGGCAAAGTTCCAATCCTCTTTCCATTCGAGAAGACGGCGCATGGAGGATTGATGGAGCTGGTAGACAAGGGGGCCCATGTTCTTGGGGCATAGCTCGAAGTAGCGGTGGTCGCGGGCGATCATGAGGCTCTTCATGCCATAAACGGCTAGCATAGCTCTGTACTGGAGGGTGAGCATGGCATTGCGCACCTCTGGGGGTGCCAAGATCCACTGGGGGACGATGAAGGCGTTTCCGTCGAAGTTGTACTCGAGAATCGAGCGACCTTGATTAAGAAGGCGCGTCATGGACCGCTTCTGGCGGAGTTTAAGGGTGGCGGTGCTCATAGTTGGGGTATGGGAAGACAGTGTGGGGGAAAGAAACGTTAAAGGGGGGTTGTGGGTGAGAAGGAAAGAGTGAGAGGAAAGATGGTAGAAGAAAAGTAAACGGTCTGGGAGATGTCTCGTCTGTAAGAGCAGTTTTTTGCATACGCTCAATGCCCTTTGACATCCTTATTTTGACCTCGACGGCCACATGTAATCTTGCGGCTTATTTTGGGTCTCCGATTTACGTCTCCAACCTTGGAACCTTCCGTTGATCAAGCTACTAAGCCTAAATGCGTTATTGTTAGCCTAAGGCAGAGTCTATTTAGAGTTGGGGTTAAGTATGATATCAGGCACATCATCGAGTTCCATTGTGTTTGTTGAATCCAGAGAGACGACAAGCTTCAAGTCCTGTTGTATGAGAAATCTTCTTTCAAGAATTTCTGAGAATGTTGCGATTTCAACTTCAAAAAGATATTAGTATGTTTTTATGGCGGGTGAAAGGCTGTCACAAATTCCGCTACTCGATTGGTCCTGCCCGAGACAAGACACAAGACACTCTAAGCCAGGAGAAAACAAAGATGGCATTTCATTCATTGTAGTTTAAATTTCTTTTGAAGATCATTCCAAGACGTGAGACCAGCGTTTGCAAAGCATTGATGCGATCAGAATTTTTCGCAGCGGAAATTGACCAAGACATGGGTGCAGCTTGCAATTATTGGACACTAGAGACCGAGATCTGAGATTAGTCATAGATAATTAGATAGCTTCACTTCGGGGTTTGAACCTACCGTTCAATGAGGTGAACTCCAGATGCTGTCTCAATGATGTTGCTCACTTCGCCAGGCTGTAGGCCAAAAGCGGCATCTTCAAACTCCTTCTGCATCTCACCGCGGCCAAAGAAGCCCCTTTAAGAAGTTAGCGAGGCATCTGGGACGTATTTTACTTGTGAAAAAAAAACTCACAAATCACCCTTCTTCCGGGCACTGCTGCAGTCAGACTCAGAAACTGCCAGGTCACCAAGGGTAATCTCTCCAGATTGAATTCGCTGCTCGTGACCCTTGAGGATCTCAATAGCCTCCTCCTTTGTGCGAGTAATGTCAGCCTCCCTCCAGCTGCTGGGACGACGGCTATCGCGGTGCTTGACGAGCAAGTGACTGCAGCGGATCTTGCCCTCGCCCTCGCCAGAGGCGTCAGGGCGAGCAGCCGGGGTGTGGTTTTGCGCCATGTAGACTTTCAGTTTATCGGTATCGGTTTCCGCAGGTGGCTCCCAACGAGACTCTTTTGTGGAAGGATTGAAATAGTATGGAAGGTTCTTAGAGTTGGAATGGCGAACTTCCCAACCGGTAGGAAGACCTGTGTCGGCCTAGGTTGAAGAGTCAGCTATGCAAACTTTGGGAATGATTTGATCCCACCATTTTTCCAATATCGGATCTAAAAGATTCTGATAATTTTTGAGTAAATAATAATGTACAGATTAATATCACTCTAACGGATTTTGCAAAGTAAACGAATAAACGATCGTAGTCAGTAGCAACCCGTTGTATGCGAACGGAAACTGCGGGGTGAGTAGTTGCAAACCACACAAACATGTCCAAGCTTTAGCTCTCCCGCTTCCAATTTGAACGATCACCATCTATGAGAACTATTCATGGATATACAGTGATGTACAGATGCGACTATATTATATATAGAAAGACTCACAATAAAGGCGAGCTACAATGCAGGGTCTAATGCAGGTACATTGGCATATGCACTCGTTTTTTTCCATATGTAGAACTTAAAACTCATCAATACTATTGTCTCGGGGGCTGTCAATAGATACTTAGGATATATTGGTAATTGAGTCAATGCATTTCAAACGCTCTAATGCTGTTCTTTTGCCAAAAACGTCCACTGGTGTTTTGAGGTGAGTCATATACTGCACCTTCAATGGATACCCCCGCCCCGCCCCCGGCCAGGGCCAGGTGATGAAGGTACTGATCAAAACCACGTGATTTTCACGTGATTTTATCTCTTCGCTTTTGCGACTATTACTATGGAGGTAATCATGGATTTACTCCTCTCATTTCCAAGCTACTGTCTCCGTTCCCACAGTACTCTCAGAGAATACTCAGCGTCTCAAACCTCAATTCAGCACGTCTAGAATCCTACGACCCATCTTTACAACATGTCTGCGAGCCCTTCGTCCACCGCTGGTGGCGACACCAAGCCATCAGATCAAATTCACTTCAAATTCTGCCGCGAATGGTACGTCTATGTCCAAATCCCTCAAAATTATCTTGTAGGAAAATATAAGTCTCGAGAACATATCGCTAACTTTTCAATAGCTCCAACCTGCTCTACCCCAAGGAGGATCGGGTCAACAACCAGTTGATGTTTACGTGCCGCACCTGCCATGTCGGCGAGCCTGCTTCCTCTCACTGTGTCTACCAAAACCACCTCCATAGCCAAGTCGGTGATACTGCTGGTGTCACTCAGGATGTGACGTCTGATCCTACGGTTTGTGCTCCTGGTTTTTGTACCCTATGCGGTGATTTGATTACTTGTTCTATTTGCGGTCCCAACCCGAACGAGGATCTCTTTGGGGATGCACCGCCTGTGGGTGATAGCCTGGAGTCCTCTGAAGTCGAGCCCCGGGCGTCTACCCCAGCTCTGTAACTTTGTGAGCATCCATAGGCTAACCCCTCGTGATCTGCAGCTCCCACGGGCCAACAAGCTTTGTCCAAGCTGCGGCGAAACCGAAGCCGTCTTTTTCCAGTCACAACAACGATCCGCCGAAACCGGCATGGTGAGACCTAATCCTTTAATGGATCCCTGAGCCCCCTATAATACAGATCATGCGCTGACCAATCCTTCTATCCGCTCAGAAACTCTACTACGTCTGTTGTGCGTGCGGTCAAGTCTACATGTGATCTCTGCGTTTCTGCAATGCGGTCTACAATTTCCGATACCCTTCGATATTTTGTTTTTGTTTTTTCGCGACATCATCGGAGTTTGGCGCAATATTTCGGAGCAGGAACGGGAGAAAATGCGTGGAGATTTCGGAACGGGGGTGAAACTGATGCTATCTACTAAGAATACATATGGATTGAAATTGAAACCCAATCAAAGAAACAAAGAGCGCTTTCCAACAAATGTAAAAACTTGAAATATTAAACATGGATCGGCGCCAATGACAAGATCTTGGACCACTTCTTGTTGCGTAGTTCTTGTCCCACCACACCTGTAAATATATCAGTATTGGAAACATGGAGAGGGCGGTTTATCTTGGACTCCCCGATGGGCACTCACCGTTCATTCTCGTCCCGATGGGATCTCCGGACTTGTTGACCAACACACAAGCATTATCACCAAACCGGACAAGGGACCCATCAGGCCGTTGCAACTCCTTCTTCACGCGAACAACAACGGCATGACGAATATCACCACGGCGGACCTTACTGGCGAGCGCAGCGGCGGTGGTGGCTTCGGAGCCTGCAGACCGCTGCTTCTGAACAACGACGACTATCCGGTCACCTATAAACCAATCACAATGTTAGCTTGGGTTCTCAATTCCCTTCTTGCTGTCCTGTATGCTAGGTTCGAGGGCCGTGGAGACTAACCGATTGTCGCGGGCCGCTTCTTCTTCAGGACGTTCACGCACTCGACGATCGAGGCGCCGGAGTTGTCGATGCAACTTAATAGTGTCTGGCGGAGAGGGTCAGTATTTCTTGAGCCAGTAACAAGCATCGCTTGCACACCTTTAATTGAATCATTGTGTTTTGGTACTTGATCTGGAGATATTGCTTGTCCGCAATTTGTTCTCGCGGCCGGAGGGAGGTTTCCCCGGAGAGTAGGTTTATCCGGGACTATATGTCTAGCCCGATGCCTTATCTTAAACATGTAAATCGAGACTTGCTAGAACAGCATGATATAGCAATGTTTTATACTAGTAGCTATAGCTATTTGTTTCGTGGAGACGTACCGCACTTAACACATAGCAAATTGCTAACAGCAAAAGAGTGGCCAGTTTATGTCCCCACAATCTAAACTGATCGACAATAAAGCGAATAATAACATAAGAGTCAGCAGGAACATCTACTCGAGCCATATTGTCATCACAAGCGATGCAGAAAGCGCTCCACATCCTGTATAACTGGCTGTAACTATCTGTGAGACGTTTCCAGGTGTTGGTAGACAGTTCTTGTGAATCTGGCTCTGAGATTGACCTCGGATCACGTCTTAGATTCTATCAATGTTTTTGTTGTAGATGACTGGGGCGAAAGAAGCCATCATGGCAGCTGATTCGGCCTACGTACACACTTGGTACAAGAATAGTAGGCCTTGTGTCGCCTTTTTCACAGATATTTTGTTCCTCTCGGTTTCATATATAGACTGTATCCTTTGACATACTCAGCAGCCTCAAACCTTGAAAGTACAACCTGCTTGATAGGTAAATGTTCTCAATATAAGACAAGTTTAACACTGTATAGAACAATATCTAATAAGACTTCAAGTTGGATTCTTTAGGAATTGATTTGTGCTCATAAAAATCTCTCTTTTCCAAGGTTGATTCTCCAAACCATATCAGCCATGGTACGTCCAAATCAAGCATGAGACGCGCTGCTCGTTCATGATTTACCGAGTACTCTGGCCTGTTATATGCGTCTATTATTATTATTATTTGCATTTGTCATTGGTCTAATGATCATATAGGGTATCTCTTCTCGTTATGAGTAACACCCTGTCCATGGATGTGAGATTTTACTGATTCAATCCATGTGGCATCAACTGAATATATAGTTCGACAACATCCCGGATTCAGATCTATATATTCCTTATTTTTATTTTATTTTCCCACCTAGTCTACTAGCCTAGCTTTTCCTATACCCCAGAGCTAAACACAAAATATGATTAATCTCAAGAACCTCGGATTACTCTTGAAACAGCCCAATAAAGAGAGCGTCCATGTCCATACATGGATCTATCAGATTTTCTAGCAGTTCATTGGCTGCGGATATTCCAGAGCAAATACCCATTGAGGGATAAGATGCAATATATCTTACGCGCAAGGTACGGAGTAGAAAAAGACCGATCACTTGATCTCCGAAATATATCTTGATTGGGTGTAATTGCGGTGATACGGCATGGGGAAGGATTGGATGGCTCGACGCACGGTGCATGTTGTTGTATGCGAGCTGGGCGCGTAAAATCAAGTCAAAATAAACCTATACGGAGTTAAAAATAAGATACTAACAATAAACAATCCCCTTATAACTAGTAATGACTAGTAGAGAGAAAGGCAACACTTCAAAGGGAAAGGCGGAAGAGTAAAATAAAAGTAGAAGAGACGGCAAGGTCTCAGCTGGCACTCCCGAGTGTCCGTTCCGCCCCTAAAAACATCTGCGAAGGAGGCCTTTCTCCTTGGAACAGCCTCAATGGTGACAATCATCTCATAATGTTCCTTGTGTTGATTGCCAGTCACTCATTTTAATTCCTGTCTTGCGCTTCGAATCACTTTTCGACCCCCCTCGGACCTCCGTCCTCCACTGTTCTCCGACTACCCTTTACACCTTTGCACCCGCTCTGCATTCCATGAGACCACGTCTGCTCTCCCGCTTCGACCACTAGTGGCCATCAGCTTCTTGCTACGTCCACCATGCCTCCAAAGAAAGCGCGAAAAAACTCGCCCGCCGTCGAACGTCGCGAGCGTTTGACCCTGGGTAAACTGGCCAGCTATGACGATGTCGCAACTGATGCGCTAGTGGACCACGTATGTTCTTTGCCTGCAATTCCACACCAAGATTTGTCCACTTACACTTGCTATTGACAGGCCTATTTTTGGACCACCACCCGCAAGAACCGCACCAAGTACAGCCCTGCCCGCGGAATTCACGATGATGATATTGGGCGCATTCTTCTTCACGATGTTATCGTCGACAAGGATATCCCAACGGCGGAACGCAAGCTGCTGGAGATATCAGGCTTAAAGAAATACATGACAAACCTCCGTAGCCCTCGAGAGAAGGAGTGGTTCCGCCGACACCTCCGCAAGTACATTCAGATGTATCTTCCAGACTGTCCGTTTGAGGTCACCACGACCAATCGATACATTATCACGCAACATGAGGCTGCGATCTGCGCTCGCAGATTCATTAAGAAGGGCGAGGAAATCAAACACCTGAGTGGAACGCTTGTGTCTATGACCCACGAAGAAGAGTTGGATCTCGGCTTGACCCGCAAAGACTTCAGCATCGTGATGTCGAGTCGCCGCAAATCCCCGTCGTTCTTTCTGGGTCCTGCTCGTTTTGCAAATCATGATTGTGATGCCAATGGCAGCTTGACAACCAGGGGCAACGAGGGCATGTCTGTTGTAGCCACGCGCGACATCCACGAGGGAGAGGAGATCACGGTTTCCTACGGAGAGGATTACTTTGGCGTTGATAACTGCGAGTGTCTGTGCCATACTTGCGAGAGTGCTGTACGGAATGGCTGGTCTTCGCATGATGACACAAAGGCAAACAGCAAAGAGTCTAGCCCCGTGTCTGAAGCTACACCTGAGGATAGCAATGTGAGCAGGAAGCGTAGACGCAGTTCAGACGTGGAGGAACCCGAAAGCTCCTCTGCTTTGAATTGTTCCACTCCGCGCAAACGTGCAAAGTTCCAACGACAAGTTTCCAAATTGCGAGAAGAGATCTCGGTTTCTGAACTTGCTGGAGAATCAGGTCCAACGCACGGATCAGATAACACCCCTATTCCGGACACTGTATTGATTCCAACTGCTCTTCTGGCGGAACCTGTATCCCAGGTGTCCGAGCTGAAGAAAGAGATCACAGAGCTAGCCGCAGTGGCATCGCCAACTGATTCCCCAACCCCCCTCCCAGTTGTCACAGGGACGGGACACCGAAGCGTGACTGCCCAAGGCGATCAAAATGGGACAAGTGGCACTAATTCTACTATTCCCACGGACTGTGAATCTCCAAACTCCACCGCCGATGAAACCCACCGGTCGTCGACGTCAACTACTCCCACAACTGAGGACGACATGGGAACCAATATTAAGACAGAAGAAACTATATTAGAACCGTCTGAGTCAAAAGTACTCAACGGTGAGGATCGTCCCGATGCCTCCCCTGAAGGTCAGCTCGTCACCACCCCTCCCTTGGAGATTTCCCACGAAGAAGGATTGTCAGACTTATCAAATTCCACCAAGTTAGACGACGCTCAAGGTGCGGGTGTGGACAAGCCCAAAAAGCGAAAGCCTCGCACTAAGTGGCGATTTATCGTAGACTCCGTCGAGACCGAGTCACAAGTTGCCCGAGTCCCTGGAGACTATACCAAGACATCACGATTGCTTGCCCAGAAGTACGACCGCTGGGTGGAGTGTCAGACCTGTGATACATGGTTCCTCCAGTCAAACTCATACCTCACGCGACGTGAATGTCCGCGCTGCGAACGCCATTCCAAGCTGTACGGATACCAGTGGCCATCAACGGATAAAAGCCCGGATGGCGAAGACCGAGTAATGGACCACCGCACTATCCATCGATTTTTGTCCCCCGATGCACAATCACGTATCTGCCGCAGAGACCGCGGTGTCAGTTTTGGGATCACTCCCACCCCCGAGCTGTCTGATACAAACACCCCAGAAAGGGAGACCAGTGATGCAGCTGAGTCTCGTCGTGATGCTCGGGCAAGTCGGCGTCGCACTAGAGAACTTCGTATGACTATGTAAACAGTACAGCCCTGGAGCAATGTTTGATCTACGACACAAGACGGTTGGGGACGGAGTTTTGGTTTAGGAGAATGGGGATTTGTGATAATACTTGTTTTAACTTGCATTATATTGCATGGTAATTGGATCTGGAGTTTGGATTTCTTACAAGGGTGCATTTTCAGGGTTTGAATCTGGAGGAGATTGTTGGGCTTCGTTCGCACGGGGACTCCCTTGGCGGCTATTGGACACATTAATTGTGGGCGTGATGTTGAATATAAATATAACTAGGTGTCCTGGGGATTTTCCAGCCAATTATGGTTTGTTCTCACTATGATCAATTGTCTATCGGGGTGATCGAGTCCGAATTGACAACCACTGCACAAATCCCCGCATTTCGTGCCGGGCATCAACAATAACTGCACCAATGAGCTGCTCTCGTAGCCAAGCCCGAAATTGTCTGCTTGAAAATGACCAAATTGCTTGAGAGCAACACAAGAGATGCTCGGGGTTTCCTCTACCGAATGTGATTTATCTTGTCAAATGAGGTGATGGTCCCTCATTGCGCACAGAAAGGCTATATATGGCCTGGAGCCTGTCAGGCTGGACACAAGCAGATGAGTGGAACAATAGCCTTAAAAGGAAAACCGCTGAAACCCGACGATGAGGTTCTCAAATCTCATTGTCATCCTTCTCGGCCTGGGAGTCACAGGTAGCACTGCATGGGACAACCCTCAAGTTTCCCTCGACTACGGATCGTTCCAAGGTCAATATGACAGTACCTACAACCTCTCATATTTTCGCAAGATCCCATTTGCTGCACCGCCAATAGGGGAGAACCGCTTTCGCGCGCCTCAGCCACCACTCAAGATCACTGGAGACCTCTATGACACAAACCAGGACTTTGATATGTGCCCCCAGCGCACGGTCAACGGCAGCGAAGATTGTCTCTATCTGGGTCTATTCTCACGGCCATGGGACATAACCAGGGACACTAGCAGACCAGTGCTGGTCGTATTCTACGGCGGAGCCTTCATTCAAGGTAGTGCGGCATTCACCATGCCGCCGTCCTCATTCCCGATCCTCAACGTCAGCAATATTAACGACTACATCGTTATATACTCCAACTACCGGGTCAATGCCTTCGGCTTCCTACCCGGAAGGGCAATCAAAGACTCGTCAACCTCAGATCTAAACCCGGGGTTATTAGACCAGCAATATGTCTTAAAATGGGTCCAGAGCCACATCCGTCATTTCGGCGGCAACCCTCATAATGTAACAATATGGGGTCAGTCAGCCGGTGCCGGCTCAGTAGTTGCGCAAGTCCTTGCAAACGGCCGCTATGGCCAGCCGAAACTATTCTCCAAAGCCCTTGCCAGCTCGCCGTTCTGGCCCAAGACATATAAATACAACGCACCCCAAGCAGAAGCAATTTACACCCAGCTGGCGAACCTAACAGGCTGTGCCAGTTACAATCACGCTCATGAGACACTCGCCTGTCTCAAATCCGTGGATGTCCAGAAAATCCGCGACGCAAGCTTGATCATCGGAGCAAGCCACACTTGGACAACGAGCTCTTACACCTGGGCGCCTGTGATAGACGGAACTTTCCTCGTCGAGACACTCACGGACACTGTGAACAAGGGTTCCCTGAATACAGAGTTTGTTTGGGGAATGTACAACAGCCACGAGGGCCAGAACTTCGTTCCATCAGGTCTTGACAGCACCGTATCTGTAAATGGATTCAATTCCTCTGTTGCGAGCTTCCACCAGTGGCTTTCCGGTTTCGTGCCTGGGTTGTCGACTAAGTCGATTGGTGAAGTGGAATCTCTTTATCCTGCTGAGGGGAGTACAGAGACGATCGACAGTTATAATACTTCCTATGTTCGAGCTGGCTTGGTTTATCGGGATGTTGTGCTTGCGTGTCCGGCTTATTGGATTGCGTCGGCTGCGACGGAGAAAGGGTATCTTGGGGAGTACACGATTTCCCCGGCGACGCATGGAAGTGATACTATTTATGTTTGTTCTTTCCTTTCCATTGCTGCTCTCTTTCTCTCTCTTAAATTTCCTGGTTTTGGTGGCATAAGCTAACTTGAATGATATCAGTGGAACAGAATCAACGCTGTTCAAAAGACTAATCCTGTCGTTTATGAAGGCTACGCGGGAGCTTTTGCGAGTTTCTTCCAGACGGGCGACCCGAATGCACACAAGGTGACGAATGCTTCGCAGCCAGGTGTGCCAGAACTAGATACGGGCGAGGAATTCGTGGTTGTGGATGATGGGCTTGAGAATGTGAAGCTGCCGCAGTTGAAGAAGAGGTGTGACTTCTGGCGAAGGCTGGCGAAGGAGATACCTGTATGAGAGGTTAATATTAAAATATTTATTTATAGTTGGCTCGATGAGGTTGGACTTGAGACGTCGTTATACAAGAGGAGAATTAACTTCGTTATATATGATTGCATATCGTACATACTTCCAAAATATCTAATGACTATCGCAGCGACAATGGGTATAGTCGTTTTCCAGTTCCCAAAAAAATCAAAACCTCAAACCAACGCCATGTATGTTACAAGATTTATACAGTGTGATAAATGCACGCACGCGCGGATCTGGATCTCTATCTAGATCAGAGCCTGGCCACGGAACATGCCCTCGCGAACCTCACGGACAACGTCCTTGCGGTCCTTCTTGCCCACGAGGACAACACCACGACCACGCTTACCCATACGACCCAGACGGCCTAGCCGGTGAATGAAGTCGATGGTTGTGTGCGGCACGTGGTAGAGAACCACTGTCTTCACTGCCAGGGTATCAATACCACGGGAGGCGATGTCGGTGGTGACAAGAACCTTAGTGTCGGGAAGGCGGCGAATGGGCTCTTGGCGCTCAGGAAGCTCGAAAGGAATGCTGCCGGCGGCGCGGTTCTTCTTCTTATTAATCATGATCTCCTCCGCAGTTGGCGGGAGCTTAACCTCAGTGAACTCCGAGAGGGTCTCTTGTTGCTTCCGGGAATCGGTGTCACGGGATAGGGAGACAGCGTCGATGCCCTTGGATTGCAGGAAACTAGCGACCTCATCGGCTTCCTCGCGTTCGTTGACGAACACGATGATCTTCTTAACCTTCGGCTCCATGTACGCATTAAGGGGTCCCCATGTCTCGGTGTGCTCGTGTCTATCTCCTGCCTTGCCGATGGACCAGATGACATCGGCACAAGCAAGGTTTCGGTTTCCGCGGTATGGCTCCTTCTCAATGTCCACAACACCTAGCTGCACGCGACGGGGAATGGCGTGTAGGTTCGGAGTCGTCAGGCGCTGCAGATCAGGGAAGCGCTTGCGCAGCTGGTTGTCGAGACTGCGGGGGATGGTGGCGGAGCAGAGAACCAATTTTTTGAGTGACGGAGCAACCTTGGCGATGATTTCGGACGTTGTTGGGATGAACGATCGGTCCATCAGGGAATCGGCTTCGTCAAGGACAAGGTGAGTGACTCGGCTGAGGATATTGGGGTTCGACCTCGCAACAGAACCCAAAAGGTGAGGAGTTGAGACTAGAATATCGATGCCAGCGGGGTGGAAGAGGGTGTTCTTGATCCGGCGGGGAGTGAAAGTTGATGAGATTTCGCCCGAGCGGTACTTGACGGTGTGGGACAACTCCTTGAGCTGGGATCCAACCTGAGATACCAATTCGGAAGTAGGAACGAGAATGATGGCTCGAGGGCGACAGGCGTTTGTCATTGGCGGCTCATCAGGCTCCAGAGAGAACGCCTTGGTCTTCATTCTCTCCTCCCGCTCTCGTGCCTTTTGTTCTTCAAGGACCTTCTCTTCCTCCATATCGATGACTTCTGCACGCTTGATAGCATCAACAATTGGAAGCAAGTATGCGAGAGTCTTTCCCGAGCCGGTCTCTGCTGCCAGGAGGTATTGGTCAAAATTGTACTCTTCTTCGTCTTCGTTCGCCTTCTTCACTTTGTTCTTCTTCTTGGATCCATCTAGCAGCAGCTCAGGAATCGCGAGTCTCTGAATAGGCGTGGGGGTAACATCGGTGAGACCAGCCAGAGCCTGAGCGAAGACTGACTGTCGGACTGCGGGGAGGAGAGGGAAGTGGTCGAAGCTGGTGATGTCGGCAAGTCGAGCTTTGATAGCGGAACGTCGACCGTAAGGCACAGGTGTCAATGTTGTCTGCATCTTCAATGCTCTGTACAGTGGGCTTTCCTTCTTGTCCGTCTTGCCCTCCTCCCCTGAACGCTTGAGGGCCGCCTGTGATCGTGTGCGTGGTGTGTCTCGAATCCGTGCCTGAGTCTGGTTCATCGAGGCAAAGGGTCCGGCCCGTTCCCGTCGTGGCTTGTTAGGAGATGGCAGAGAAGGTTTGGCAACAGTAGGCGACAGCGCCATCCGAGCAGCCTTGCGGCGCAATCGAACGGTGGCCATGCCTCGCGTGGTCTGCCATGAGGACGGAAGAATCGATGGGGCGATCAGGGTCGCCTTAGTTTGACATAGAAAACATATCGAAGATCGAATCGGCAGAGGCATTCTACCTAATTAAATGCGATATTATGCGCGGATATGGAAAACACGGAATGATCGAAGAGAAGAGGCCAGAACAGGTTCAGATGTTTTTTTCCGCGATTATAGGCGCCATTCCTTTCTCGGACTAGCGCAGATCATAAACTTTGACATGGAGGTCAGGTGACAGTAATGCTGACTCAGTGTGTTCGTGATCTTAGCAGCCTCAGGCAGTAATCAAACAATATGATCGTATTGTCTCTTCTCTAGATCTGTGCCAATATTTGACCCAAGAGCCAAATCTACATATTCATGTCTCTCTTCCATAGTCCATCTCCATTTGTATTTATTGGGACAAAAATTTTGTAGGTAACTCATCTATAGGCTAGGTATATATGTCTGAGATCTATCCAAATTCCTCACTGGATAAAGGAATCAAGGGAAGACTCGCTCCACGATTTGCCCCTAGGAAGAGTCATATCTCCAACCTGGGCAGGTTAATAGAGATCTAGCTGGTTGATGTGAGAGGAGCTGATAGTGAAGTAGCTTGGCATGGCTTTTGTTCTCCTCCAAGTTCCTCTTTGCGAGAAATGGACCATTTTTTTCGGACATAACGTTTGGTATTATGTATGATGTTGGGTAGTAAGACTGAAAACTGACTGCGCGGGAGTTGTCTGCACTGTTGATCAATTTGTATAATGTAGGCGGAGTCTGTAGTCGCAACTCCTGCCTGGGGTGTTCGGCGTTTGTTCGGAATAGACTTGAATCGTAATTGGACCATTGAAAACTCCGATACCAAGATTGGAGCTCTGCTAGATATTGAATCGTATACTATATTTAGGTACTCTTGACAGGAACCTTGGAAGGTGGTAGGTGCATGTTGATATCGAAGATGATCCACGAAGCTATTCCACTTATAGGCTAGCGTCGATCCTAGGCACCTGACGCGATGTCACGGGATGCTGAAACAGTCGAAGCAAGCCGTTGCCATGACGACTCCCGCAACAACAGTTTCTTGCTTGGGGTAACAATCCACTTGAATCCATGGGAGAGACATATCAAGTTTCGTTGTTTCTACTACTCTTCTTCACAACTTCTTTCTTTGTCTCTGTTTCTCTTCCCTGCTAGTTTTCCTTGAGAGTTGGCATTCGTTATCCCTTCATTATCCCTTCCCCCTTTTTTTTTGCTTTGGTTTGACATCGAGACACCCAGCTCGGGTTTGTTTTGGTACCTTCGCCCTTTGCCGCAGCATTCCTGCCACGATCGACACGACTTTTACGCCTTTGCAGTGAACGCATCAGGACTCGCTGGCAAACATTTACCACGCGACTCTTGCTTATTAAGAAAGGTTGGTACCTGATCTCTGTGCGATTTTACCTTGTGCTCTTTGTTATCAGTCATGAACCCACCTGCCGATCAGGATTCGACGACAAAGCACTGACACCTCATAGATATCTTGTGTTGGTATTTTATTACGATCGCATACTTCGTATACTGAGCCACCAGCAAGCCCAACGTCAGGATGGGGAACGGATCTGGTCAGCGGCCACTCTCCGAAGTGAGCCCCATGGCCCAGAGGCGCAATTCGCCTAGCTGGAACCAAGTTACCAAGGTACTGCCAACGCGATATGTCGCTCGTGGTAAAATATTCTAACAAGACCAGCAGACGCCGCATGGCGAATCGCCCGCATACGATGTCTCGTCCCTGAATAACAATTCTTCCCCACGCCTCTTTTGGAAAGGTCGGGACTCCCCCTCGCCGTTTCCCAAGGGGGCCGAGAATAAAGCGCCATATGATCCAGAGGGGTGTTATTTCCCTAAAAAGCGCCCGTCGCTGGAAAATTTGAAACGTGTGTCGAAGGTCAAAAATCACAGCTTGTTCCTCGAAGGAAGTCAAGAGTATGACCCAGCTTCAGTGGTTTTTCCTCAGAGACCGTTGGCCTCGGAGAGATCTCCGCAACGAGACAGTCAAATGAATCTTGCGAAGTCACAATTTGACGAAGACACCACCCAGAGTTCTCGCCCGTCGTCCCCCAGCAAAGACCAAGCATCGCCAAGCAAGTCCTCGCTATCCAAAGGTAGCCGGTACGGCAAGGGATTTGATCCCCAGAATGATATTTGGTCCGAGTATGGCAGTGCTGGGCATCGACATGCGAAGAGTGTCACATTTGACCACGCCCCTCCTCAAATCAATGAATATGAAATGACAACACCGGATCTTTCCTCAGTGGCATCCGAGTCACGAGAGAACAGCTACGAGTCTGAGGAAGAGGAGGATCTTAGTTTTGAGGCTGAATCATCCATTGAGCGTGACGATAGCTTTGACGCCTCGCTGGAAGACATCGAGAAGACCCCTGTTGTCTTGCCCGAAGACTGGCGTTTTATGAGCCAAAGCACAAACAGTGATGGGGAGCCCTTTATTGAGGACGTTGAAGAAGACAGCACCGAGGACCGACCTATCTCACGTGGAGGATCTTCTCAGCACACACGTGTCGAATCATTGGACTCAAATGGCGAGCGACGTCCCCTCCCGCCTTTGCCATCGGTCAACCGCATGTCTGGTGCGCGTCCATCCTCGGGGGGTAAGCTCGCTGCTGCGTTTGAGCTCGGCAGTGCAGGCCAGCGTGTACTTCCAGCACCCCCGGCTCCCGCCTCCTTTACAAAGTCTGATATCCCTGGCGCCGTGTCCATAGAAGAGAGACTACGTCTCATGATGCTGCAGGAGCGAAGTGATGATGATACCCATGATGACCACGCGGAGAACATTGAGGAGCCCTTGGAGCTTCCTAGAGCAGATGAAGATCTTACACCAAAAGCTGATACCCACACAGATGACGAGGCCAAAGAGAACTTCTTTTCTCCGCCTCGCATCTCTCGCGACTCAATCTTGCGAGGAATTCGCAAGGGGGACGATTATGAGGATGACAGCTTCGATGACTCTTCTCAAATTGCTTCCAGCCCCCAACGTTATGACCATTATGACCCTGATGTTCCCATTCCATCCATGGAAACCGACGATGATGACTCCTCCAGCGTAATAATTAAAGAAGAAGAGCACGATGAGGACCTTTACTCTATCACGGGTTATTATCAGAACATGTCAGACAACAGCCTGTCGTCCCGTGATCAACGGGCCAAGTACGACGAGGACAGCAATTACTCGCTACGCTCTGCTGCTGAAGCCGCCGAGCGCGAGCACGCTAGACATGATAGTCACAAAGAGGATTCTGAAGAGACCACCCCTAACGCTGAAACCCAGGCCGACACCCAAAAGCTCTCACAGCCAAACAAGCATGCCCAGGAATACAAAGAGCCGGATGCCTCCCAAGACCAAGCCTTCGATATGGCGTCTATCCGTCAGTCTCTCGCGCGCCCTGTCACCCCTGATATGCAGCAAGACCAAGCCTCCGAGCCCTCGACTCCAGACTCTGTTATTCGTCATCCGATTGAGGACGACGACGATGATGAAGAAGATGAATACGAAGAAGAAGGAGAAGTAGAGGAGGAAGAGGACCTGGAGCTGGAACATGATGACAGCTCCTCTGACGAGTCTGTTCCTGAGCCTATCGCAACAATCCGAGCCCCTGGTGCTGGTCTCAAGACCCGACCATCACTGACCCCTGCGGATATGCAGTCCATGGCTGCTACCCGCCGTCAGATCAGTGGCCAACATGTTCCACCCGTCCCTTCATTGACCAAGCAGATCTCCAATGACTCGAATCCCTCGGATTGTGAACAAACGCAGACTGACTCGCCACCGAAGTTGGGGCTGCCCAAGGATCTTGCCCAGCGACAGAGCAGTTGTTTGAAACTCGATATTCCCTTCAGTATCCAGGAAGAAAGCCTCGGGTTTGGACTGGACAAGGAGTTCGATCGTGTCATCGAATCCCAAAAGGTTGCGTTTCACCTTGCCCTTTCCCAAAGCCCTGGTTCTGTGCCCGCTTCTCTGGCCAAACCACCCAAGGATCCCCTAGAAAATAGTGCACACCCAGCTGACTCTCCTACCCCAAAACAGAGAGGGTATCTCATGAGGCAGAACACCAAAGTTATCATTGCGAGCAGCCGCAACGAAGAAGAAGCCATGCCGTCTTCCGAACACACCGCCCAAGACCCACGCGGTACACGTTCTGCTGGGTCTTCTCCACGCAAGCCTAGCCAACAGACTTGGACCACAGTCCCTTGGAACGGCTCAGCGCGACGCCCAAGTCTCAAGCCTGCCACCGGTATCCCGAAGAAAAAGCCCGTCCCTGGTGCAGGTGGAGTCCCACCTCTCCCTGGACAGCCCAGCAATGTGCAGGAAGCTCCCGCGACTATTGAAGAGAACGAGCCCGCCATCTCCGAATCGTTCGAAGATGGAGAAGAGCGAGGGCGTTTGTTTGTGAAGGTCGTTGGCCTCAAATATTGTGACCTTCCTCTCCCACGCGGTAAGAATCTATCATAAGATTGACTGCAATTCACTGTTACTAATCAAACTCTAGGTGAACGGTCGTACTTCGCATTGACTTTGGATAACGGACTACACTGTGTTACCACCTCTTGGTTGGAGATGGGCAAGTCTGCTCCCATTGGACAGGAGTTCGAGCTCATTGTCCAGAATGACCTTGAGTTCCAGTTGACCTTGCAGATGAAGATTGACGAGAGCAAGTTCCAAACACAAGAACCCGCGTCATCGCCATCACGTCAAAAGGCGTCGGCTCTCAGCCGTGTATTTGCGTCGCCACGCCGGCGTAAGGAGCTCGACATTAAGCAACAAATGCAGTCGCAGCAACAGAAGAGCAAGGACGTCAATGCCCCTGTCTACGAACGGCTTCGAAACTTGGTTGCGCGGGATGGTAGCTTTGGCCGCGCATATGTGGCTTTGAGTGACCACGAGCAGCAGGCCTTTGGCCGTCCCCACATTGTTGATGTTGCTTGCTTCAACGAATGGGCCGTTGAGGAACAGATGAGCAGTGTCAAGAGCAAGAAGAGTGCGACCAGTATTAACACGCAGCGCCGACCACCTTATAAGATTGGAAAATTGGAAGTGCAGCTGCTATTTGTGCCTAAGCCTAAGGGTAGCAAGGATGAAGACATGCCAAAGAGCATGAATGCCTGCATTCGCGAAATGCGTGATGCAGAGAGTGTTGCAGCACGGTCCTGGGAAGGCTTCCTTTCCCAACAGGGTGGAGATTGTCCAGTAAGTGCTTATAAAGTATTGCTTTTCCGATTTCAAACTAACCTATCACAATAGTACTGGCGCCGTCGATTCTTCAAGCTTCAGGGATCCAAGTTAACGGCCTTCCACGAAACAACCCGCCAACCTCGTGCTACAATCAATCTAGCCAAGGCCTCCAAGCTCATTGACGATCGATCCTCTCTACTTCAGAAAGAGACCAGCACGAAGGGAGGTTCCCGCCGCAAGTCTGCATTTGCCGAGGAGGAAGATGGCTACATGTTTGTTGAGGAGGGATTCCGCATCCGCTTTGGTAATGGTGAAGTGATTGACTTCTACGCGGATAGCCCGGCAGATAAGGAGGGCTGGCTTCGAGTCATGTCCGAAGCTGTTGGGAAGGGCTCTACCTCCGGGAACGGCGCACTCAAGCCCTGGGCTGATCTTGTCCTCAAGCGCGAGCGCAGTATGAAAATCAGCAATGACACTGCTCCTCGTCGTCCGCCTAGTGGAATTCCCACAGCACCTGCCTCACTCCCATCTCCTGTTCGGAGCCGAGTCAATGCTATAATGGGACCTCCATCTTCTGCGGGATCTGGGGCGCCGGCGCCTCAACCCACGCGTCCTCGACACAAGCACACCTACTCTCAACCCGAGATGGGTAGTGCCGAAGCGCGTCGACAGAAAACCCGCTCTCTCATGTTCTAAGCAATGCTCTGAACACGAGTACAGTTCCAATGCACAGATCATCCTTCACTTCTTCTGTGCATGATGTCAGTTGTCACAATAACTCTTTTTATTTGTCACTCGGAGGTCTCCCATTGCATTTCAGTTCAAGTTTTTTGTTTTTTTTTTTGCGTTTCGCGATGACAGTCACTTGGTTTTTTTTGTTCATTTCCTTTTACAGGACTTTCCCTTATGATGTTGGTGTATGGTGCGACTCGTTTGAATTTCCTTTTCTCTGTCCAATTTCCTTTTCTTATGAATTATTGCAGAATGGCGAAGGCAACTATGGCAACTGTACGATTCAAGACCCCATAGCACGCACAAATGATTTCCTTTTGATATTTTTCTATTGTGCTTTCGCTGTACGTTCATGATACATACACTTCTCCTTAATTTGTTCCGCTCTTTTTAAGAGTCCATAATTCTCCTACAAAGTTCGTTTATTGTTGATGTTAAAGACTGTCAGATTATACCTTGAAAATCCAACGTTCAAAAGATTAAAAAAACTCGAGAGTCCAAACGTCGCCAAGCCGATTATTTGATTCCCCCAGTCCTCCATGAACCACAATACTGTTATCATCAAGGACATCCCCATCAAACCAACCTCGCGGATCAGGATACTCATCTCCTTGAGCCTCAACCTTTGTCCATGACTTGGCCTCAATATCAAACACCCACACATCACCCAGCATCTTCCCTGCACCCTGATGTCCCAAGGAACTAGGATCCTGCTCACCAAATAGGGTGACCAAGTACACACGAGCAGAAATAACAACAGGAAGCAAGGCCGCCACACTCCGCGGCGATGGTCCAGTCACACCATCCGCAACAAACGAGTGTGAGCTCCACAGATTAGATCCAGGCTCATAGACATCTACTTTACCGCCCTGTTCCCGCTCCCCATCAAACCCATTCATCCGATACAGTCTGCCTTGGGCAAATGCAATAGATGTCCCACCGCGCGGTGGATCCGGCGCAGGAGCAAGTTTCGTCCACTGTTTCTGGGATACGCTGAACGCCCACAGATCCGATAGACGGCCCTTTTCTGGACAGCCTGCGTGGATAAAGACAGTGTCTTTGCCGTCATTGGCTGTGCAGTGGTAGCTGCGCGCTGCTGGGATGGATGTCGGGGTTGACTCGGATGGTGCCAGGGAAGACCATTTGTTTGCGCTGGGGTCGAATTCCCAGACTGCGCCGCTTTCTTCTATAGGTGCCATTTCTGTGCCTCCTCTTCCGGAGAATAGGTAGATCTTGCCATTGAGGGTTGTTGATGCGGTTCCTACTCGTGGTGAGGGGGATGGCTCAGTGAGTGGCTCGGTGGATAGGGTTGCGGCTATGGGATCCGGTTAGTTGTTTCTATGTGGTGGTATCGGGTTTGAGGATTTTTGTCCCTCAATCATGTATGATATTGTTTGTTGGAACGTAGAGAAACTCACGATCTCCAAATGAAACAACGTCAACGTTATTGTCTCTGGGTTCTCGCGGCCGCAACTCCCCGCCAAAGATGTAGACCCTTCTATCAATGACAGAGACTGTTTGGGAGGATCGTTGTAGGATCTCTGCCCTGACTGCTTTGGTCCATCTGGCTTGAATAGCTGGCATGGTGGTAGGAATGGGGTTGATTGGGATATTTGTTGGATAGTATGGATTACGGGGATTTTAAGAGTCTTTATACCATGACTCCGAGGATATTGCTGTCAAATTAAGGCCGTCTTATTGGTGCCCGCTTGTATTCCTCGCTGATTGAGGCTGTGGTCTGACGTGGATGACGGACTTCCGAGGGGAGAGCCGTTGCCGCTGCTTTTAGGTTTGTTGAGGAGGACCTTGGTGGCCATCTAAGCCGTGCGAGGTTTATATTGAACATTGACCTCTTGGTTATACTTCGATTGTATAAACTCGCATTAATTAATGTTGTTGATGATTGATAATGTCTAACTCGCCTGAGTGCTATAAGAATGAGTTGATATAGATAAAACAAAAAGTTCGAAAGGAGATCTCAATTTTGTACACAGATCTATGTAGAACTAAAAGAACGACACAATGACGATTTAGGATTTCTTAAGATCAATCGGCGACAAATTATTTATCATTTTGAACCAAATAGATTTACATAGTCAAGTATAGGCGCTTCATCAGCGGTACCTAGTTATATAGAGTTGATTTGGAAACATTGTTATCGCTATTGCTAGCAACTAAGACATCCCCAGTCTTATTGTCATATGCAAAATCATCAGCATAGAAACTGCGAGCTAATAGACGGTATATACAGCCTGCGAGACTATCGTCATTTGAAATAGTGCATATCGTGTTGTTCCTATCTCCTTGTTCAGCGTGGTCATTCCATTTAGTGACAGGCCCTTCATCAGGTCGATGATTTGTCGGACAGTGTAATAGTTGACGGCGACTCGCACGCTCCAGAGAGAGATGGTAATCCCTAATAGTTTTAACACAAATATGCGCCTCTTGGGGGCTGTAACTCACAAAGAGACCTAAACTGTGTCCCCGAAGAATGCAATCTCCCAATATGTCAGGGAAATCTGACCCTAGCTGAATCTGTGTTATATATTCTGCTCCAATTCTTCAGTTCTTCCTAGGACTTTTGGACAGCTCTTGAATAGTTACATAAACAAACATTCCACTGTTTTGTTTCTCCTACATTCTCTCAACCCAAATTAATATAAATATAGCCCAACGCGGACACAACACCAACTCTTTGGAACAGAGAATGCGTTTACCAAGACATGTTGGTGATTTTGGCTACGAACAATGTCAAAATTTCTTTTATTTAATTGGGAGCTGTCTCCAAGCTCTTGTCAGAAAAAAATATCTCTTTGAGGCACCTCAACCGGTATGGAAAATTTGTGACTGCGTGTAAAGGTTCAATTTGGACTAGACAGGTTTCATATCATATCTACATTCTACATGCGTCTGCGCATAGAGAAACATAATGTACTACAATCTAAGAAGCATTTAGTTACATATATACGAGGAATGTTGTTTTTCGTATATTCGATATAAAGTTGCGTCATCTCGATCGTCGAATGATCTTCCGGGGAATGCGACATTATAAATGGCATCTGCACGACATCATCCATTAATAATGGAATCCCATCATATGTTGTATTTATTGCTTACAATCGGGCTTAATTCTTGTGTTTACCGAACGAAACTGTGCATTTATCAGCAATTCTCCATGTTGTACGGATATTGCGTGCTGTATTCTGACAAATAAACCCTACCCCCGCAACACCAGCGATGCTATATAAAGAGCCCTTTGTTATCGTTAACTCTAACTATTATCTGGGGATCATCTGTTCCATCTATTAAACAAGAACATAAATAACTCGTTATGGCTTCTGCAGCTGTTCAACTTCCCAGTTCTCACGGCCCTCTGCTCTCAGAAAAGCCCGGAGCCCCCGTCTCCGAAAAGCCTCACCATGTCCAAACTACACTCAACTTCTTCAAAGAGAACGAGGATGGATCTCCCCCAGCACCGACATATGTTAATAAGCCAGAAACTTATGATCGACCTGTGGCTCCTCTCGCAGCCACCATTCACGATATCAGCGGCCATGAGCTCGACTACAAGCTAGACAGCCATGGATTCCAGCTCTACTATCATGAAAGCCAAGAGAAGGACTTCCTAGACGACGAGAAGATCAAGCGTGAATACTACCCTGAAACAGAACAACTGCTAAAAGACGCGTACGCAATCTTAACACCCCGGATCTCTTCGAACAGAACTAACAATGACCTACACAGCACGGGTGCTTCCCGCATCTTCATCTTCGACCACACCATCCGCCGAGCCCAAACCGACGGATCCATCGGTGTCCGTCTCCGCGGACCCGTACAGCGCGTGCACATCGATCAATCCTACACCGCGTCCAAGAGCAGAGTCTCCCACCATCTCCCAGATGAAGCACCCGAGCTTCTCAAGGGTCGATACCAGATTATCAATGTTTGGCGTCCGATCAAAACCATCCTGAAGGATCCATTGGCTGTGGCGGATGCACACTCAGTCCCAGATAGTGATCTTGTGCCCATCGGTCTCATATACCCGGACCGTCAGGGTGAGACGTACGGAGTCAAGCCGGATCCTAATATCAAGTGGTATTACCGCTATGGGCAGACTCCAGACTTGGTGACTCTTATCAAGTGTTTTGATTCCAAGCTTGATGGAAGAGCTCGTCGTGTGCCTCATACTGCTTTTGTTAACCCGGAAACGGAGAATGAGGCGGGCCGAGAGAGTATTGAAGTGCGAGCATTGGTTTTCCATCCTGATGATCGTGACTAGGTTGCATCTCCAGAGTGGGGTTGATGGGTTGTTATCTTTGTAAATTCCTTTCGCCTTGCTTTCGAGAACCAGATTGATAGTGCTGGGGTATTGAGTTACGAATTTGATGAATTGTTAACTCTGTGTGTTTTGCTGGTTCCTTTTATAAATTGAGTCTGAGTTGCGACGGAGCCAGACCACGAGGTGTGCAGATATAGCGCATCGTAGGTCCATCCCTAGCGCAGGGTTCGATCGACACCCCACAATCCACCGGACTAGAGGCTTGGCTAACTTGGAGCAATCCTTGTTCTGCAAACTGGCGATTGATATCAATGAAACTGTCAAGAATGAAATGAGTCTATATAATTATTAAAAATAATCTAAGCTGTAAATGCAAATGCACACAATGCAATATATCCAGTCCCCACAGCACCTTATTTCTCCGCCACAGCCTGCTTCCAAGAGCTGGAAATCTTATTCCAATATTGTTCAGGATGAAGTCTCATATGTCCAACATGTGGCGAGCCCTCAAACATCTCAAGATCAACCGAGTAACCCAAAGTCTTAGCATGAGCGACATTCTCCTCCAAATCCTTGTAACCAATAATCTCATCTTCCTTGGAGTAAAGATAAACTCTGCTAGAATCGCTCGTGACACAAGATTTATCATTAATGATGCGATCCGCCCACACACCCGAAGCCTCAGAGCCACTCAGGAGTTGCCACAGGTAACTCGCCCAGAGGAAAATATACCAGATACCCTGAGTGACAATGAAGGGCCAGGGGAAGAACTTGGCGGTGCCGACCGTCATCGCACGCGACCACCGGGTAACCTGAGACGTGAAGACCAGACTTCCCGGCGTGGAATCCAACACAAGGAGCTCGTGGGGGAATGGCTTGTCTGCACCATGGCGTCGCTGGTATGCGACAACGACGGCGGCAGTGAAGATGGCGCCTGTGTTTGACATGGCATGTACAAGAACGCGCTCCTTTTCGTTGCCGCTGCCGGTTGGTGTGGGGAAGACGGTATCAACGACAGGCATCATGGCTGCGATCCTGGCTTCCTCGGGTTGGTGGCTGGCTTGGAAGGTACGCGATATGATAACGATGATCCGCGCGGATGGGTAGAGCTCATTGTAACCATCGGAATATTTGGTGACGTGTTTTGGCATGCCATCGCCCCAGCCGGAAATGATGATTGTTGTTGGCTCGTCGGCTGGGGATGGCTTGGTCTTCTCGTGCCCATTGCGAAGGTATACTCGATCAGATATCGGGGTGAAGCCCGGGAATGGAATGGGTTGTGGAGCCATTGTGAAGGTGTGGGCTGTGGAGTTATTGGAGCCTGCGCAAGGGGGATAGCCTTGAGCTAACTTTAATTCAAAAGTGTGACAGGTTGTTGAAGTCTTTTGGTCTAAGGTTGCTTCGGTCTTGTTATTATATGTATGCCAGCGATTTTTTTTAAAAAAAAGAAAAGAAAAGAAAATCTCCTTCAGTGACCAAGGAACCAATGTGGAAATTATCTACTCCGTAGGTAGGGGAGATATTATATTGGTCGAACAATAACGGTTGGGATCTGTTTGGCCGCCAGCACCAATCTTTTCATCGCAGGTGGAGTTGTTGGGGAAGAATAATCAGAATATAAAGGTCTTGGCGAGTGAAATGTTTGGATACCTCGGCAATTGCCTGATTGGGACAATTTATCCCTGAGGCATAAAATAATGCAACCCCTTGGTTTGTAATCTGGAATAAGAGAGATCAAATTCAATCATGAATACTTAAATGCTTGTAGAGATACATTATTGAAATCCACCCGAAAGTGATCGAACCTGCAGAATAGTCAGTCCTTGCTGTACCTGATATCTCTTTTTAAAATCTATATCCCAAATTTATGCATAACCTTTGTCTCCACCTAGAAGCCGAAGTGCAGAAATCCCGAACCGTGAAACCCGAAACCGAGAGCTTGGAGACAACAGCTCCACTGCACCCAAATCAGCACAGGAAGCTAGGCCTAGCCCATTCAAACTGACTATGCCATAGGAACAAATTTGTCCCGGTCGTCCTTACCACCATACTCACCCAGCCGCGGGACTTTGCCTCCTCGCTTTGAATGAGGGCGAATAAATATGTTACAACAAAGAGTGCAATTTCCATGGCCCAACTGCCGTGTAGACCATCAAGGTAACATTGTCGCTCACCTAGAAGCGCTGGCCCTGAGAAGAGACATCTTGAAGCCCACTTAAACTGGCAGCGATGACATCTTCGGGATTGACACCCTTCATATATTTGGGGATATTTTTCAGAAGTAAGTTATTCATGATCGAATCTGTTGAAAAACCAAGTTAATTCTTCATAATTAACATACAAATTGGTTCCAGTTCAACGCTAAACCCTAATTGATTCCACGTATACAAATGTTTCTCGGGCGCTCAAACCTGCAGAGCTCCCACGGAATTGAGATTAGCGGCATCGATGCAGTTCGACGCCTCTATCACATATCCTACCATACAAAATCGAGTATTTCGAGTTTCAAGCCTATATTCTAGTTCAGACTGCTTTCAGTCAACGGGATCTTGAAGAATCCAGTACTCAGTACTGACACGTCTCATTGAACTGACTCTTCATGATTCCACGTCGCATTTCTCTTCGCAAATGTATACTAGTTAGAAAGGAAGATAGGATTCACAGGGGTGGAGATGAAGCCATAAATATGGCTTCATCCCCAGGCACTTGAGAAGATCAGACAGTTTTCAATTTAATTTCTTATACTTGTGAAAGATTCAAATTCCTAGTTACTCCATGCTGTTTGGTGTACTATTCCTATAGTATATTATTCAACAGAATCCGTCGAGCCGATACCATAAGCGGCCGAAATAAATTGGAAGACTATGAATAGGTCAGTGGATTGGCAGGTAGTATCTGGAATACATTTGGACGTACATAGAACAGTCGCCATGGTAACAGGCTGGTCTTCTATCAAGCTTAATGATCCTGATACAACAACAGGGATCTAAACTTAGAGTCCGGTGCCTATGCCATAGAGAATTTCATATCCAACGGGAAGAGTGGAATTGATGGAATAAGAACTTAGCCTACTACCATCTCGATATGGCTGGTCTCCTGATCCTTAATAACTCGGATAGTTAAGTATCCAGCCAATAATAGAAAGTATCCGATGAATGAATGATACGACAAAAGAGCCCGAACATCCCTGTGAAGGTTGCATCAGGCTATTATCCGTCGGTGAAACACCCCTCTGTAGGCAGCAATACCGCAATACCTTTTAATGGCGGGGTACGTCCATAGCGCAATTATCCTAAGAATAATGCCCCGAGGCACAAATTGATGATTTGCAAGGTGATGGTCAGTAGTTGACGGTACAAAACCCTTCAATACCTAATAACTAAAAGAAACCTTCGGGTAGTGCGATACCATCTCATCCTACCTACATGTAGGTAACAAAGCTAATAAACCGACTTTCCAAAATGGACAGATTTCAACCGTTTGCTCGAAACACACCGATAATGCCCCGCCCCCAAGCCCAACCGCTTTGCGACTGTCTCGCCCGGACAACACAAGCCCTCCATCGCTTCCCAAACTTCTCGACTGGATCTTCAGATACTTATTACATACCTCTAGATGAAGTCCTCACTGTCGGAGACTCTTTGATTGACCACTGGAAACTATTACATGGCTGCCGCGTAACCGATACCCATCTAGACAAGCGAATGCTGCAAACAATGATAGATGCGGCCATCAAGATGCTCACACTGTACGACGCGGCGGTTGCCTCAATAATCGGAGGCTGGCGTGAGACCCAGGAGCCCAACAGTGGGGGTATTGGTAAGTGAATCCAACGTGCGAGATGATCCACTTATTTTAACTCACGAAGTACTAACGGGGGTGGCTTAGACCCATCTAACAATCCGGCGAGCACTTGCGACGGAAACAGAGATGACCCAGTGGAAACAAAGCCTAAAGTCATTGTAACCAAGGTGACGGTAAATGTCGGGGTTCTGCAACTAGATATCCAAGAAGTAGCGGCTGTGGCGGGAGAGATTTTACGTCAGGCTACTACGTGGTTGGGGGAGATGCTGCATGATATTGAGGAAGACATGAGTATTCTTCGGGATGGGGTGAATCATTCTCAAGGGAGTGTCAAGCTGAGGGAGGTGAGAGATCTCAGGTCTTGGATGCTTCGAATTTTGGGACGAATCAACAGTAACAATATGAATATGAACGAGTTGTGAAATCGAATAGAAATCATTTTGATAAGTGTTATGCAATATGAGCCAAACACCAGTGATGATCACTGGAGCCAAGGTGTAAGCGGTTGATTTGTCATTTATATAGAGATATCGGAGAATGATATGCCAAGCATCACAGCAAATACCTCGAAGTTTATATACGTATCGATGTCCTTATTTGATCATATCGCAAGACTTGATCCTCGTCAAGCACCTTTCAACCAAAGTGGAAACGAACAAAATTGCATATGGTAACAGTGGAGACGAGGTTGCGCACCTTTAGATGTCGCAGGATTGCCGACGAGTGGTAGCCGGATCATCCAATGGAGCGGTCAGACTGTGGGACGTACAGACAGGAAACCTCTTGTACGCTTGGAGGTTTCCCTCCAGCATTTACGAGTTAGGTTTTGTCTTTTCTTCTGAAAACTAACTGGTTGTTTGCTCGCATGGTACTTCCTGTTATTGTTATTTATGGAATACAGAAAGCGGAGGTATGAGGAGTAAGCACACTCACGTCCTCGTATGACGGGTCGACTTGACACGGAGCCCGAGTTGGGCGATTCATTGGGTGGATGGGTTCGAAGGCATAAAGATAACGAAAAGATCCTGTGGCTGCCGTCTGAACATCGGCAGAACAGCGATAGACGTATCATCAATAACAAGATGCCGATGTGTGGAAGTGCTCATGGGACTGTTTATTTCTATTAATTCCAGCTGGATGGAAGTCCGGTTTGACTTCAAGCTCCTTCGGAAGCGAGGTCAATGAATGTCGATAAAAAGAACATATCAATTACTTTGTACATCTGCCCAGTATCACTAGCGGTAACCTAGTTCCCAAAAAATGGTTGCTTTTTGTTTAGGCATACTGTGGCTCGAATTTCGATTGCCTTAAGCTGTTGTGGTACCTAAGAAGGAGAAGCTTTCTCTTCCGTGGTGGTACAAAAGGGGCCCCAAGAAACTCCCGAATAGAGTGATATCAACCACCATGGGGGATGCAACAAAAAGTCCTGATGGGAATCTTGTGGTTTGTTTGTGTCGCAATCGGAGGGCGGGCGCTTGCTGGTTAAGACAGACATCTTCATGCACCTCCCCTTCCTGTAAATCCGAGCAACAACACTGATATCTTCATTCACTTTTCTTTACAAGAAACGTACCATCTTACCGCGTCTTCTGCCTCCAGGACCTTCTATCTTCATTTATTTCCATTTGCCGTCGCAAAAATGTCATCCGAATTACTTCCTTCCGGCTGTGGTGTCTGCGGCCAGCAGGAGAATCTTCTTCAATGCACAGGCTGTCAAGTGCTGCTATACTGCGGCCGCGATCATGAGATTGATGATCGTCTATCACACAAATCTATATGCCGCTCTATGCTCAGATCTCGTGTCACTATGGAGAAAGAAGAGCAAATCCTGCGCAGCCCTCCTGAAAAATTCATGATGTTCGGAGACGCTTTCATTCATCATGTCGGAAATTTCTGGGGGTTAACGGAAACCCGGAAATATATGCGGGCTCGGCTTGCACTTGTCGATGGAATACTACCGAGTGTGTTGAAGCGCAGCTTCATCATACCACAGATATGTTGCGTTTGTGCCGATCGGATAACATGGGCGTGCGGGATATGGTACCTGCGCTCATGTTGCGTCTCCACAAAGACCAAGATTGTTACTACTTTATCAATTGGTGGGTCCTGAGCACTAGGAATCCGTGGTATGACTGGGGTATCAGCCCTACTTCATGTCCTGATTCTAGAAGAGCCGATGTATTCGAGGGTGTTGGTGGTTTCCTCAATAAGTGCGGGGATATCAGTCATACCTCTTGCCTGACTCTATTGAAAATTAAGCTGCTCCTCGATCTCATGAGACTGGAGCAGTCATCATCGAGCTTAGCTTCAAGGTTTCCTCCAGCAATACTTCATCAAATTCAGTCCTCGGTGCCTCAGAACCCCGTCGTGTGCGCCAACCGCTCCATCATGGATGGCGAGGCTGGTACTCGCCCAACTATGATTCGAAGGTTAAAGAAACAGATCGATACCCTGTATCAGGACGTACACGGGGCAAATAGCGATTTTTGGACCGCTATCGTCAATCCGCCCAATCGTGCAAGGAAATTTCCTACGGTATATGGGAATGGAAGTGCCGAGGAAATCCAATTGATGATCCATTTCAACTACGCCGCGTGGGTTGAGACGCCAGGTGCTATTGATTTCATCAAGGCAAAGGTCCACGGTGGTAATTGATTGGGAATTACTGTATTGTTGGAATGAGAGATGCATGTATGTGTATTTTGAAATGAGTCTCAGTCAAAACGATGTGGAACAAACACCTTCTAGTAACTATAAGTATCCAACGTAAGCCAGGTTAACAAATGACTGACAGGGCTTAGCGGGTGGAGTAGTCGTGGTAAACCAATATAAAATTGGTATTAAGAGATAGAGCAGGAAGTTATAATTGACTTCTAATTGAAATGGGAGCTATAACCCTTGACATTATGGTGCAATTTCAAAAAATTAGATTCGCGCAAAGATAAGAAACTTCTTTTCCTCGAACCTCAAGATTTCCAAATTTGGTTATCAAAATGTCGTAGACTTGCATATGTCACAAATTACTAGAAACACTCTTCTTTTCTCTCTTTCGTGTCAATTGTTCTTCATTCCCTTGATGTTATTTAAGGGTTGATATCTTGTTCTTTGCCAAATATAGCTGATAAGGGAAATCTTCACCAGATCCAACTTCGTGATGTCATCGCAGAAACCCAGGGAACGTGACATCATTTCTTGGCTTTTCAAAACTCAAGACGTCCTTTATTGAATTACATGATATCCTCATATTTTTATACTACCTATATATATACGGGGGTGATATTTTGCTATGAAAGTCGCTATTCCCCGGCAACGGTTCATGGTCGCACCGCCACACAACAAACGAGTCTCACGGGCATGCGAAGCATGTCGTGGACGAAAAATAAAATGCGATGGCCAGACTCCAACTTGCAGAATATGCGAAGAAACGAAAATTCCTTGCATCTACCCGCTAAAGTCGCGTGAGAAAACGACGAAGTAAGAATAACCAGAACGACTCATCTATCAACAACCAATAGATCTATACCCCTTTTACATGCAATAATTTGGGGCATGAGCTAAACCTACCGCAGGGAAATTGAAAGTCTCCGTAAAAAATTGCAGGAATACGAGACTATGTTGAAAGAGATAGGAGATGTGGTTGACGACCAATCTGCCAAGCGCATTAAAGATCTACTCCAAAAGGTGAGGCGTTTATTATATCAAAGACATGCCTTAGCTAATACTTTGAATAGAATAACTCCAAATCAGGCCATGTGTCGAATGGAATGCCTGATAAGTCTCAGGACCAAACTGGGTCATCTAAGCGATCCAGTTCACCTTCTTCCATTGGGTCATTGGAAGCGGTAGATCGAGTCGAGGAAGACCTCAATCTTACAGAAAGCTCTCGGGCTACTGGATATATGGGCAAGAGCTCGGAGATTACGTGGATGGGTCGGGTGCAGGAAGAGGCAGAACAGCGCAATCGCGGTCAATCACCAAAAGCCACATCCGAAAATCATACCGGTGACAAAATTTCCCCGACCACCGTCAACTATCATATTGATGACCTTGGGGTTGATGCGCCTGGACTGGTGCAAATGTACTGGGTGCCTCCTCGACATGTAGCAGATCATCTGTTCGAAACTTATCTGCTCGCAGTCCACCCGCATTTCCCTATCATCAACAGCACTTTGTTTTCCACTCAATACAGGGACTTCTTCGATGAAACATCCTATGCGGGTGATAAGTGGATGGCAATATTGAACATGATCTTTGCCATTGCAACAGAGTACTTATATAACAGTGATGTTGCACAGCGGAGGGATATCAAAGACCATCTCTTCTACTTAACGCGAGCTAGAATGCTAAGTATGGGTGGCGACAGCTTATTCGAACATCCGGATCTGCAACAAGTGCAAATAGAGGGGTTGATTGCATTTCACATGCTCTCCACAAACCAGATTAATAGGTGAGTTCATTGATCCCTGTTCCTTACCGAATGAATCTGACAGGTGTAGGGCGTGGAGAATCTCGGCTTTAGCAATTCGGTCCGCTACCTCCCTTGGCATCAATCTGAAAAGCAGTTGCCGTAAAATGTTAGGCGTATCAAAGGAGATAGGCTGCCGAATTTGGTGGTGTCTTTACACGGTCGAACACACGCTAGGGTCGATGACTGGTCGGGCAACCTCTATTTCGACCAATATGTACACCACTCAACTACCCCTTCCCTTCGACGAGGATCATCTGTCGGAGCCATCAGCTAAATTGTTTCTTGATAACTTCGATATAAGAGAGAAACGCGTGGACATGGCTATGACTAGCCCACACATTCGCTATCCCGACAGCCAGCAGACTGAAGATGCACTGGCTGGGCGCTTGTGGCTTCAAAGCCTACCAGTTAATTCCAGTCTGTATTTCCTGTACTACTGTGATCTCACAGTCATCAACCAGGAAATCCTAGACCAGGTCTATTCAGCGGAGAGTGCAGCAGTATCTTGGGAAGATATCAAGGGCAGCATTAGTCGGCTGAAGGCGACTGTCGATGCATGGTTATTGACTCTTCCCCCCGGGCTGGACTTCACTGCTTTAAAAGATGAAAATCAGAAAACTTATTGGGCGAAGACAAACTTGGCTTTCCACTATCATAGCACACGGATCGTGCTAGGTCGGCCATGTCTCTGCCGACACAACCCAAATCAGACCGACAGACGACGGAATAGTACCGAAGAGCGGGGATTTAGTCACGACATGGCTGTGATGACCCTAGAGTCAGCGATGAAAATGCTCGATTTGTTACCCGACGAGCCGAGTTCTGTGCATCTATATCAATTCTGTCCGTGGTGGTGTTTCCTTCACTATATCATGCAGGCAGCAACAGTAATTATACTGGAGCTCTTGTTTCGATGTGTTCACATGCCAGACCGACAAAGCAGTCTGATTCAGTCAGCGAAGAAGTCTGTCCGGTGGCTTTACATGATGTCCACACATTGCATTGCGTCGCATCGTGCATGGCAACTTTGTGAAAGTGCACTTCGTCGGCTGGTGTCTAGCATGGGATACGACGACAGCGACACACCACAGACTCCAAACCAGCAGCCTGATGGCCTATCTGGTGATCATGTCGACCATGTGCCGCCTGCACAGCGTGATGGAAGACATGACGGCATGCAAGGCTTGTCTTACAATGGTCAATACCAATCGTCAATACAGCCTCATGAAAATCATGATGTGGGGCATTCCAATAATGACTCAGACCTCGCGGGTTCTTTGGCGTTTGGGATTTTATGCGCGCCAAGTACCGAAGAGCATACTGCAGGCGATGCTCATTTCCCCTATGACCCAATTAGCCAAGAATTTATTCGTTATCTCTTCCCCTCGCTGGATGGAGGGGATAATCCAAACGGCGAAAAACATACATTCTGATGCAACTGCATATTTGTCAAAGACACTCACTAGACGAGAAAATTGACGATAGGCATCAAAATCAAGCCGCTAGTGTGCTGCAACATCTCATATTGAGAAATGGCGAAAGGTATTGTACGGAAGCGCCGAAAAGTAAGGACATTTCATCATGATGTCTCAGGTTGGTGAAAATGTGATCTAAGTAACAGTGACGGTATACGATGACCTTGGTTACACGACACCTTCGCCAGGGTTCCTGAGGTTTCTTGCTAGAAGCCAACTTGCACATCGGCTGCCTCACGGCTCGCTTGTTAAGCACGTGGGGAGTCCGAATGATCATCAATAGGGGAGGGTGTAATGCATGCCGTCGAGAGGTGTGAAATTCGCGAGATGGAAGGGGCTGATGAGTACGATGGACCTCAGATCGTGGGGCTTGTGTCAAACATTTAATATGGTTTTAATACTCCAGCCAAAAAGCAAAACAACGATTATAAACACAGATCAAAAGAAACATGGGATGTTTAAGCAAGATCCCATGAACTTCCACCTGGTCTGAAAGATTAAAAGATTTGCTTCCACCAATGCACTTTTTTCTTTTGTCCCTTTTCCTCTTGTACTTCTATCTCCTGTACTTTTACCTCCGCTCCCTTTTCTGTCTGTGCCTTTTCTGCCTGTGCCTTTTCTGCCTGTGCCTTTTCTGCCTGTGCCTTTTCTGCCTGTGCCTTTTCTGCCTGTGCCTTTTCTGCCTGTGCCTTTTCTGCCTGTGCCTTTTCTGCCTGTGCCTTTTCTGCCTGTGCCTTTTCTGCCTGTGCCTTTTCTGCCTGTGCCTTTTCTGCCTGTGCCTTTTCTGCCTGTGCCTTTTCTGCCTGTGCCTTTTCTGCCTGTGCCTTTTCTGCCTGTGCCTTTTCTGCCTGTGCCTTTTCTGCCTGTGCCTTTTCTGCCTGTGCCTTTTCTGCCTGTGCCTTTTCTGCCTGTGCCTTTTCTGCCTGTGCCTTTTCTGCCTGTGCCTTTTCTGCCTGTGCCTTTTCTGCCTGTGCCTTTTCTGCCTGTGCCTTTTCTGCCTGTGCCTTTTCTGCCTGTGCCTTTTCTGCCTGTGCCTTTTCTGCCTGTGCCTTTTCTGCCTGTGCCTTTTCTGCCTGTGCCTTTTCTGCCTGTGCCTTTTCTGCCTGTGCCTTTTCTGCCTGTGCCTTTTTTGCCCGTGCCTGTGCCTCTGCCTGTGCCTGTGCCTTTTCCCTCTGTACCCTTTCCTCCCATGCCTTTTCCTCCCGTGCCTTTTTCTCCCGTTCCTTTTTCTTCTCTACTTTTTCCCCCTGCCGCGGCTTCACAAAATAAGCCTCTGCCATCTTGATAACATATGACGGATTACGGGATCGAAGCATTGAGTCGAGCTGATCTACAGCCTCTTGCACCTCTTCGGCCGTATGTTCAAATCCTCTCTCGCTTGCACAACAGCCACAACCAGCTGTACAGTGCCCAACCCCTTTCTTAAATTGAGCGGGTGCACGATCTTCGCAACAGTCACAGTCACGGGCGCAGCAGCCACCTCGGCCAATGCAGTCCTCGACCAGCTGCTTCCGAAGATACCATGTTGGGTCTTGTCTGGTCGCATCGTAGTCTTGTTTCAAGGGCCCCGGTGGGAGCATTGATTCCTCGGCAAACAGGGTTTGCTCATTCTTTCTGTGTTCTCGCTTGACAGTCTCTAGCTGTTCGTGGTATTGTTGAAGTTGTTTCTTCTCTTCAAAGTCTTCTAGGTCCTCTGGGACCTTTTCTAACGCCCGTATATTCTCCTTGAGGTTCTCCATTCTTTGAAGTGTTTGCCGAAATTTATATTCGGCGGTGATAAGATTCGCGAATATATCCATCTCAAACATGAGGTCGACTTTATATTGAAGACGCGACTCGGGAGGACGGTAATCAGGCACTCCGTAACCCCGCGCTGGTTTAAATGCCTGATTATTTTCGAACATCTGGTCGTACCTATGACCGCTCATGGCCGCGGATTGGTGTGTATTGCACTTCCGAAAAATAAAAATTGATACGTGTGTTAAAGGAAGGAAAGCCTGTCTGAGATATTGAAGTGTGATGGTGTGAAGAAAAAAAAAAGTCAAGTGAGGGTGGGGAGGAAACAAAACATATAATGATATGACCGTCGCCCAAAAGGGTATCGGACACTTTTACTAGTTCCCATAGCTACATTTCTTTTTATAAATACACTACCGACTTCGAGTAACAAACTTAAAATGCGCAAAAAGTACAATGCCGTACGAGGCGGTATATATGTTCTATATATGTTCCTGCAGTATATCCACACTGTGCCAAGTATCTAAAGATAATAAATGTACAAAGGCCAGATCATTAGCCCCAATTTCAATCTCCAAAAAGGACGATCAGTATTCCTGCTGATCGTTCCAGTAAGTAGTTCCAGAGGTGGTTGCACCTGTGGGCTCAAGGTTCCACCTGAGAACCAACTTAACCCACTGCAACAAGTGACTCGCAATCTTGACATGTCCCACATCCGTAAGATGGTTCTTGGGGTTAATATCGTTATGTTGCAGCAGACCCTCGGTGGGGAAATAGTAGACGAAACCACGGTCCTTGAAGTGCTCATTGACCTCCCGGGTCTCTTCCTGGTAGAAAGTGCTACCGACGTACTTCTTTCCTTCCCTGGTAAAACCTCCCCATTGGGACTGTTGAAAGTTAGCTGGATGAACATTCACAGTCAAAGTTGTAGACGGAATAAAGACATACCATGAGGATGATGATCGCATTAGGCCAGTTAGAGTGGATATCGTCAACCAAGTCGACGTAGGCGTGATAGTAGTCCCGGCCGGGGATTTCATTGGGGTGGCGGTGATCGTTACCACCCATCTGGATGATCACCAGATCGGCTGGTTGCTCTGCTTTTACGTCCCACTTCTCGGGGTTGCGGTCGTAGATCGAGTGTGCCCGAGAGCCTGGGTCTGAGGCGCGGTGCCAGTACCATCCCTAGTGGCGTTGTTAGTTGACGGTGGGGTTCCTAGTGAAGATATGGGGTTGGTGACATACTACGCCGCGAGAGCCGCCGTTGTAGCATTGTTCATCGGCGAGACACACGCCGGGATAGGCCTGTGAGACTGTCAGCACATTTAATCTAGGAATTCAATTTAGAGCAGACTGACTGTGATGCCATATTCGACATTGCCTAAACCGTTAGCGAAGAGGAAGGACCATGAGGAGAGTGTCTCATAAGTGGCGAATTGCCCAGATGCAAGCCTTGGAATGGTTAGTTGCATAGAAGAGAAGCTGGTAAGGTTGGAAGACTCACGAGCCGCCGATGATCTCAACTCTCTTTTCGAAGGTCGGGGGCTTAGTGAGGACAGCGTCATTCGCGACAGCTACGCCAGCGATTTGGACTGTGTGGACGGTAAGTAACGAACAGATTGAACGACGGGGAGAGACTTATCCAATGCCCCAATTTGTCACTATAATGCAGTTAGTATGCGGATTGTTACTGGGGCTTGAAAGGATGCATACCTCTCATCTCAAAGATATTTTTGTCAACAGGTTGGTCGCCATCTTTGAGCTCTGACGATGGACCAACAAATTGATATGTTGATGAGGCGGTGATATTAGAAAATTGCCAGTCAAGAGAGCCAATCCTGCTAATGTTTAGACCAATGAATACATAGAGAGGGATATGTATACATACCGGTAGGCTACGAGGACACCTGTGTTGGTGCTTGGGCCGAAATGGACAGCAAGCTACAATGATGATGTTAACATGTGGACCCATTTTTAAGGTTGATCGGAATGACAAGATGTACCTTTTCCCCAGAGAACTCGACTTTGATTCCCGGTGCACTGAATTAATTAGTAAAGCCGATAACATACTATGGAAAGTGTTACATACGACCACCCTGAGTTTTGTCCCACGGTTAGTATTAAGGTTAAAACAAGAATCCGGGGAAGAGGAGCCAGGAGATGGGGAACATACAAGAAATGTGCTGGCTATCCCATCGACCTTTGTATGAGATCTCCGGGGCATCCGCCGGATAGTTCCTCCATGAATCATCCAAAGTCACCGGTTGTAACTGGCCGGGGTATGAATTCTCTCTCACTTGACCGTTCTCAAGAATGGTGGCCGAAGCAACCAAGGCCCATGAAAGAAAGGTCGTGAATGTTTGTCCAAGCCTCATCTTGGAAGTGATAGTGTTGTTTCCTACACGAATTCTGGTTCCTGTTCCTGTTACACCCCCTAAGCCATCAAGTTCTCCTGACTAAGGGGTAAATTCAGACGGGTCTGAATGGATATGTCGGGTTTAAACTAAAATTGCGTGATCTTGGCCCGCCACCACCCGGCTTTTGTTGCCAAGCATGTGTATTGTCATTTCTATTACAGTACGGATTACAGCCCCGGAGAACTATATCTGATCAATTTCCCGACCCTTAAATCTTTTTTAAATTGGGATAAAAGTGGGTATTGGGTCCACACAAGGTAGTTCTAGAACGTAGTTTAGGTCAAAAAAAGTGCACAGTGGCTAAAAATGCATCTCTACCCCGAATACGTATGTCCTTCGTATGTTGTATGTCAAACGTCAATACCTATCTCCGAAGAAATCGGGATATAGGCAGCCACTTACGCCCCCTGCGCGTACATTTATTATATTACCATGCAGGGGTACCTCTAACCAGACGATCTTTTCTACTTGAACTCTCCAGGGCTGAAAGTCAGTTTCGACTTTAGTCAAATAAATAGGTCGCCAAGAACCGAGATATTCTCATTTGATCAGACAAAGATACAATGCGTTGACAGACGCGGGAAGGAGATCCTCATAGGGCTCATAATTTCTTTTTTCTTTTTTTGCTATGCATCACGTTCATTATTTCCCTTCCAAGCCTTACGAGGCATATGCTGTCTTATTTATGGCTCTAATAATAGACAAAGGCTAAAAAGCCCACAAAGTACTCCGTAGATAGGAGGATAGGAGACGTATGTTGTAAGTTGACTGCAACTTAAAATAGCCAGTTTCAGTTCACTTGCTCGATTCTGTGTATTGTCATGTGGCTCAGTACCCGAGGTTAATGTTGGACTCCGTACGGAGTACAAGAGTACACCGTAGACCCAGGTGACGATCACTAACTGTCATAGGGCAAATAAACAAACACTAAGTTGATTAATTTCGCATTAAAATTCCAGACCCATCTTTTCAATAGCCTAGCGAGCACCTGAATAATTAATCCCACAACCTAGTGGGAGCCAAGAGTTTCCTCTGCATAATTGGCTGTATTCGATATTATCGAAATGCGATACATGTTTCAAATTCCTTCGATTCAAAATCAAGTTCAACTGTCACATTCCAACAAGAGACGGAATGTTTGTTATCTCAATTATTGCTCCTGTTCACCATTCCTGAAACTATGTTCATGGGGGGGTATCGGGAAGTTCGGGTACATGTGATCTTCACGGAGTCCGAGTATCAGATAGCGTGTACAATCTACTCCATACAACATACTTCATACTCCGTACGGAGTACATATGGAGTACATGCTCCATATACGGAGTAGACAACGGATGAACATGCCCAGGGTTCTCGGATTCGTATTTGGCGGAATAGGGGTTCAACTTCCAAGGTTGAATAAATTCCATCCCCTTCCAAGGATACTAAAAGTACGGAGTACTCGCATACAACACGGCGTTAATACCGAAGCGTACCGTCGATTTTCAAAAAGGGAAATTCGAAACCCTGATTCCGATTTGCTGGTCGGACCCTGGCCAATTAAATTCGCAACCTGGGGTACGTGCCATGAATGCCAAGATCTGGCGTAATTTGAGGCGGCCTTTAGCCCATGGTTCATATGGGGGAACTACTAGCTGTTGATTGGCCAGTCAGCTACTAGTTTGCAAAGCGTCGTCAGCTTCTACACAATCTGATAGCTTAATTTGTGGGAGGCTGGAGATAGCTTCAAATCTGCTACTTGGATTAACCCCTTTCGATTGTTTGTATGGAGTATGGAGTACGGAGTATGCAGGACTATGCCTATCCCCGACGGCGATGTAACTATGTATTAATACACACAACGTCCACACGGACATATAGGCGTTTTGACATCTATTTCACGCGTGTCCTCTTTCATCTACCCCGTACTAGGAGATTCAAATATAGATCAAGGGCAACTGAATACGCGTAAACGAGCGGATTATAAATTATGCATCTCATAAATAGTATAATTTACATGTCGTCACATATTTTGAAAGGTATTGCCCTTGTATTTCCAAAGGGTCCACTTATGTCGGCCCCACGCGATACATACAACATACAACATAATAAAGTACATCCCCCCAGCTCAAGTTCGCCCTCATTCACCTCGTACCCGTTTTCCGCTTGGCCAAGATCTTCGACTCGTGGGAATGGATAAACTGATTAGCATTTCTCTTACATATACCCCGTTCTCCTGTCTTGGCCACTTTTTCCTTCTGAACTTCTTTACACTCTTTGGGGAGATTTCGCAGTAGGCTCTCTAAATAACCTTATCTGTCCCTCCTTCTCTCTTTATATCTTCAAGCATTTTGTTTTTTTTGTTTGGCATTTTTGGAGCTTTTTCGACGTTCAATGTTTAGAGCTGCATTTGGCTTTCCATTCCAACCAACCTACTAGACACCCCGAGTCTTCTATTGGACTCGTTCGGTCTCTCATTCACTCATTATAACGCCCGTCATGGAGTATATTCAGCCCAACCATATTTACTCCCGCATATTGGACAACATTCCCTGGAAGTCCGCAGATCCATCAGTGAAAGGTGATCCGCGGAAAAGTGTGAAGTGGATCGATGTGCGTTTGCATCTCAGCCTTGTAAGGATGAAACTTGTTACTAACATCAATTAATAGGGCCTTCGAGGAATCGCTTCATTCCTAGTTATCCTCACTCACCTTGCCCGAGCATGGGATTACGACCTCTTCGCCCCTCGTGACGATGTTGACACCCCTCCCCGAATCCTGCAGTGGCCCGTCTTCCGTATTCCTTGGCAAGGCCGTTTGGGTGTTACAATCTTCGCCTTCTTGACTGGTTACGTTTGCGCCCTCAAGCCTCTCAAACAGTCCCGCAATGGCGATATACTTGGATCTTTCACATCGGTTGGCAAGAGTGCCTTCCGCCGCCCACCTCGCCTCATCTTCCCCGCCACTATCGCCTTGCTCATCTCATGGGTCATGGCACAATTTGGCGCCTTCATCGCTGCGAATCGCTCCGACTGTTGGTGGTGCCGTTACGCGGCCGTCGATTTGGCGCCTACTTTCTGGGAGGAGTTCGTCCGGCTGTTCAAGACCTTCCTTGAGGTTTGGACTACTGGCTATATGGCGTACGATGATCACCAGTGGGCTTTGCTTCCGCTGCTCCAGGCATCTATGTTGATTTACGTCCTTATCTGCGCAACAATGTTCTGCAAGTTCCGATTCCGCGTGGCGATCTATGTGGGAATGTACCTATACTTCCACCAGAATGCAGCCAAAAACACCGGTAAGTCGTATGAGAAACCCAAAATTCTTGACCCTGGTACTAATGAACAAACAGAAACCTTCCAAATGCAGGCAGTCTACGGCATGTTCCTTAGCGATCTCTCATATGAAAAAGGGTTCAAAGAGTTCGTCGAGCGCCACAGCTGGGGCCGCAAAATCGTGGCGGGCATCCTTCTCTGCATCGGCCTCTTCGTCTGCTCTTACCCCGGAGAACACCCCGAATGGGCTACATGGTCGACCTACATGGAACAGGCCTCGCACTACATCTTCCCCCCGAAGGTCAACGTCGGCAGACGCTACTCCGCCCTGGGTGTCGACCTTATTATTTTCGCCATCTACATCTCGCCCTCCACCAAGGACTTCCTCTCCAGCCGTCTCCTCCTCTGGCTTGGTAAGCAGAGTTTCGCTGTTTACCTTGTGCACGGCACTCTCCTCCGCACCGTTCTGTGCTGGATGCTTTACGGAATTACCGGCCAGCCCTGGGACGGTGATATCGTCGACGAAAAGGGTAACCCGATCTACGGCGAGGACGGCGAACCCCTCCACCCGCACTGGATCCCCATTCGCGCCCCTTGGGTCGTGGCTATCAGTATCCCGACTTGGATCGCGCTGGTCTACTTCTGCGCTACTTTGTGGACGGGATATGTTGACCCCTTCTGCGCGCGCATGGCGCAAAAATTGGAGAAGTGGATGTTCGAGGAGGGTGAACAAGCCCCGCCCCAGCTGCCTATGACTAGCATCCCTATGCCGACCACTTAATTTCGGAGCATTTTGGTGAAGACGTTGGAATGATTTCTTTAGAAGCAGTGCCCTGGCGGCCTGAGCTTTCTGTCAAGTGTCTATATGTCACTCTGTTACATTTACTTCTCATATCTTGCATTTTCTTTTTTTCTACGATACACATTTGATTAGTTCTTTTCAGCCTATTTTTATCATTTTTGTTCAGATCATGATTGGTGTTCTTTTTTTTTCTCCTGCCCCTCTCTTTTTTTTTCCGGCTTTTGTTCTCTACAAAATGGAGACAATTGAGCCGAGGACTGTCAGTGACTGTGGATAATTTCGGATGTACATATGAACATAAAAATCAATACCCGAATGACTTGTATAAAATCCAAATTCCAAAAATCAACCTTGTGAGAAAGTACATAGTACCACGTCAGCCACACAGCCGCCTGTCCATGTGTCCAGGCCTCAAATCTCACGTATGACGCGCATTGAATATTCAATAGCCATTGACTATTAATACCAAAAGAAGAAAAAGGGGGCATGACAAAGTCTTAACTCCGAACCAAAGCGTCAGCCCCAGACCCCACTATACAGAACAAATTACTCAATATAAACATGGTATTGCCAAAAAAAAACACATCCAAAAAAGACAAAGACAAGCCCCCATCGCTATCGTATTTCCCCTGAAAAACCGCCAAGCCATCCAAACGCCAGGAATAAGGCTGGATCGCCACTGCCAAGAAGCCCACCCTCGTGAAGCTACACATTTCGAGGGTATCCGAGCGGCCCAATGCGCGCCAAGGAACTAACCGAGTATTCGGATACATAGCAACTACCGATATGACGATGTCCCACTCTGTTTGTGCGCTGTTTCGACAGGGTTGCCTGAGAATCTGCACCAAGTGTCCCCCAAAGATGTGTCTAGCCCCCACCTCCCTCGTCAGATTCCCTGTATGTGTTTCTGCTTTATCTGCCAATCCGAGAACCATCTAGTCCCCCGTGCTGTAGTTGTCTTCTATACGATGTGGGGTTATCATAATACGGACTTTGGGCCGTTTTGACGAAACCTTGTTCCCACACTTTCAAGGTTCAGGGTTGCTAGGCTAACACGATATCCGGCATATATCCGCCTCAACTTCGGGATCCAGTTTGCCGCAAGCGGACCGAGAAGTTCCGGTACGGAGTGGCTGGGCTTGAAATACGGTACATTGTATATTGTATAATGTACGGAGTGGGGGGGGTTGTAGTATTTCAAGACGAGACACTCGCCGATCTAACACCGCGTCGCCCCCGAGAAGGGTGCGTTTGTTATCATTTCTAGGTGTCTCCAAATGCCCGAAGAAGTAGGATCATTGGTGTTCATCCCGTGTCTGACGGGAAATTCGGAATTCAGAATGGGCCTTTAAGGATGATCATCTCGCCTTACAGGACTTTATGCGGCATTTTAATCTAAAACTGTTTCGAATGATTTGCTGAGAACCGAGCGTCGACGGGTACGGAGTATAAGTCCGAGTATTATTAGTTTGATAGACCGGGGGTTTTCTTCTGATGGGTCTTTGGGTGTTCGGTCAAATGATCTTTCTCTATAATATAAGGAGTACGTATACAATTCGTAGTCTCGAGCATGCAATTTTGGTGGAGTATAACATCAGAGCTCAGTTTAGAATCCATGGGTACGACAGCGCTAAGCTTCATGTGGTATTCGTGGATCGTCACTGGATTATCCCATTGCATACAATCACACCAAGAAGTTTTGAAATGCCAAAGTGATCAGTTTACATACAGCATAGACATGTAATCTATACTGTTGTAGTAACTAGCCCTAGGCCGCTACTAACGCCTCAGGCATCAACACCTCATTTGCTAGCTAGATAGGTCAGAAGCCCGCCGCCTCTTCCTATAGAAATCGACTCCCTCCCTTCTTCCTTTCAGCCCTATACAGTAGCCCCAAGAGGCTATAAGCCCTCGTTTTTCTAAGCTTTTATCTTAAGAAGAAGGCATTCTTATCACTTTTATTATCCCTTTTATCTATACTGTGTAGAGAGAGTCGCGGGTTACGTCAGGGTCGGGTGGAGGGTCTAAGATCATGGGCCACTCGGAGGGTCACTGCCAGGTCTAAGGATAACTATGTTGTATGTACTAGTTGCGGGGGTGTTAGAAGTCACATTATGCCTTGCTGTTTGCTCCTAGTTCTTTAGTCCAGTCTATGCTTGTAGATAGTTTCTCTCCTGAAAACGCATTTAAGAGATTTCCAGTCACATCCACAGCTTCATTGTAGATACTCTAGATCCTCTCGCCCAGAAGGGTTCACCCACGTTTCGACATCCTTGCGACTTCGCACCTTTCAACCCATTGACATATCTCCAGGGGCTTCACCAGTCCCCTCGCCCGGGATGGCAACACAAAGCCCGTGGTTTCTGAGTTTCCCTCCTGAAATGATTTCATCTATTGTGTCCTTCCTGCCAAACAAAGATGTCAAATCCTTGCGCTTGACGTGCAAAGCCCTCGGCGAGATTTCACCATTCTCCTCCTCACGCGTGTTTCTTTCGGCCAACTCGTTGAACATCCAGGTTTTTCGGGCTGTAGCAGACCATCCAAAGTTTCGCCACGAAATCAGGGAGATCATCTGGGACGACGCACGGTTTGTACTCGCGCCGTTGATATGGGGAGCTGTACACCCAAGCATCGACCCCGAACGCATGGAAATCAACTCCACTGAGGGATGTCCCATCTGGTTCACGGAGGAATGCGAAGAGAACCGCTACAAGATGAAGCATCGGAAATACCGCGACGTGGACCGACCTGACCATGTTGCACGTCAGCACCAGATGGATGCTCAAATGCCGTTGAAAGCCTGCTGGAAGTATTATCGCCAACTATGGGATGATCAGACGTCTATAATCAGATCCGAAGACGACAAAAAAGCCTTTCTTTACGGTCTGGAGCAATTCCCACGGCTCAAAAGAGTGACCGTTACGCCTGCGGCTCACGGCTGGTTGTTTGCTCCGCTGTACGAGACACCTATGATCCGAGCATTTCCATACGGATTCAACTATCCGATTCCGCGAGGATGGCACTGTGATCCCGTTGATTGTCAGGTTGTCGAGCCGCTACCGTGGTCAGAGGCAACCGAGGACTATAAGGAGCTATGGAGAGGGGCTCGAATTGTTCTTCGCCTTTTGTCACAGGCTAAGAGGCATAATGTTTCCGAGCTGACCTTCGACTCCAAGCAACTCCACACCGGACTAAACTTTTTCATTTTCGACCGGCCCTGTGAGGAATACAATCAATTTGCGGCCATCATGAAACGTCCAGGCTTCCGGCGTCTTCATTTGTCTTTACTTACTGGCAGTACTGGTGACTAGACAGGATTCCAAAGCGGATTATTCCGTCAAGCTGTGAGCCTGGCCAAGGAATTGACCCATGTCCATTTATCAACTACATTCAATGATGGATCTCATTCTTCAATGAGGGATCCACCTATTCCCCTGAAGGAGGTTCTGCCTATTAAGGAGTGGCCGAATCTCTCATATTTGGCGCTCTCTCGTTTCAGCGTTGATACGTCGGAGTTGATGGCCATACTCAAGTTGGCACCATCCTCATTACAATCTCTTGACTTGGAATTTATCGAGTTCCCCTTTGATGAATTGTGTTTGACTGGTCTACTAGAGAGGATGCGAGAGGAACTAGATTGGACTAAAAGAGATCAACCGTCGAAACCGACCGTCACGATCGTGATGGAAGGCCATCGCATATGGCCGGGGAGGTTCATCAAGCTTTCAGACGAGGTAGCAAGCTTTATTTATGGCTCTGGAGAAAATCCCTTGGATGGATCATATACACGCAGCCCCAAAGACGGATACGGGACGAATCATGACCTTTTTGAGGCGGAGTACACTCGGCCCAACGTCAATTTCCAGGACCTTAAGAAACTGGGAATTATTTGTTAGGAATGCTACCTAGCTGACCCCGAGCCGAACCACATATATCTTGAATTAAGGCCAGAGCTCATCCATTGATTCCCTGAGATGCTGTAACTTACTGAGTGCAGTCTGTGCGGGTTCCATTTGCAAGCGGGATAATCGGACTGGACCCAGTTAGCCAGACCATTAGAGGTTCGCTAGGTAGCGAGGTTGAAAGGGTTCCGTTAAACGGCACTTTGGAGTTTAACGACTGTCCGTAGCCTAAGTACGTCGCAATATACCCCACTAGTTGCACGCAGTAGTAGGTGTCGGCCAGAAGATTTGTGCAGTTCTGGAAGAGTTCCGGATTCAGGAAAAGGCTATCACCGTTAGCTTTGGTCTTCCCTGCCAGAAAGAGACAGGTCACCCACAGATTGTTTCGAGAAATGCTGGATTTGTCCGTCATGGTCGTGCAAGTCTCGTTTGCGGCAACCTTGTAATATTGGCCACAGCGAGAGTTCGTGCAGTCTCCAGTAGGCGAAGGAACGGCACTAACATCGTTAGTATGCGGGCAATACAATTGATCCATTGTGGTCATTTACGCTGTAGTAGTCACAATAGTCGTCATGCCTCCGAGGCCATAGTTTCCCACTGGGTTGCTCACGCAGATAGTGGTGTTCACCAGACTCCCGAGATTGCTGTGTATCCCTTCATTAGTGAAGCGTTGTTATTCAATGGGTGTCACCACGTACAAGCAGGTAGAATCGATTTGAGAGTTCCAAGCGAGAAGCTGGGCCCAAGTCACATCTTGCGACTTTCCGATACCAGTACAGGTATCACCGGTCCCCACAGTGTAAGTTGTACAGTTTGAGCTTGCGCGGGGGAGGATATCAAATAGGGAGGCCTCCGTCGTAAAAAAAGATAGTGTAATAACCAGACACTTCGCCACTTAGTCCTCTCTTTAGCACCTATAAATATCATATAGTGTCTTGGCATGATTCAATCTCCTTAAAACTAGGCAGCCACATACTCCTACTTCTACAAAGATCTGCCTATTTTATTCTCACGTCATGATGAAGTTCTTGACACTAGATGCCTCAACCAAGATATTTTCGATTCAAGATATGGTGGAAACAAACCTGAGATCCTCCCTGAATGTTTCCCTTCACAGTGTGGTATTTCCCTCAGGGTGATTTTGACGGCCACGCGACATGGCCCCACAGCCCATAGGCCCGTTGTTGGTACAGGTGATTTGTCAGGTCGTGGGTCTTCGATTCATTGAGCACAGTAGGAGGGGTTGTTGGCTAGTTGATGACCTGAACAGGGACACCTGGCGCAGCAATAAATGCACCAGGACCGTAAACTACTAAAGCTACGTTGGTAAATTGCCTCATAGTATAGTGAGCCATGCTAGGTGGGGAGGTTGAGACTTACAGGGTGTCGAGTTAGATCAGCCATAGTTGAGTAAATATTTCAATAAAGAGTTGACAGCTGATTAGTTGAAAATATTAGGAGATGAAAGAAGGGAAGAAGGAAGGGATATTTAGAGATTCATGAATAGAGCAAAAGTTCTCATGACAGCCTTGGAACGAAGCTCCTCTGATTTGATCTGGGACATTGCCATTTCAATTGATCGTGCACCCTCTCGGCATGCTTGTTTGCCTTTTTTTTGGAGGCAAACATTTTGTCGCATCCAAGTTCCTCTGTAGGAAGGGGGAGACTGACGAGAGTAGAGCATTTGAGAGTTCAAATCTCTGTCATCTCTTCATCTCTCTGGATTTGCGCTCTTTCATTTCTTGTTTCGACGAGCAACCTCTGATTCCAAATTAACATTTCCTTCACTTTCAAGAGATATATTTCCTTCTGATGAGCGTTCCTCGTCGTGTCCCTCCTCTAGCTGACAGAGAGTATCAAAGCCAGTATGTACGAGTCTGCTCTATCCATATATACAGCAGCTGAACTTCGTCGGGGTTTGGAAGTGCCCTGACTAGGGACACCCGATTCAGGGCCGTTGATCAAGCCATCTGCCATATGAGTTAGGCTTCTGTGCATCATCATCATCACTGGCCCCCTTGTATTAGACATACTCTTCTTTCTTTCGACCTAGCGTGCACTCTATGATTTCCGAAATATATATATCGTCGTAGATCCGGCTTTATGATCACTTTGGTAAGTGGCGAGGATATAGGAAGGGCTTGTGGACGAAACAAAGTTGTATGTCGTATGAATATGGAGCTGGTCAAATAAAATATCATGTCGCTGAGAGGTTCTTCAACAGCTTAGGAGTGCGGGGTTATCGTGAAGGAAAAATGATGAGTAACTTGGAAGGGTTAATATAGTAGTTTGTCAACAACAAATCAGACCACGATTCTCTTTCTAGTGCCTTTTAATGTCATACTTTATCCTACCATGCTGCCATCTTGCCATCTACAGGTAGCTACTCTAGGCGCTACGACTATATATATTTCTATAGCGTTAAATATTTAAATGGGGAAGTATTTGGTCAGAAGGATGCCTAGTGTAAGCCATATGTGATTCTGTCGCTTGGGACATACTAACCCCGAGAAACTTTCTTTTCTGTCANAAAAAACCCCCCCCCCCCCAAAAAATACACGTGAAACCTTTCGCCATCTCTGCTCAACGTGGCACGTCGCTGCCGTGTTCCTGCTGCCAGGGCACCTCATACATAAAAAGATGTGCCCAAAAGTTGCGACGCGATAACCACTGACGTCGGTGTTGTTCCAAGTAGTTGGCCAGCATCTGGGCCTCAACTGGGTTCAGATATGTTCTCAGGGTCGATGAGGTGTGGTTGCCCTGACCAGGGACTCCCGACGCGGCGGTGAATGAAGCATAGTTGATAGCTAGTTGATAGTTAGCATCATAACTTGACAAGATTTGCAAACTATGTTGATTAATGGGAAGATCTATTTGAGAAATTCTTGGGATAACCAAAGAATGCATGACTTGGAGCTGGTCTAGGGCGACCTAGCTCGGTGGGCATGAAAATGAAGGTTGTGATCGTGAGGGTATTGGGCTTGGCTCCAAATAGTTGTATCAAACGTACACTTCTTTCTCTTGCCCCAGCGGGCGACACGGTAGGGTGTCCGCATTCCAGAAGTCTGATATATCTAAGCACATATATCAGCAACATGTTCTGTCGTCGAATGTATGGTAGAGTTCTTACCGAGCTCTGGGTGCGCTGTCCAGTTGGAATGCCAACGGCTGTGGCAAAGCTAGTCAAGTCCTTAAAAAGACGATGGCAGTGGACGACATCATGTCCGTCTATCTCACAGTGCTTGCAGAACAACTATGATACGTTAGTTCACATCTATATATCCTTGATTTGTATTTGCTTGGAGGAGCAATAAAGGCACAAGAATGAGCTGTTAGAAGATGGAAAACTGTATCTCGCTCGAACATGCAGCTGCTCAGACAAAATCCTCACCGAGAATCACTCTGGGGTTCGTAGGGTGAAGATTGTGCTCAGTAAAGGAATGATGATGCGCGACACAGAAGGATCAGATCACACCAAGGATGCAAACACATATACTCAGTGGTGGGGTTATGCCGGATGGGTTTAGGATCAAGAAATTGAGGGCAGGGGATGATGAGAAGACCCGTTTTCTATGGGAGATGCAGCCATAAAAAACAAGAAAGTTTCACTTACAGCGGGCCGAATAAGGTCAGCCATGGTAGAAGATAGTGATGAAAGTCGATGTGTGAGTAGTCGGAAGGACGAGGATAAGAAATGGTGTACAGAGGAAATGAGAAAGAGAGGAAAAGATAGAGAGACGATGGGTGACAGTAAATACAATTCGTTTAATATTAGACAGCCAAAGGCCATATAATTAGACCAAATCTCATATTGCTGGGCTTTGGCTCTTCTCTTCCATCTCTGTTCTCATTTCATTTACCATTCTCTCACTTCACATCTCACCCTTCACTTCCAACAAATTCCCTAGTCTATGAATGTTGGTATTTGATCACTTTCCTGCCCTTACTAAGTGAGTTCACTCCCACCCTGGGTGCATACTCATGTATCCCTTTTATAGGTAATATAATAGCGGGAATAATTTACTAGCGAGACACCACCATCTAGAGAGGAAACACTGGCCAGAGTCAAGGGCAAGAAACACATTCAGCCAGCTTGATCTGTTCCATCAGTCACCTCGATCACCTAATTTGCATGGTCTTCCCCTGACGAGCGAATGGCAACTTCGTTGTCCGTCTCCACCACCCGAGTCAAGGAGGATCGAAGGTTACAGAAATTGGCAGTCGCGTGGAAGATTAATAATATGCGAAGGTCATCACTGCACGAGCTCAGTCTGGCGTCTATCAAGTGATTTATGCTTGCGAGACATGCGGAAATTTCGGGATTACGGCGAGGTCATGTGGGATAGCTGGCAGGCATTAAAGACCAGCTGGCTCCGCATGCAACTTTCCTGGGGAATACATATTCCCATTGACTTCAATGAGGGGAATCCTCCGAGATAGAAATGATAGTGCGATGTAGACACAGCTTTGATCGGCAATGGAGCTTATAAATATGGGGACCATATGATGAAATCAATTATATATGCTCAGTAAGATGCTCATCTTGTGTGAAATTTTCATTCGCTATCTAAATGCGCATAAAGTCAGTTTGTTAATATCATGTGCGACATTTCACGACCATAATATTCGATAAGGAAGCGCGCTGGGGTTCAAATTGACTTGGATTGAGATGATAACAGTAAGAACCAAGGTCGCCACAATAATCTGAGCATAGGGGGTTGGTTAGAATTCAGAGGCCGAGCGTTGTTTTAGAGAGAACTTACCATGAATAAGAAAATTCCCACCGAGTTTAACTCCCATCCCCCAGCATATACTTTCCCACGGGCAATAGCATTTTGTTGTCTCCAGAATCGGAACGCACCTATCAAGGCGACAATGACAGCCACAAAGTGACATGTAACCGAAAGCGGGATACCGACTTCGTGAAACGACAAGCGATCGACTTTTTCTAATGGTCGCTGTAGACGGAAAAGTTGAGCAATGAGTACTCCTTGCATAGCGATAACCGTGGACGTACGGATGTACGCAAGGAACGTTCTTTCTAGGGCTTTGATTGTGTCAATTAGATTCCCAACAGCGTACCCAGAGAACAACGTACCAAAGTGATCTCGGTTACTCTTCTGTGGCACGGTTATAATAACCTGTCTAGCCCAGAACCGACAGATCTGACCCCAAAGACCACTGCGGGCTTCGCGTCTGCGCCGGGAATCCGCTTGAGACGTAGTCCGATGTGTGGGCACGTGATGTTCGTCGCCAGACGAACCCGATGGGGTCGAGTAATCCAGTTCGTTGTCTTCGTGCGTTTGGATCGAATGAAGCTCCAATGCTTCCCGGCCGTCATCGCGGGAGTCGGGTATCGGGCGGGAGTCGGTCAAGATTGCGTTGGGCGGTTGCTCAGTAACAGGGGGTTCGCCAGGCTCGGTCATGATGAAAGATGGACGAAGAATGCAGATGATAGCATCGCTGGTTGTCCTCAAGCTGAGGAGTTTCTCTTGGGAAAGGGCGAAGGTCCCAAGGGCAGGGATTGTTTCTTGTTGGGTTCCCCGGGGATCGGCTCCAGCCGAACGTCAAAGATTTGCCCCGCATAGTATGGGGTTGCATTATTCTTGAGCGATGCCATTTAGTGTCATAAACGTTCAGAGAGTATAAATAGAGAAGTTGACGATATATTTCACACGTGAAACTATATACAATCGATTTGTATACTCTACGTATCCATTGAAAATACCCCTGCATCCATTCTCATATTGACCAATCAGAGGCCATAAAATGGGGATTGCATCATTTTCCTCCATGATGTTGGAATGTGCTGCCAATGACAACGCTTCACTACCAACGTTTTATTGCGCGATCAGCTATCTTCTTTACTACAAGTAGCTAGTTCGAATCTAAATATGTAAATGTGTTAGATCCCGGTCTAAAGCTTGGATACTGTTGCTTAAATCCAACGCGTTTGTTAACCAATTCAACATCCTCCAAGTCTTGGAAGCCCCATTAAGTACGCTAATAATGATAAGCTCAATTAGACTACTACAAGGCTGTCCACGGATGGATGTAGACGAGTTAGTTCAGCATGTAGTTGTCGTCATTCAAGTCTGTTTTTACTATTTTTTTTTTTCACCCTATAGGTGCCCTATGTTACACCAAAACTACCACATGAACTGCTATGGAAGAACGAGATCAATTTAAGTATTAGCAGTCGATTTTACGGTGAAATATTTGGGTCCGGTGCTTCGGTCGAATGTACGGTGAGAATGATACGGATGTTTTGATTTTCCGCTCCGGTGTCTGTTATCGCCTGGAACGCACGGATCATTCCTCCCCACGAACACCCAGGACAACCGCGCGGACTATATAACAGCCCTGAAATTTTGTTGGCCGAGTCACTACTTAACTACTCAGCCCATAGATAGAAGTATACATAAAGCTCCATCTTCATCCAGGAAACTGTGACGCTTCTCCCATACTAAAAATAGGACTCGTCGCCCAAAAAGGAAATATTATCCATTGTGAACCGAAAAAGCGCCACATCGAGCTTGTTGGTCGATTATGATTGACCTGATGAGCTTCATTATCTATATCAACGTGGGGCAGCCAAGGATGTACCCCTCCATTCCGATTCCCAGGGAATGGCACCCGTCTTCATTACTGGAATTTTCGGCTTTACATCGCCGGAACCCGTGCGGGGCGTAATATCTTTATCTGAAGCTTCAAGATACACTACATAATTATCGTACACCGATGTGGCGTGTGGGGATACGTGTACGAGTAATGTCACACATTGTACAACTCATGAACTATGTGAATATACAAATAGAACGAGTGTCTGCCGCTTTCCAATGGGTGTATCATATTAACAATCACATAATGATGTCACTTTCACAACGCGTTGTCATCATTGGAGCCGGTATCGTGGGTACCAACCTCGCCGATGAGCTGGTCTCTCGAGGATGGAGCGATATCACGGTCGTCGAGCAGGGGCCGTTGCACATGCCGGGCGGATCGACGTCACACGCCCCCGGACTCGTATTCCAGACAGGCCCCTCCAAGACAATGACACACCTCGCCCGATACACAGTCGAGAAGCTTCTATCGATAGAGAAGGACGGACATAAATGCTTCAATCAAGTGGGTGGTCTCGAAGTAGCAACAACCCCGGCACGACTGGAGGAACTGAAGCGGAAACATGGATACACCTCATCATGGGGCATTGAGGCCCGGCTAGTCAGCGCCGAAGAGTGCTTTAAGATTTACCCTCATCTAAACAACGAGATGGTGCTGGGCGGTCTGCACATCCCCACTGATGGTCTCGCATTAGCAGCCCGAGCAACACAGCTGCTCATTGAACGAACAAGCGAGGCCGGTGTTCGTTATCTGGGCCATACTCCCGTAACTGGCATTGAGCGGGATGGCCGTCGTATAACCGGAGTCAACACTCCAAACGGCATCATTTCGGCAGACATTGTTGTCTCTTGCGCTGGATTCTGGGGTGTTGAATTGGGAGCCATGGTCGGTGTGGACGTTCCTTTGCTCCCGCTCGCGCACCAATATGCAAAGACCACGACAGTACCCGCTCTCGCCGGGCGAGATATTAACAGCTTGCCCAATGGAATGAATGCCGAGCTCCCAATCCTCCGGCACCAGGATCAGCGTCTTTACTACCGTGAACATGGCGGCCAGTACGGAATTGGATACTACGGACACCGTCCAATGCCCGTCGTTGCGTCATCACTGGGCCTCACCCCCAAAGATGTTGATGAACAGAACATGCCCTCCCGCCTCGATTTCACAACTGAAGACTTCGACCCAGCATGGAAAGAGTCTCAAGCCCTCCTCCCCGCTCTTCAGGACACAGAGATCGCGGATGGCTTCAATGGCATTTTCTCCTTCACACCCGACGGCGGCCCACTCCTCGGCCAACCATCCCATCTCGACAACTTCTACGTAGCCGAGGCCGTATGGGTTACACACTCTGCAGGCGTCGCCCGAGCTCTCGCACAAATCCTCACAACCGGCCGATCCGAGATCGACGTATCTGAATGCGAACTATCCCGCTTCGAAGAAGTCCAACTTAATCGGGACTACGTGAGTGAGACCGGGCAGCAGAACTTTGTCGAAATATATGACATTATCCACCCGCTTCAGCAGCGTTCCTCGCCCCGCAATTTGCGTGTTAGTCCATTCTACCCCCGCCAGCGCGAGTTGGGGGCTGTCTTCTTCGAGACTGGAGGCTGGGAACGGCCGTGGTGGTATGAGGAAAACAAAGATCTTGTCAAGTCTCTCCCGCCATCATGGAAACCTGTCGATCGGGATGCCTGGTCGGCGCAGCTTCATTCGCCTATCTCTGCTGCGGAGGCGTGGAAGACACGAAATGCTGTTGCTATGTTTGATATGACTGCGTTCCATCGGTTCGAGGTGTCTGGTCCTGGAGCACTCGGCCTGCTTCAGCGGCTGACTACGAGTGATATTACCACTAAGCCAGGGACTGTTACTTATACTCTTCTCCTGAATGATTATGGTGGCATTCGTGGTGACATCTTTGTACTACGGCTTGATGATGATGTATTCCAGATCGGAGCGAACACTGCAACCGACCTGGCGTATCTTACCAGAGAAGCTCGGGTCCAGGAACAGAAATACCCCGGCAAATCCACCCAAGTCCGCGATATCACAGGCAGCACATGCTGCATCGGGCTATGGGGTCCTCGAGCCCGGGATGTCATCTCTGGAATCAGCACAGTCGACCTTTCCAACAAGGGCCTTCCATACTTCAGCCTGAAGAGGACAGTTCTCGCTGGAATCCCAGTTACAATGATTCGAAAATCCTACGTCGGCGAGCTAGGTTGGGAAATTCAAACCAGCGCCGAGTACGGCCAACGCCTATGGGACACGATTTATCAAGCTGGAAAGCCTCACGGACTCATTGCCGGTGGCCGCAGTGCATTCAACTCAATGCGCCTCGAGAAGGGATACAGGACCTACGGCGCAGATATGACGACAGAGCACAATCCGTTCGAAGCAGGTGTTTCGTATGCCGTGGACGCAAATAAGAAAGACGACTTCGTTGGAAAAGCCGCCCTTCAACGCCTTTCTAGCCAACCACCTTCGCGGCGACTACGGGCTTTGACCGCTGACGATGGTCGCTCGATGGTTCTTGGCAAGGAGCCTGTGTTCTACAACGGCAAGGCAGCTGGCTATGTAACCACCGCTGCATTTGGGTATACGATTGGCAAACCAATTGCCTACGCCTGGCTTCCTGGGGGTGTGAGTGAAGGCGAGACGGTGGAGATTGAGTATTTCGGAAAGCGTATCAGCGCGACTGTTCAGGCAGAGTCGCTTTATGATCCCCAGATGAATCGTCTCAACCAGGATAGCTTGCCTTCGGTGACTGGGCCACAAGTTTCTTTCAGGTCACGACTTTGATAGTGATATATGTCCTCAAATATAAATGACAATTTGCTCGAATCTCTAGGTCATACTTATAGCCAAGTCTGGTTACGGTAGTTCAAATTCGTTTCATATTAAATGCCGTCCAATATTGTATGTGGTATGTGCTTTTATAGAAGAGGCATTCGGGGAGCAGCCTGTTCATCCTGTGGGCCAGACCTGGCACGGGGGTGGAAGGGAAATTGATGATAGAACGTTAAGTTTTCACAGGGACAGACGTCATATTTCGGCATCGTGAGGGGATATGGAACGAATTCTGTTGATAGCTCCACCCCAAAATCTTTGAATTCGGGTTTGAAAGCCGCAACTTCGACGCATGGCTCTAAGTTGGTTGTGAATTCGCAGATATTGTCGGGTATTTGGCATATCACAGAGCGCAGATTGTGGAAATTCCCGTCCTTTAGATCGTCGAGGAGGGGGCTTAGGTGTAGAAGAGTGCCTTCTTCGTATCGTATTGTGAGTCTCTGGACACTATCTGGCAGGATCATCTCTTCGTCGACATTCGCAAGCATTGAAGGAGGGGTGAGTATGACCTCCTTGAGAACTTCAAATGAATCGAAGCCAAGGCCGTAGTCTGCGCCCCCGTAAATGTCTGCATCCACGTACTCCAAGGATTTAGAATGCAGAGCACTCAATTGATCAGAAAAAACCGTATAATCATCTTCCTGGTATGGAGCTTCTAGTGACAGAGGAACTCTGATGGTGAGCCGTTTCAAGTGACAGAGGAACTCTGATGGTGAGCCGTTTCAACGCACGTGGAAATCGAATAATGAGCGCGAGATCTTCAGCAGAGACACGACAGTTGAGAAGCAGCAACTCTGTTAGATTAGCAGCACGATTGTCAACTGATGTTTCTTCCAATCCAAATTCCCGAAATATAGCACCCGTGATGCAGAGCTTTTGAAGATTGGGGAGTGTGAAAATTGTCTCATTAAACAGGATACAAGGCAGAGAGTCCCTCTGGGGAATAGGATTGAGATCCGAATCGGTTCCAATATGACCTGCTTTTTGGTAAGAATGGATACTTCCAGCAAGTCCTGATACTGAGTAGCTTACATGTTCGTAGTGCGGGCATTAAGTCTTTAAGGTTGCCTCGGCTAAAATACGTGCGCTCTATCAGATCTTCCGCCCAACATTCGATCGAGTGAATCATCCGCGGATGGAATCCAAGGCCGAGCGGATCTGATGCATTTCCAAGAGGGTACCCTAGACCTTCCATATCCCTGATGATATCGTTCAAGCATGATCCTCTCACCCCTGACACTTGGGCGTCATAGCAAATCTCGGCAAGCACTTCTTGTACTGCCGCTTGTGGCGAGTATTCATAAAATGGGTGGGTAGTTTCTCTCATAACCAGTGTTTCCAGGTTTTTTAATTTAGTGAGTGCTTTGTAAAAAGGCTCGGAGTAACCTGCAAAGTCTGAAAAGCCCGCATCTTGGGTATGTCTCACTTCCTTGACCAGTGCTGCCAAGCCTGGGAGACTGGAGACGGTATTGGCGAACCGTTGAGCATTCTCTACCCGCCTCAGTCGTACAGGCTGGTATAAAAGATGGTTAAGTTCTTGATGAAAAGGTTGGCACGTCTGCGCGAGCCTGCTGATGTGTTGTGGGCTTTCATCGTCGCGCAGATACTGAAAGATCAGAAACCAGATCTCCAGTGGAAAGATTGAGAAAGCTGCGGCCATACTTGGAAAACGCCTGATCAAGACAATTCAAGAGTAAACCCGGAAACCTAGTGGTTAAGGGAACCGCACAAGTGCTGTTTACTTCGACCAGTAGGGGCGTCGAGCCAAGATTGAGCGGATGCGACCATGTGGTGTGTGGGCAGGTTGCCACGTTCCGAGGTGGGGCAAGACTCTACCCTGGTACTTACGTAACTCGGTCCCCCGCGGGACCCGGGGACGCCAGAGATCGCTCTAAGGGTTTCTTTCCCGTTTAGTGTAACACTACGGAGTAGGCAAAACAAATCTCCCTTTTCACACAAATTAAAACAGTACGATCCTAGTTGCGCCCGACATCGGCTTCCATCCCGCAAAATTACAGATGCTCTTTCAGACCATAATCACAATCCTAAGATCCACCATGTTTCGGTTTTGAGCGGTAAAATTCAAACGGAGAGCTGCACTGTTACGTATCATTACTGATCCAAAAATACATAACCACACTCATATTATCCCACCGCAACCGTTCCAGGCATGAATTAATCCCTAAATTTTTGCAAAATAGCACGAAACTTGAATTCCTAGCAGAGTAAAATGATTCTACACATGATACACATAAAATACTATCTGGACTTGAAGACCAAGAGAATGCTAGGCACCAGGGTAATCTCAATGGTGTCTATTTTCTAAATCAAATCACTTTCTAGTCGATAATGTACTAGACATCAGGATCTTAGAATTAATAACGCAGCCAGAACGGTCACAGTGGTGAAACTTGATCGGTTAGTACCAAGTTATTTTTATTGCGGCTGATTGAACAAGGGGGGTCCAGGGTTTCTTTCCCGGACTCCCGAGCCCCTGAGCGTATCTACTGTGATCGCCATTCACCCGCAAATTTGTTGATCACATCTATCTAACACAGCATGGCAGCCAGACTTTCCCGAAGCCTGGCACAGGCCAACTGCCGTGTTTTCACTGGGTTATGTTCCCGCGCGACACCTCGCATTGCGCACGTCGGTGCCCGTGCTGGCTTGTTGGCACATCGCAATACATGGAACCTCGCGCCTAGGAACTGCCGTGTAAAACAGGCCAATACCGCGCGATATCTCCATACAGATTTTGACCCATCGGCCAAACAAAACGCTTCCATTCTCAACGCTACCACCTACAAAGGATCGAGCATCACAGAGAAACATTGGATGGGCCAGGAATTGGCAGTTGGTACGGTCTTACTTATCACTGCGCCATTGTCACTTCGCTAACCAAATCAGTGGACACCTCGATTGACCCGCAAGCTATTTACCATTTTATGGAATTCATAATGTATGGTATTCTACCGAACGGGAAGAAGACCGATTTAGCTTTACTCAACCAAGATGAATTCCCACTGTTCATGACCCCGAGCGCAGAGTGGGCGCCTGCGCCGTTCAACAAGGCTGCTCTCCCAACTATACAGAAAGCGATGGAGCGGATCACGACCCCGGAGGATTTGAGCAGGCTGTGCCATATTGGGCAGAATATATACTTTCTCAAAAGTCGCCTCTGGGGAGGCCTTGCCCCCGTGCCCGCATCGCGTTGGCGCGAAAAAGATCTCAACAACCCGGACCATTTCACAATCGCCCATGAACACCTAACCTCTGTCATTGCCGTCTTCGAGTACCTGAACATTCCTACCATCCAGAATAACATGCGCGACACCTTCAACAAAATATCTGGTGACTTCGGAGAAATGCAGGACGCCTTGAATGCACGGCGCAAGGCTCAAGACGGGCTTTCTCCTGAGCTCAACCTTACTGCTCTTTGGGAACAATTCATTCGCGCACAGTATGAAGTCATGACCAGCACCGCCCATTCCTGGGTCCTGGCCCGTGTTGCCGAATTACGTGAACGGACGACGGACATATTCAGTACGGTTGACAATCCAGAGAGCCCAGAAATGGAAGTCATCACGCAGCGGTGGACCGACCTGGTTTCCGCCACTTCAATGGCGGATTTCAATATCTGGATATCCATGGATGGGTATAATGGCTTCCATCCGCCCTCCGAGGTCATCGCTGGGCTACACAATCCTGACCTAACGCACCTAGACAAGAATTACGGGTTTTCTGGGCTCGTGATGGAGCGACTCACAAAATGTATCGAGGCTCAGAATGAGGCTGCGACGGTTCAAGGTCCAAGCGCGATCCAGAGTGACACGGCCCGCCGCGAGCGCCTTTCTATTAGCACAGAAGTTCAGGATGAACTGCGTGAAAAAATTCGCGGCCGGACGCCATCACCGCAGCCACCTGTGCTGCCCTGGATTCAGAAACTCCTTCGAGTGCAGGAGGCGAGCTTGAGCATGGACCCGTCGGAGAGGCACGACTTTAGCTTCGGATTGGCCATCTACCGCGCAGCATACCAGCTCTCTGATGAGGAGTGGGAAAACCTAAAGCGAGACTTGGAAGCTCACTTGTCGGCATGGAGTGATGGAGTCCAACGCGCCGATGAGCTGAAACCACTGCTCAAACTGCATTGGTTCGACTGCAAGGAACTAGGCTTCGACACAACCAACCCCGTAACAGCAGCAAGGAGGTTCGATGACCCTAATCCTTCCATCCCAAGATTCACATGAACAGGAGACTAATACTTACCATAGCCACTTCCAACAAATCCGATCTTCGGATGAGTGGGCCAATCACATAGCACCGTCTGTTTTCCTTCTCGTCGATCACTTCGGCGTAGGCTCATATACCGACGATGAATTCAACGCCTCCTTCACAAAGGACAAAGGCTTTCTCAAAGGGGACTTCCAGGGCCATGTTCTGGCTATCGACGCAGACTTCGATAATAGTGCTACTACAAGCGAAAGTGCAGATGGCATGGCAAATGAAGAGCTCCAGGATGAAGCCATCCAATACCCGGGTCACATGCGCATCCTAGGTAACTTAGTCTGGAGCGAGCTCTATCCTATGACAATGCTGCAGTCTGTGGGACTTCAAAATTTTTGGGCGCAGGCGCGGGAACATCCGAAGAAGGTATATACGGGGCCGACAGTGCCGAGTCAGGTTGAGTCATGGAAGGAGCGGAATGCCATGAAGACCCTTATGATGGATAGCTTTGTGGACTATCTAAAAGAGAAGAATCCCACCCTAGCAGGAAAAGTACAGGGGTACAGGAAGGAGGGTCATATTTAAATTTTGGAAATGCCATACAATCTATAAAAGGCAGGTGGTGTTATATTACAGGTATGTATAATACGTGTTTATGCTCCGTATCATGTGTTTAAGGTTTGAAAGAAGCTGGTGGCGGGCGCTAGTATAAGTACCTAAGCACGGAGTAAACAGTTGCAAATGCAACCGTTAATCGGCACTGGAATCGGATGTCATCCGATATAATGTCCCGGGTGTAAAAGTACCCATAGAGACTTATGATTCCAAGACACTCAGCAAATCTAGAGCAAGATTTTTGTCGAATAATAACCCCGAGCCACGGGTGGATGCGAGGTGGGGGCTCACCAAGCTGCGTGAGTGGTTGTTTGCTCAAGCCGATGCTGCTAGCGCGCCTCGGCATGTCCAACCTTGGAAGGTTGGGTCACAGGCCCATCAGATAAGATTGAGTGAGCAGTTTTATCTTAAACTTTTTCGTCTCTTGGCAATCATATTTTCTCTGCGCTTTTCCCGCGTGTTCTTCTTCTTCTTTTCATCGTAGGTGATCTGAGTCGTAAGATCTTATTCTGCACGATTATCATGTCGCTCGTTAACGAGATGAACGCTGATCACCACGTCAGTGGGGACTTGAAGAACCCCCGCAACGAATCCGTCCCAGTGGATGCGCCTGTCGGTCTGTTGGGTCAAGGCAGTCCAGGTGTTCGTCGCATCGAGATCATCACATCGCACTTCCAGTTGGTCGATCGGATCTGCCTCTTTTTTGCTGTTTTCTTGATCGCCTATGTATATGGTTTGGATGGAACTGTTCGTTACACATACCAGGTACGTATCGCGCAGTTCTGACGTCAAAAAATATCGATAAGAATGGAGCATACTAACATCTCACGTTTTGGATAGCCCTATGCTACTCAAAGTTACGGTCAACACAGTCTTCTTGCGACCATTAATGTCCTCCGTGCCGTCATCGCTGCTGCTGCACAGGTATGAATCCCAAGAGGCCAATAATTCATTACAATAGCTGACCTCCTCTTTATAGCCTACTGCGGCAAAGGTTGCAGATGTGTTCGGCAGAATTGAACTTATCCTTGTTTCGATTCTGTTCTATACCGTGGGCACTGTTGTGGAAGCAACCGCAACGAGTGTGGAAGGTTTCGCTGCGGGAGCTGTTATCTACCAGGTGAGATATGCGCGCAGGGATTCTTGATCTGTGGCTAATATTTTTTAGATCGGATACACCAGTATTATGCTTCTGGTCGAGGTCCTAATCGCCGATGTGACGTCTAGCCGATCTCGTCTCCTTTTCTCCTATATCCCAGCCTTGCCATTTATTGTGAGTGCTTCATATACCCCCTCACACCAGTTACACCATATTAACGCAACGGAAATTATTTAGATCAATACCTGGATTAGCGGGAACTTGACTGCTGCGGTTCTTAAGGTCACCACATGGCAATGGGGCATCGGCATGTTTGCTATCATCTATCCCGTATGCTCTCTCCCTCTTATCGCAGTCCTTTTTGTCGTCTCCCGACGCGCAAAGAAGAATGGGGCTCTTGAATCATACAAGAGCTCTATGCAGCTGCTGGGAAAAAGGCAGCTGGCTGTAGAGTTATTCTGGCATCTGGATATTGTCGGCAACATTCTGTTGATTGGCATGCTGGCATGTATTCTTGTTCCATTCACCCTCGCTGGAGGCGTAACTGCACAGTGGAAGACAGCAAAGGTGATTGCGCCACTTGTCATCGGCATTTTGCTGATCCCGGTCTGGATTTTCTGGGAGAAAACCTGCAAATACCCCATGCTGCCATTCAATGTAAGTCAAGTGATCAAAGCCACATTCATGGTTCTTACTGACTCGCTTCGGCTCTAGCTTCTCAAAGACCGTGCTGTGTGGGGATCCCTCGGAATCGCTGTTATGCTCAACACTGGTACGTCCTTCAAGAAACCACACATTGTCGAGATCTAACATTTGTGTAGCATGGTACTTGCAGGGAGATTTCCTATACACAGTGCTTTACGTGAGCTTTGACGAATCAGTTGCAAGTGCGACTCGCATCACATCTCTTTACAGTTTTACTTCCGTTATCACAGGCATTATTCTCGGCCTCATCGTCATAAAGGTCCGCCAATTGAAGCCATTCATTGTGGCCGGAACTGTTCTCTTTATGGTTGCATTCGGAATCCTCATCTATTTCCGAGGTGGCGCTACAAACTCCAGTCATTCCGGTGTCATTGGTGCGCAAGTCCTGCTGGGTATTGGTAAGTTATTGCATGCGCTCCATCCTTGGTTGAACATTACTAACAAATCTATCAGCTGGTGGAATGTTCTCCTACCCAGCTCAAGCCAGTATCCAGGTTGCATCTAAGCACGAACGTTAGTATTCTCCAACAGACTGTGGCCTGCCAACGAAAAGACTCACATGCTAAAAATCCCACAGATCTCGCTGTGATCACCGGTCTCTATCTCGCCGCCTATAACATTGGTAGTGCTCTAGGAAACACAATCTCAGGCGCGATCTGGAACCAAGTCTTGCCTTCTGAACTGGAACATAGACTCGGCAACGAGACCCTCGCTGCGTCTGTCTACGCCCAGCCTCTTGCGTTCGCAGCGCTCAACCCTGTGGGTACGCCCGACCGAGACAACGTCATTCTCGCCTATCAGAAGACTCAGCGTCTGCTGTGTATCACGGGTATCTGCTTGACGGTGCCTTTGATTGCCTTCGCCCTGGTTATTCGCAACCCAACACTCACCAAGGAGCAAAGTCTTACTAAGGCGGAGGAGGAGAGCAGTGATTCTGATATTGCCACCAGGTGAAAGAAGAGTATGTTGAGTAAAACCTGGTTTGCTTAACATATCTTGCAAAGTGTATGTTTTAGCTTATTAGCTTAGTATATCTGCGGTATAACCTTGGAAGTCAGCGACACCAGGTGATTGGCAGTTCATGTATTTCTATTCGGTGTCGATATTTAGATGTGCTTGCCTTCGACTGGGCCCTCGTGACATTGGGATTGTCTAGACCAGCCTTAAAAATAATGAATATTTCTAATTTGTCAAACCTCACTGCTCCACTCCGTATACCCTGTAACCTGGTGCAGATTAGCCTTATTAAAAAATATTATTGTTGAGAATTTCAGTTAATTCCGAGTAATTAACATGGGAGTAATTAACATGGCATTGGGATTCTTTCAACGCTAACCCTAACCTGGCTTTATGCATACGCCATACAGTCCTCGCATTCCAAGAATCCTGAACTCCTACGGAATCGAGGTTAGCCTCGTCAATGCAGGTTGACATTCCCGTTACCAGTTTCTGCATAGAAACTGTATTTTGCCGCATCACAAGATGGCATTTCAAATCAGGTTGCTTCAGGAAATGGAATCTGAGAGAAGTTAGTATCTCTATGGTTCTCTGAAAAATGAAAATCTAGGTGAGGGGTTTCTGTATCTACAGGGGTGGAAAGGAAGTCCATAAATATGGGTTCAATCCCAAGGTATGAAGAGATTAGACAGTTTTACAATGTTGTTTTTACCTTGTTACTACTCCTATAGTTAGTTCCAATCGATTTGCAAGAGATTCCAACCCAAAGATTTACAACTAGAATATGGGGACCTGTGGGATTGACGCCGAAAATGACCGCTTTTGAGGCCAGAAACGGCTGCCTTTCCACTAGTCTTCCGCAAAACCCATTTTGGGTCGAAAGCTCATAACCCAGACCCAACCCAGACCCAACCCAGACCCAGTTTCTACATAAAATGGGGTCTTGGCAGTCATAAACCAGCTAAATTACCAGAATTATACACATAATTAGCGTGTTTGCTTAGTTTGTAACCCAATTTGGGGCCCCAGACCGAGTACTGGGTTGTGCGGAAGACTAGTATAGTATTTCGATATAGGAACTAAAATAGAGGAAAATAACAGTATATTATTTAAAGATTCATACTATAATTTATATAGAAACTAGGTCGAACTAGGCCTGTACTAGGTTTTCTAGGGCCCTAGTCACTAGGTCTAGGTTAGGTCTGGGTCGAGACCTTCGACCCAAAATGGGTTGCGCGGAAGGCTACTCTTACCCATTCTCGGGTTTTGGCGCAGACTATATAGACCGTGGTTAGAAGACCGAGGACCCTTATAGTCACTAAGTTAGGGTAGCCGCCAGTTAACAGCTCTAAAGCCTACCTAGACTAGGAGCCGTGGACATACGTCTAATGTGGACCTATATCCATGGCTGTCGGTAATTGGCCTAGAGTCAACTATTCTGGATCGCAGCTCCCTAACCACAGACGCACATCTCCAGGCCTAGGACCTACCTGGATATGATTCTACAGGTTGCTTACATAATTGGCTTCGGGTCACTCGATGTGTCTAGCTTAGACAGCGAACCATGTAGGCCAGGAGACGCTGTTTCTAGGTCTTTAGGGGCCTCGAAGCACCCCACGGTAGGATTACGGATCTCTAAGAAGAGGGATGGTTACTGCGCCGGATGATTCGAAATTTACTCAAGGGTAGGCATTTACTGTGTTAAACACTCCTGGCCCTTGTTGATACATATAGTATATTAGGTGGTACGAGTCCTGCGATACCATTTTGGTTTTATTGTTGCAATTGAGAACAGCATGTTTAGTCATCTTGGGGTACTGAGAACTATGGCTTGTCCTAAGAAACAACATGTTCTCAGGAGACGACATATCGTAGGATAGGAAGAATCATGGCCTGTCTTGGAAAACCGGGGGAGCATTGTTTCACGAGAATCTTCTAGGGGACATCCAGGAATTGCTTTGTGCTCCATATAGCCTAAACAGAAATCTGTCCGATAGCCTATGTCTAATGAAGTCATAAAGCTTAAGTGGATACTAGTTGATAGACTGAAAGCCACGGTGGGCTGGTCGCACGACCACTGTATCCCGCTCACCGGCCCAAGTCGACTGACTTAAAGCTTCTGGCCTGAGGCCACAGCCTCACCACCACAGCTTTCCGACAATAGACCCACATCTATAGACTGAGAGCCCGCCGTGAGTTGTTTCCTCAGATTTATGTTGCAACTAGCTTCGCGGCATTCAACGCCTGTCTGGCATGGTCAGCCGGACATCCAACTCGCAAAACAACACCTCCAAATCAAATAAAGCCCTAAGACACCCTGTTTATATTTTTAGAGGCACCAATACGTTGAACAATATATTTCGAGATAATCAAGGAGCCCGTCAATTTTGATATTCCTGGACATAGCAGATGCAATGATGTTGTACAGTAATGATATCCGTATAATCCGCGGATCAGTGACTCGTCCTCATAAGTCCACTAGTAGGCAACTCTTTAGGTCGTTTGCCCCGGTTTTCGTTGCTGTATGTTTCCCACTGAGGGCCCCAAAATAGACGTGCGCTTTTCACACCACCGCCATCTTGGGCCAGCCTTAATTCCTTTTCGCGCGCTCGCACTCGTTGACTGTGGGTTTTGCTTTGACGTTTCCTCCTATTTCTTGCGGCGATATCCTCTGCACTCTTGCCCGTAAATATTCTTCTTAGCCAGTCCATGAGTACTAGTAGTCGATCGGGGTTATCAGATGCGGTATCTGCAGCTCCACAACTTTTGAATGGCGCCAGTGAGATCAATGGACTGGAGTGTGTTCTGTAGGACAGAGATCTTTGTCTGCTTTTACGGATCACCATTAGTATCATATGCAACCACATGTAATTGGTCATACATACGCTGGGTGAGATAATTTTCAGAATGATTGATGGTATTGCCTTGGGGTGTGTGGCCTTCTATGTAACCTTGAACAGAAAGCCGCAGCCCCATTTAATGGTGATGCTGATCCAAGTGAAGGCCCGATATGTACTCAGCCACGCAGCCTTCAAAGTACAATTTCAAGAGCTAAACCCGGTAGATGGTAGATCCTGAAGAGTGGTTAATTTTCAACCCCAAATTGAAGCGAGAAGCAGGAAACACCCCCGCAGTTAAATGTTGGACACGAAGGTGCATTACTAAGAACGAAAATAGTTCGACGCGGCGATAAGCGGGGCTGTGCAGGGTTCAAATCACACAATGATTGGGTACTGTGAATTGGGGGCCGTTCTATTCCCCCCTTTGACATCAGCTTATATCCCTCAGCGTTTCAAGCGCGTACTTTCTCTGTACTCTGTACCTCGTGCTCGGCGTGCCACTGCAGTATACTGTACGAACCAAAGTTGAATAAGGTCATCGATTCACATAGTACTATGTGGGTATTCCTCATACGCCACTTCACAATAACCAACCACGTGGAGTGCAAAAGGCCTTTTCCGCTGCATACACGCGCAGTCCCCTATTCTCGACTACCGGACTTAGCTGTTTCCATTTCGAATGTTCTAGGCAGTGACCCTTCGAGGGCGGGGATATGAGCCAATCAAATCAACCCCAGTGACTCGCAAAAATAGCACCGTCCAGGCCAAAGCAAGAGTTCACAGAGATTCGCCTTCTTTTGGGTGTCCGTCTCATCTACCTCACAAGGCAAAAAAGCAACAGCTTAATGCATATCAAAGTGTCAACCGTTGCTGCAACATCCATCTTGAAAGTCCCACTCAAAATCATTATTTCTGAGGTGGATATTAGATAGCCCATTTAGCATATGTCTGACTACACAGGGCCTTTGAAGACCATCGTAATTTGTGCTTGAAGTTCTGAAAATAGGTCTTGAGGCCGCTCATGGACGGTGGCCCGCAATTTTCTTTCGAGTCGAGAAATGTCCTCAACGCACAAACAAACCAGCGAGGGCCCTAATAGGTACCTAGTATTAGGTCTTGGGTTCCCCTTTCTTTTACTCTAGCCCCCACCGACTACTGCGCATTTGCTTTCAGCCCGACGCACTGCCCCTTTCATGTTTACCGGAGATGCCATCCGACATCCAGCTTATAATGCCTGTTACCTAGAAGCGTAACCACTAGGATGATACAGTATCCTATTCTTTCGTATCGATAATCCTACTCCTTCCCTAGGGAAGTGACTAAGCACCGTTAGTCTTCTCCAAAACCCAACTTAGGTCCAAACTTTGGACCCAAGACCCAACCCATATAGGTTTTGGGTCCGATTTCTATAACCCAACCGGCAATGAGTACAAGATAGAGGGGTAGGAAGAATGGAAAACGTGAGAGAGGGGGAGGAAGAGCAGCGAGGACGGGTCTTTTATATCGGCGGCATTCAAGGTAGGTTTGCAAAACTAACCGGATACAGTAATTCATAGGTCTGCCGTTTACAGTCTTAATAGTCTTCATAGTACTATTCAACAAATTAGAGTAAAAACAATTCGGAAAGGTTGAATAGTACAATAGGGACTATGCAGTATGTGAATTTTGAATAGGAATGAATCAATTACAAATCAATTTGTACTACAGGAATAGTACCAGAAACGTAATGTCATATTAATTACTAGAAACTAACTGGGATTCTCAACTAAATCAACTTGATCTTCTTGCTAGATATATAAATTCTCATTTGTTCGCTTTGGAATATACAAATCAGCCATTCATCTAGACAACAATAATAGGGGCATCATCGTTGACAATCATCTTCCTCGCGCGAATAACCCAACAATGACAGACAAAAGTGACACCTGTTTTCTTGAAAAACCGAAGCAGGGACATTTGAGCATAGAATGATTTTATTTGCATCACCCCTGGTTACTTGGGTGCGGTGTTATTATTGGAGCACCCACCGGTTTATTACTAAGTGTGGTGATATTCCCCAACGTGATATATCCTTCCCCACGAGGTAAAAGTGGGAGTATTTATTCCCCACTATCTCAGCACAGCCATGCAAATTCTCTAGCTGAATTAGTCTCATTGAATACAAGGAGTATAAAACTTCACAACCGTCTACCTAAAACACAGGTCCAGCACGGATTATCCGATACGTATGTACTGATATGCGCCAAGGCGAAATATCACTCACTCAAACATGTCGTTCGGTGATCACGAATGATATCCTCCGACGCGAAGGCCGAGGGCTGAAACATACATCGTACCATTGCTGCTTCCTGAAAGCGTCGGTTGCCGATCACTGCTGTAGTCCAATAAAGAGCTTCACCGTTGACCCCTCCTCGGCGTTGGTAAACAGCGACAAACACCGATCGGAGCCTTTGATACCGAGTCCGACTCCATTGAGAGATTTTCTGATGTGTGCAACCCCCGCCCCGTCCGGATATAAACAAAAACCATACGGATGTCAGAATTCGACCCACTTACATGCAGAAAGAGGNGGGGGGGGGGGGGGGGGGGGAAACTTGGATCAAAGAACATTGGAAGAGCGCTGATCTTGCTCTTGGACAGCACAATCGAATATATTTAAGCTTATCACGCCATCTGACTCCAGAATGTAACCATCTCTTCTCACGCTCATTGCCTCGCAGCGAGTTAAGCTTAATTATCTTCCAGCCACCACATTCTAGATATACCACGTCCATCAACAAACATGGCTATTACTATCACTACCCCCGAAGACAAAGATCAACCACGCCGAGTCCTCCTCGTCAGTATACCTCGCACCGCCTCGAATCTTTTCCTGAAGATTCTCAACATCCCCAACCAACCAAACGTCCTCACCAACCAAAAGGGAGGCTACTTCTTCCACGATGCCTTCACGATAGCCAGCAGGGACGGTCGCGTGGAGAAGCCACTAGACCAATGGACAACAGATGCGAAGAGCGAGACCAAAGCCGCCATCCAACAGTGCTTCAACGAACTAGAAGACTACTCGACCCGAGCCCGCACCGAGAGCAAGATAATGTTCGCCAAAGAACACGCCTTCTGGTTCCTCAACCCGGGCTTCTTCACCAGTGCTATGAGCGGCGCCCCAAAGCCCTCACTCGAGCAACTGAAAGAGTTCCGTATATCGATGCCAGAACAATATGGACCCTCGCAGACATTCTCTCCCAATAATAAAACCGTCATGCCAGATGAGTACCTGCGCACCTGGCAGCTGGCCTTCATCATCCGTCACCCGGCACTAGCTTATCCATCGCTGTACCGCGCTATGCAGAAGTTATCCAAAGTCGGTTACATTGATGACGACGGAATCAAGGGTTTGTCGCTCACGAACATGAGCCTGGAATGGACGCGGAAATTGTTCGACTGGTGTCTTGAGCAGCCGGATGAGTCTGTCATACCTTTGGTCATCGATGCCAATGATGTGATCCATAACCCCGGTGCTGTGGCTAAGTTCTGTGAAAAGGCTGGGCTGGACACTGCGTCCTTGCAATTTGAGTGGAGTGGTTCTGAGAAGAAGTCTGAGAGCTGGGCAACTGAGAGTGCAAACATTGGTAATACTGAGGAGCTGGCTCTGCATAAGAATGTTGCTTCTATCATGCTGTCGACTTTGGAGGAGTCGACTAGTGTTGTTAAGGACAAGGCTCCGGCGTCAGTTGATGTTGACACGGAGGTTGCTAAGTGGCATGTCGAGTTTGGGGACGAGATTGCTGAGCTGCTTGAAAAGGCTACCCGAGATTCTATGCCGGATTATGAGTATTTGAAGGCTCACAGGGTCACTGTCTAAATTGATTTTTTTATTGATTTGTGACTTTGTGGTTTCAGATACATATTTTGTTCCTTTCTCTATAGTACGAGTAATGAATGTATGGTTACACTGAAGCAGTGTTTGTCAGTGCTCTCTTTGTCCTGATGGGGTATATTAGATAGCCCATGGTAGCGTTAGAGTATTCATACTTCTCTTCTTACCTTTATCTTTCTTCACCGTAGATGACTCCGTCCATCAGTCCATGAGTGTCACCATTTATCCACCATTTTCATTACTGCGTAGGTGACTTCTGGAATCTCAAATCCATATCGGATTCCCCATCAACAACAGATTTATCCATCGAGATTTCATCAATTTCTGAACTTACTCATCATGACGGAACCGGTTATTGGCATGGGTGCTCCGCGTGACCGTGACTATCACGCCGTTGAACAGTGGATTGCGGCGAATTGCAACCAAGCGACAGACTTGCCAGCCACCACCTCATTCGAAATTCCCATGATAGAGCCAGTTCTTAAATTGGTTTCTAATTTTGGTTTCTGGCATCGTCAAGTCGTCCAGATCCTGGAATGTCACAACCTTCATCGCCTTGTTGATTCTGATCAGGAGAGGCCTTTGCGTTATCACCCCAACTCTAAATTATGGCTGCAGCTCACTAAACAAGTGAGAGCATGGCTAAGCAGCTGTATTGACCCTGCCTTGGAGCAAGAATTCGTTGGAGACCGTAAGGTGATGTATGCGGATGAGTTTATGAGGAAACTCAAGGACCACATGAAAAGCTCACGCCGTGGCGCCATAAAGCGGGTGTGCTTTGATATCTGGGATTCTCGGCTCGAGGATTTCTCGACAATTAGGGAGTTTGTTGCAGGGTTGAAAGAGAGACTACATTCAGCAATCGATCTCGAAGCCAACCTTCTACCTTACCATGCTTTGATTGTTATGCTGCGACAACTTGAGACCTTATCTACGTTGGAAACTTTTGCAATGTCAGAGCTCACGAAGTTGGAAGCGCGTTCAAACCCTGTGGTCGACACGACGATGGTAGATTTCTATGACACTTGTACTGTGGTTCTCAACTATGTGAAGGAGAAGGGACTTGACTCCGAGGACGTGACACCCTCAGTTCCGTTGGCGGTCACCCGTGCACCTGGAAAATAGAAGCACCTACAAGCTCACCCGTCAATTTGAGAACGCTGACTTGCGCCAACATCAAAGCGAGTGACGCGCAGGCTTCGACAACAAACGAGGACGCATAGCAATCAATATTCTTCTGCTTCCCTTGTAGTATTCCGTCTTCATAATGAACTTCTCAATTAATGGCGCCATTCCTACGTACAAATATATACAGTCGCCTTTAGATAGCTATATGGCGATGCAAACTCCAATAATTTGCACAGTTGCATAGAATGCCATGATTCTCTACATGAAACCGGGGTTTTTTTGGCGAGGAAGCGATTATACTATGATTACCATAAATAATCACTATATTTCACCACCAAAGGGCCATATTAACCATCAAATAGTGTGGGGGCCAGTTTACGCGCTGCGTGTCGACCCAACCCCGCCCTCGAGTGAGGCTGAGCTTTCTCCATTCATATCCAACAGCTTATTTTCGTCTCTGAGCTCCCAAATTCCCAACCCCTCAAATTTGGCCCTCTCTATGCTCATTATTGGGTTTCAAAATGAGCTTTGGGTTTGGTATCGGGGACTTCCTCGCAATTATCCAACTCGCCAACAAGACTCGAAAAGCGTTTGTCGATGCACCAGCTCAATTTAAGAGCATTTCCGATGAGTAGGTGAATTCCAATTTTGATCTCACTTACCTCAATCGGTTATACCTGGTGTGGTAACAAATGTTGTAACAGAGTCAGAAGCCTCTCTCTTGTACTGCAAGATGTAGAGATCGACATATCCGCGAAGGAGCTTAGCAGTCAGCAACAGGCTGAGCTACAGGAGATATCAACTGGTTGCAACGAGGTCCTTGCCGATACTTTGAAGAAAATTGAGGACTACACAGAGTTGTCCACTAGAAATGATGCAAAACGAAACATCGCGAAGCGGGTGTGGAAACGCTTGAAATGGGAACCAAGCGACGTCCAAGAACTTCGCCTTCTAATCGGCACTAATATCGCACTCCTGACAGCATTCAATGGCCAAATATTGAAACGCAGTGTGGCAAAACTGGTGCAGCATCAAGACGAGGCAGAGCGCCAGAAAGTCCTTGATTGGCTCTCACCATTAAGCTACGCGGCCCAACAAAGTGATTACATTAGTCGACGCGAGGAAGGTACTGGACAGTGGTTCCTGGACTCATCTGAGTTCAAAGAGTGGGTCTCCGGTTCAAAACAAACGCTCTTCTGTCCTGGTATTCCAGGTGCCGGGAAAACAATTCTAGCATCTATCGTGATTGATGAGCTCCACGATCGATTTGGAAATGCAGGCGATGACATTGCTATTGCGTATATTTACTGCAGTTTCAAGCGACACGATGAGCAAAGCGCTATTGGATTGTTATCAAGTCTCTTGAAACAATTGGCTCAGTCACAGTCATCGTTGCCTAGTAGCATCCAAGAGATGTATGCTAAACATGTAGCGAAAGAAACAAGACCTTCAATGGGCGAAATATCCGAGTCCATCCAATTACTATCACAACCTGGCAACTTTGAAAAGGTCTATATAGTAATCGACGCTTTGGATGAGTGTCGGACGTATGATGGATCCCGAACAAAACTCTTGGATGCAATTTTCAAACTTCAAGGTGCTCGCAACATACACTTCCTCGCTACTTCCCGGGTTATCCCTGAAATACAGGAAATATTTGAAGAAACCCCAACCCTTGAGATTCGTGCTAGCACGGTAGATGTCATGCGATATCTGCAAGGAAACTTGGAAATGCTCCCAACATTTGTTTCACGAAATCCGGAATTGCAAATGGAGATTTCAACGAAGATAAGTGGAGCTGTTGATGGAATGTGAGTAAACCCTTGGCGAATACTAAAGAATACTCAAGAATCTTCTGCAGTCCTCTAACGCAAGTACCTAGGTTTCTACTCGCCCAGCTATACCTGAACTCCTTGGTCGGGAAAAGATCACCTAAAGCAATCAGATCCGCGCTAAAAGACATATCCTCTGGTACAAAGCAATACGATTCCGCCTATGGCGATGCTATGAAGCGAATTCAAGGGCAAATATCCGATGAAACAGAACTGGCCATGCAAGTCCTTACATGGATCACCTGTGCCAAAAGACCGCTCACTACGCTGGAGCTGCAAATTGCACTAGCAGTCGAAATAGACGAGTCGGATTTTGACAAGAACAATATCTCCGATCTAACTCAAATAGTCTCAGTCTGTGCAGGCCTAGTGACAATCGATGAACAAAGCGATGTCATTCGACTAGTGCATTATACAACCCAGGAATTCTTCGAGCGCAATCAATCAATTTGGTTCCCAAAGGCAAACCACTATATTGGAAGCATCTGCGTGGCTTATTTGTCATATGATACTTTCAAAACAGGACATTGCCGAACAGACGCAGACTTTTTATCACGCCTCGATGACCATCCTTTTGGACTTTATGCAGCGGATTTCTGGGGCAGTCATATGCGAGAGCGCGAGGTAGACGGGGAACAACATATAAGCGATCAAGCAATCATTGAACTGCTGCTAGACATACCGAAAGTCAATTCCTGTGTGCAATTCATGGTATATCGTCGTCCCCATTCTTCCAACAACACGTATTTTAGAGGAGGGGATTTGTGTTATCGTTATCTCCTATATACCTCGCATTTTGCTACAGGTCTGCATCTTGCAGTTTACTTCGAATTGCTTGATATGACCCAAAAGTTGATTTCACTTGGGGGTTCAGTGGACTGCGTGGATGGCCTTGGAAAAACACCTTTGGCATGGGCAGCAGAGCATAATCGCCTAGGTCCTATAACATTACTCCTAGCAAATGGCGCAGATCCAAACATGAAAGACACCCTAGACAGGACACCCCTATTTTGGGCAGCTATGTTTGGCCACGAACAAGCGGTGCAGTTACTGCTCGAAGCAAACTGTGATTGGCTGTCTAGTGATGACCAGGGTGAGTCATCACTTCATGCTTCGGCCATGAACGGATCGGAGAAGATTACCCGTCTTCTTGTACAGAAAGGGCTCACACAGTCGACGGATATGTGGGGCAACAATCTATTGGTTGAGGCCGCTCTACGGGGTGATTTAAAACTTGTGAAGCTTTTGCTTGACTGGGATCCGGATATCGACCCACAAGATATTGGATTGAATGCCTCACTCCAAGCTGCAGCAATGCTTAAGGGGAACGAGGAAATTGTTCAGTATCTCCTGAATAGGGGCGCTGACCCTAATTATATTGATTATCTTGAAATAACGCCACTTATGCACGCATCAACATCAGGCAGCGTGTCGATAGTACAAATCTTACTGAAGTGTGGTGTTGATTTGGAAAGGAAAGACCATAGTGGGAAGACTGCACTTAATCGCGCAGCAGGGAGGTGGGGTTCAAAGGAAATAGTTCAGCTCCTCCTAGAGAATGGCGCTGATATTAACTCCGAGGATAACAGTGGTCATAGTGCACTTTTTTCTGCAACCTTCCAGAACCGTTACGAGACTCTGCTTGTTCTTCTTACTTATACCAAGATCAAGATCTCTCCCGATCGGTATGGCCGAACACTTCTACATGTTGCTGCAATCCGCGGCCATTTAGAGTCAGTCCTTATACTGCTCAAATTTGATGCTATTGATTGCGAAGCTCAAGATAAGTTTGGTCGCACAGCACTATCAGACGCTATCATGCGAAACAGATTTGATGTTGTGAAAGTCCTAGAGACATTTTCCGAGACAAGCTCCCAAGTGACAGTTAAGTCAGTGGTTAAAGCCAGCTCTTAACCGGGGCGAATTATTTGTGATATTTGCAGCATTGATATATTGAGGCGTGAGAGTTTCTACCATTGTGATACTTGTAATGGAGGGGACTTGGATATCTGCAAAGTGTGCTATCATGTTGGAGCACGATGCCTGGATGGATCTCATGAAATGCATCTACGGCCTAAAGAAGAAGCTGCTCCTGGGCCTGAAGAAGCATAATTGCTATGGAGAAAGTGGAACTGGATCTGGTGTGATTTTGAATTTCCCAGGACAAAGAATAGTATAGAGAAATACTTTACCCTAATTGAAACTACGTGCCTTCTGGGTCAAATGTCATCTCGGCAAGATACCGCTGTTGCCGACTCATAGATAGGCAAAGGCATACGCCTTTTATTCATCCATGAAGACAGTGCTCCACAATCCTCTTGTACACCTGAACACTCTCAATAAGCTCCTCAATTTCGATACACTCGTTATCTCCATGAGCAACCAAGATAGAACCCGGCCCATAGAGGTACTTCTTATGTCCACCCTTCAACCGCGGAGCATCAGTCCCAAATGCGACAGGCATCGTGCCCATACCCGGTACATCGTGGTCCAAGTACAGCTCCGGGTACATAAATTTCTTATTCAGACGAACAAATTCATTCTTTGAAACGATAGCTTCCACTAATCGCTCAATTTCGGGTAGGTCACTTGCAACTCGGATCGCACATAGTGCCGTGCATTCCGCCGCAAGGATATTGTATCCGACGCCCCCTGTGATTTGACCACAATGAAATGTGGACGGTCCAATTATGTCGGATGATGGGTACGTTGTTCGCTCAAGCGCTGCCAGAACATCGGTCATCACGGAGATTGCGCTCCGTCCTCGCTGAGGATAGCCTGAGTGCGCTGGAACTCCCTCGCTTGTGAGCTCAAAGACAAAATGACCTTTATGTCCCACAGCTAGTTTTCCTTCGGTCGGCTCGCCAAATATGACTGCCTCCCAGGACAGGTTCATTGAGTTGGCTGCGAGCATTCCCGGTCCTCCCTTTTCCTCTCCAACGACAAAAAGAAGTGATACATCACTAGGCTGGACACGGTCTTCAGCGCGTAGCTCTTCCAGTGCAATGATTTGAGCGGCTAATGGGCCCTTATCATCGCATGAGCCCCGTCCGTAAATTGTAGTTGGCGTCAGTCTCATAGGGATGTGCGGAGGAACGGTGTCCATGTGAGATGTGAGACAAATTCGTGTTTTGCGCGATGAGCCTAAGTAGGCGTAGACATTGCAACGGAGACTATCTGGACTGATTGGAATGCGTTCGACGGTATAGCCTAAGCCATGAAGATGCTTTTCAAGAAATAGACCGATCTCGTGTTCCTCGTTGCTGATAGATGGGATTTGCATGAGCTGCCCAAGCAGAGTGACAACCGCAGAAGCCATTATGAAATTCGATATCGTTCATACGTGGAAGGTGATATTAAACCAAGCCAAAAGTTATAAGTGTATAGATTGGACAATCAAAGTGGAGTCGTGAGCATTTGAGTGCTTTGATCAATCGGGTTGATCAAGTTAAGCCGGCGACCCAGTAATCCGGCAGGCTCAACAGCCAACCAGGTCAAAGAAAAACTTTTGGATATCTGACGAGCCTACGCCAAAGATAGATCAGGCCGGGTATATCTCCCGAGTTCGGCGTTCTCACCGAGAGATTGAGACAACCTTCGGATGGGCTTCCGATAGTTTGAGATAGGCTTATCAAGTGTGAATATTCATGAGTACCAAAGATTCATAACCTGTCACAGGTGGAAGAATTAAAAATAGTACTCCTTCTTGGAGCCAACAAAATCAGGCCGGGCCAAACAGAAACTCATCTCCCAGCTCACACGCCAGGTCTCTTAGAGATTCATCCTGAGGGTTCATTCCATCTGGCCATATGAAGGCTTTATCTGCCAGAAAACTATCTATAAGAGGATTATCTAGGGGAACTCCGTCTCCAAAGCCTAGCACCGATCCATCGGCATCGTGAACCATTTGTTCCTGTGGCGCTGTGCTTCCATTGGGAGCCGTAGATACACGGGAGCTTGCTTCGTTGGCTTCTCTCATCTTTCCAACACTTGCCCGGGTACGCTGTAGTCTTTCGTAGTAGTCAAAGCTAGGAAGATTGCCATCTTCCTTCATGGCTCGGAGTATAGTGAAAGCATATGAGACGGCGTCTGACATTCCCACATTTGGATCCATGACTGCAGACATGACCAAGATGAGAGTGGAGGAGAAGAGATAGTGTGCATCAAAGTATCCAAATGACGCTAGAGATCCTTCAACAAATAGCTTTGATAGGATGGAATTCGATGCCCGCGCGGCCTGCACACAGCTTTCTGCCAGGGCGAGGGTAGTAGGGGAAAAGACCCTGGGCGGGGCTTCGGCAGATGTAGCGCTCAGTGAAAAGCGATTCTTGAAAATATATAGTAGAATCGGACGAGTTGTCGAAATCACACATTGATTATAGTGAAGATGAAGACTGGAAATGTGTCGAGGCAAATGCTCTTGGCGTAGTTGTAGCGTTGATGGGAGTTCATCATTCCACTTTCGCAGACTCAGAAGAATTCGATGCACCCTTTGTACAAAGGTTTCTGTAGTTCTTTGTGGGAGACAATATATATCATTAACTAGAGTGAAACTCATTAGTGATGCGGACAATGGCCTAAAGTGGAAAGACGCCTTTACGGATTTGCCCTGTGATTTTTGCCAACTTAACGTTCGCGACTAGGTGGCCGGGATCGGTAAATTCCTCCAACTCGGCTGGAATAAGGCCTTCATTTGTTGGAAGCTCAACATCAATCACAGCATCGCTTATAAGCAAGGGGTATCCGAGGTTGGAGCTGCATAGTCGGTCGAGCGTGTAAAGTGTCCACCAGACGCGCTTTCGGTGCTCACGATCCACCGGGCATAGTTTTGTATCTGTGGGCAGACTTCGATGAAGGCCCAATCCAAGTGCCATTCTCAGGGCAATACCGCTATAGGTGTACGCCGTTTTGACGCGTCCTAGAGCGTTTGAATAAAAGCACTATGCAATTGCCGTGAGCAAAACCGCCAATTTTTTTTTAAAAAAAGGAAAACCTTGGGATGTATCGACTTACGAAAAGAACCATGACTTCTACCTGTTCCACTGAAGGGGTTTCATACAGATCTTGCAATAGACCCACCGCACGCAGGAAGTAGTCTGTTCCCGGTACGTGTTGATCAGCCATCCTTCGTTTTCGGTTCGAGTACATTTCACCCAGCGCTAACAGTACAAAAAACTTGCACATCCATGCTGGGTTCCGGGGAATCTCTCCGGCGCACGTTCGGTCCAACGTGTCGAAAAAGGTTTTCTTCAGAATTAAATGGTAGTCGGTACCTATGAATCGAATGGCAACCTCCACCAATAACCGAGCCTGTATTCGGTCAGGCAACACTACCTCTGGGCGCATCAGACGATGAAAAATGTCGTGTTGGAAATATGTCGGAGATGCCCACGATGAAAGATCAGCATCTTTGTCGACGCATTGGAGCAAGGTGTCCCCAAAAGCAACGCAGGAAGCCTCACCAATAAAGATTGGCTGTGAGGATGATCTGGCGGCAACAAACCCAGTGGGCGATTCAAGAAGAGGATTAGAAACATCAATATCTGGGGACTGGGCCGAGGGCTGAACTGGATCTTGAGTAAGACAGCTTGTCTCATCTAGCTCAGATGAAGCTCTTGATCGCTGCTTTTGAGCTCTCAAAGCTTTGACTTCTCCCTCTAACTTTTTGATGTATCTAAGAGCTCAATTTCATTAGCTTCCAGGCGTATTAGAAAGAGCTTAAATATGATGACATACGTCTCGGACACCGATATCTTTCGGTCTCGTGTAGGAAACTCGCACTGATCTCGATTTTGCGACATGCAGCATGATTGACAGGGCTGAGTCCCCGAGCATTTGATCTTCTGTGAGTGACATCGTCGGCAACTATACCGACCAAAACTTGTTAGTTTAGGAAGAGATAGGTTTCGGGGGATCTCGGGGCATCTCACGCTACATAGATGCGCCTTTGCCTCTTGACTGACGGGCCGTGTCTAGATTCCATGAGAGTAGATGATGTGACGAAATGGAGAAGGGGAAAGCTGTCGGAAACAAAAACAGTGCGTTATCTGCGGAGAACGAGATAAGAGTGTGGAGTGCGGAGTAACAACCCACACGTACCCACACGTTACTGTTAAGGAAAGGAAATCATAGGTTGTGTTGAGCTAGGTAGCTGCTAGAAAAGATAGAGAGAAAGAGAAAGGAATATTAAATTGATTGGGAAAATGGCCCTATCCACCTCAAGCAGAAACGCGGTCTCAGCAGTTACTAACACTGAAGACAACATTCTACTCTAGGGAACCACAATCTATTAAGACAACTAACTAATTACAGAGAGTATCGGAAGAACACATCATAGTCGCCTTTCTCCGGTCTTTTTTCCAGTACCTCACCTGCTTCTTCAGCCCGGCGAATTCTCTCTGCTCTCCTTCTGTTCACTATCGTCATCCCCGTCATCAACAAAGCGACCATTACCAATGCCACCACTGCAAGCCCCAGGCTGATGGAAAGTCCCTTAATATACCGCGGTGCAGATTCCGTAGTGAATATCTGCCCGACGGCGACACCGGCAGTGTTTCCGAAGCAGAGTGTCATACCGACCATCGTAGCCCGTTTGAAGTGGCGAGCCGTGTTGTCTTGAAGCCACATGAGTGACAAACCGGTTGTGGGATAAATTCCGAGAGCAACAACTAGAAGGATTTAGTTTGAGAATGGCAAATGGAATCAAGGGGATTCTAAACTTACCAAAACACGCGAAGAATCGAACGTTCAGGTTCTCCACCGAAATGAGAAGTGAGTAACCCATAATCAGACATAGTAGGGGCCCGGCAAGGAACGGACCTCTGACATTGGCCCTGTCTGAACAATATGCAATCATGAGGAACCACACCAGGCCGACCATGTAGATTGGGACTGTCATCAGATTTGCTCGTACGCCGGAATATCCCAACCCAGAAACAATTTTGGGCAGGAAAGTCGTAAATCCATAGAGAGAGACATCCACACTGAACTGGTAGATCCAAAACGCATACCACTTAGGATCAGTCAGAGCGCTTAGAGACTCGGCCCAACTGAATTCTTCATCCTGACCCCAATGAGGATCATTATCGTATCGGGCTTGAATCATGCTCTTTTCTTCGGCGCTTAAAAACCAGGCAGTGGTGGGATGTTTCGGGAACACGAAAAAGAAAATTGGCACGAGAAGCAAAGTCATGGCACCTTCAATGGCAAACAGCCAGCGCCATCCTTCCCACCCGTTAGGTCCGTGGACCTGTGTGAGTCCGTAAGCGAGAAGTCCACCAAAGGCACTCGAAAAGGCACTAAATGCAAAAATTAAAGCAGAGCGTTTTCCTCGTTCACTTTTCTTGTATACTAGCGCAATGTATACGTTGATGCAGGGAATTAATCCAGCTTCGAAAAGGCCGGTCATTAGCCGACACGCATAAAGCCCTTGCCAGTTTTGGATGAATGCTGAAAAAAGGTTAATGCCTGAACACAAAGCTTGGAAAGCCATCTACATACCCATTCCAAGAGTTGTAATCCCCCAGCAGAAGGCGCATGTTGACAACAATGGCTTAGGCCCGATGATCTTGAGAAGCACTGCAATCGGTCCCTCAAAGGGGACATAGGTTGCGTACCTGTTGGTTAAAATATATCAGTAATTATCCAAACATAGCAAGCTCAAAAGGCCAAGGGCTCGTACAGTAAGGTTGTAGCGGTTCCAAACTGGTTTCCAACTAGGCCCAAGTCCTCTTGCAGTCCAGCTGTATTCGCGTTTCCGATGTTGCTTCGGTCCAAGTTGGCCATCATGTAAAAAGCGCCCAACATTCCAATAGCAAAAATCTATATTCACATTAATACAAGCACTTAAGCCTTGATGCATATATGTGCATGTGATGCTGTCTTACATCAAATTTCCTCATCATCCTTCTTTCTTTGACTGGATCAATGTAGATCTCAGCCGAACCGACGCCCATACCAGGCTCGTAAATGTCGGCCGTGTGGGCCTCTTTGATTGATTTCGTGTCCATTGGGTTTGAAATGTTTGGCAAGGTGAAAAAAAGCCTTTTGTTTGCCCTCGAGGTAACAATCAAGTAGCGAGTTTTGACAGATTATGCTTTGATATATAAAGTTGTACAATAATAAGCTCTGGGAGGAGGACACTGGATTACAGGGCTGCTTGCCCCAACGCCTGAAGGCCGAGATTACGCTTATCGAGACCATACGACAGCTTTCGTACTTTGATCCAACTTTAATTCAAATTGATCAAAAAGCTAAAGCTCTTTGCTTATCTTGCGAGGATCGGTTATATCTCAACGTTGCCGGACCAATCGGCTTGCAGCTTCGAGGTCGGGGTCGATCGTTTGATGTTATACCCCAAGCAGAAAAGAAATCGCCAGACTGAGAGAAGCTGCACATTTTTACTTTTATTTTGAGAGACTAGGAGAAAGAAAAAGTTCGAATGAATTGCCTTGAACAACATCGCGCAGCCGTCGGACTGTCCGTCATTACTTTGTTGGCTGCCTCGCTATGGGCCGTTTATCGCATTCAATCCGAGTCAGAGCTTCCACCAGACATTCCAGCACGGATTGACAGGATTTTGAAAGATACACCATTGATTGATGGCCATAATGATTTGCCTTACCTCCTTCGGGTGGAACTTCAGAATAAGATCAATGACGACCGCTTCACATTCCGAGAAGGTGCGAACTCAAAAGGAACTTTTGAAACATCACACATTGATGATTTACTGACGGATAAAATTCGGTACTTAGGACTCGCTAGTCACACTGATCTCAAGCGCCTGCGACAAGGCCGGGTCGGAGGGCAGTTCTGGTCTGTCTTCATGGAATGTCCCGACACGAAGCAGATAGATGACCCAAGTCACATCGTACGCGATACCCTCGAGCAAATTGACGTCGCTCGTCGTTTCATAGAAGCAACACCCGAGCTGAAGTTTTGTCCTACGGCTGCTTCTGCCGTGGAAGCTTTCAAAGCAGGCAAAATAGCATCGATGCTGGGTGCAGAGGGGTTGCACCAAACCGGCTCCTCCATCGCAGTTATTCGCCAATTGTGGGATCTGGGAGTGCGTTATATCACAGTCACTCATAACAGCGACAATGCGTACGCGACTGCAGCTGCTACCGTGACCGCTCTAGGAACCGACTCCGATGCGGGATTGTCCCCGTTCGGGGCATTGGCTATCCATGAGATGAACAGGCTTGGTATGATGGTAGACTTATCTCATACGTCACATCGAACCATGAGACAAGTATTAGATATCGCTCGATCACCGGTGATATTCAGTCATAGTACATGCTATTCCTTGGCAAAGAATTTTCGAAATACCCCCGACGATGTCATCAAGCGGTTGAAGACAAACGGCGGGGTTTTGATGGTGATGTTTGTGCAGAGGTTCTTGAACGCAACTCACCCAGAAAGTGCCGATGTCGAGACCGTGGTCGATCATATAATGCACATCGTCGAGTTAGCAGGCTGGGATCATGTCGGAATTGGAGGTGATTTCGATGGGACAGTCACTCTGGCGAATGGCATTCACTCAGTGGCAGATTATCCTAAATTACTCGAGGCTGTGATGCGAAGAGGAGCTACGGACAAGCAAATCAGGAAGTTGATTGGCGAAAATATCCTGAGGTGAGTTTTGGATAAATCGCAAGAATCGACTAATTTCAGTCGAACCGACGTACAAACAGCGCTGACAGTATAACCCAGAGCCTGGAGCCAAAACGAGCAAAATGCAGACAGATTTACGAGTGAGAAGCCAATAGAAGATGTCTGGGAAGGGCGTAGTTGGTCGAGATGGAACAATCCTTTGCCCAATATGATCCCAGGGAACCCTGATCGGATACAGGCCCATGACTATCCATAGATACTACTTGAAGCTATGCAGTTGCCAATCTGGTCAAAAAACTCTTACAAGGATTTATCTACACTTTGACTACATAGAATGGGCCACCATAAGCACATCTCAAGAGCGAGTCATGGTGCCAGTGTACTCGGGTGACTATACCTACCACACGATCAACTTCGAGTCCATTATTGGAAACACTGCACTTGCAAATAGACATCCACAAGGTCCATAAATGGGCCGGGACCCTTGGTGGGCTATGAGTTTAACCTCCGAAGCCCTACCCAACCCACAGCCCATTCGTGAGGGCTCATAAGGCCCCCATTATAGCCCATTTAGGGGGTTCAACTAGTATCTTATAATCGCTGTATTCTAACATTCTACATATTATACAGAGCTTGAATTTCTGTAATATAAAATAGATCAATAGCTATATGAGTATATATTTCAATTTTAAACAAAATCCGACCGGTAGAGGTTGAGATACCGCGAAAAATGTTGATATTAATATTCTGATACTTGATATATATATTTGGAAGTTGTAAAGGATTACTAGTTACTACTTTCTAAGAGGATTTCTATGATTTATAAATATCTAGATAATTAATTTACTCATGCTTTTAATCGTGATATATAGATTAAACTAATATCTAACAACAAATTCATCAAAACAATTGAATATTATCTTGAATTAAAGGCTAGAAATAGGATCTAAACATAAGGCAATTAAAAAATCCACGCTTTTAGGAAAATTTATATTGGCCAGTGCTTGTTAGGCCCTATTGGGCCCCTATTTAAAGCCCAGTGGGATTTCACCCCGGGCCCAGGGCCAATAGCCAGCCCACCGGTGGGTTGGGGCGGGTTGGGCTTTGCGGAGGTCTACTTGCAAAGCAGTTGAATAGCCGAAACATCTCTCTCAATAGTTGAAGCATCGTAATTTGAATTGCAGCAAACTATAAAGTTTATTGAAAGCTATATCATATCCATAATCTCAATACACCTGCAAGTGGTGTGGTCATTTGCCTTATGTCTCTCAGTTGCCCACGGCCGTCGCATTCCTCTCAGCCAAACTACCCTGCGTGCGTAGCAATGACGATCCAGGGGAAAACTTCTCATGAATCCTGAAAATATCCATGAACACCTCATCTTTTTTGTTTGGATCTCTTCCATAGCCACCACCTCCAGGTGTATGAACGATGATATGATCGCCAGTATTCATGTGTGTCGTTGCCTTGCCACCCAAGCTGATTGTTCTGCTCGTTCCATCAGGATACTTTCTCAACCATAGGTTCACTCCACGCTGGCCTTCGTCGCCCCCTGCCATGCCATATGGAGGGATAACACGTCTCTCAGATAGAATGGAGACCTGCATAGGTAATCGGAACTCGATGTCGCGGATACAACCATCGCCACCACGATGCCGGCCGGCACCGCCACTTCCTTTGCGGATAGAAAACTCGTGGAGAATGACCGGGTAGCGCCGTTCAAAGATCTCAGGATCAGAAATTCGGGTATTGGTGATATGTGTGTGCACGCCACTTTCACCATCCCAGTCCGCACCCGCGCCGGATCCACCAGCGATGGTCTCGTAGTATCCGAACCCTTTGACTACTTCTCCTGTGACTGGATTTGTGCCACCGTAGCCAAATGTGAGATTGTTGCATGTTCCTTGGGACGCGGCAGCTGCACGGAAGGCTTTGAAGATCAAATCGACAATGCGTTGTGATGTTTCCACATTCGATCCCACGGTCGCTGCTTTGAGCGAAGGCGATAGGAGTGTGTTGGGTGGGCATACGAGCTTAATAGGCTTCAGACAGCCTTGGTTGAGAGGAATATCTGATGAGATCATTGATCGAAGACAGTACTATACGGTTTGGTTAGAACGACTTGCTCGTATTCAAAGCTTTGATGTCTCAGACAAATGTTTGCACTTACCATGATCCCAGAATACATGATTGCTGGTGGACAGTTCAAATTTCCGAAATGCTCAGGCCCAGTGCCTGTGAAGTCGAATACTGCATCGCCCGTATCTTGGTCGATCGTGATCTTTAATGCAAGAGGCGTCCCATCATCGATGTAATCAATAGCTTCCAGAGGTTGTCCTTCAAACCGCTGCGCGATGATCTTGAGCAACCCACGCGTAGACTGGCTGGCATTCTCCTGGATTGCTTCCATATAGTACTGAACTACTGGCCAAGTGTATTCCTTGATCAAGGACCGAATCAAATGAATGCCCTTATTGTTTGATGCGATCGCGGCTTTAAGATCGGCAATATTGTCGCGCAGTGTGCGAGTGCCACTCGAACCCGGATATGAAGCTGGGATATCAACCAGGACCTCGAGAAGGCCGGGCTCGTCAAAGACTCCTTCTTTCACAATCTTGAAAGACTCCACTGCCGCACCTTCCTGCCAAAGCTCTGTTGAATTTGGGGGCATAGAACCCGGCTGAATGCCGCCAATATCTGCATGGTGGCCTCTGTTGGCGACGAAAAATAAAATTTTTGTCGGGTTTTTCTCATCATCAAAGACGGGTGTAGTGACTGTCAGGTCTGGCAGATGTGTACCACCAGCGCTAGGGTGGTTACTGAGAATAACGTCGCCGGGTTTCAACTCTCCGGGTCCGTATCGGCGCGCTTGGTATGCGATGGCATAGCTCATAGAGCCTAGGTGCCCGGGAATGTGAGGGGCATTTGCGACGAGACTGCCATCGCCAGAGAAGACGGCACACGAATAGTCTAATCGCTCCTTGATGTTCACCGAAATTGAGGTTTTCTGCATGGTCTGGCCCATTTGCTCGGCAACACTCATGAATCGATGTCCGAACACGCTGAGCTGGACAGGATCCACCGCATCGGCGATGTTGATCTCCGGCTTTTCTATTCCAGAGATCTCAATCACCACATGTTCTGGTAAGATCACAGCTTCACTAGCAGGATCCACAACGATTGTTTGAGTTTTGTCGATGACCATCGCGGGTCCGCTGATACGAGTACCAACGGATAGATCCTTGAGTGAATAAAGCCCGATATCAATCCAGCCGGTTTGCTCGAAATAGACATTGACATTCTTCTCGGGAGCAACCGGGGTAGCAGGGGGCGAGTCTGCCAGTTTCTTCATTTCCGCGGAAGCGCTAGAAAGGGCGACATCCATACCCTTTCCAATACTCCGCACGCGAACATCATCAATCAGGATCTCCCGAGGCTGTGTGAATCCGAATTCTTGTTGATGGCGAGCGGCGAAAGCATCACCAAACTCTTCAAAGTTGGCCGGTCGGGGTATCATCAAAGCTGTGTCACTGCCCTGGTACCTCATATTCAGGAATAACTCGTGGTATATTTGCGATTTTGAAAATCCTTGAGAAACAAGTCCTGCAACACCCGCATCTTTCAATCTCTCAAACCTTTCTTGGAGTTTGGGGATATTATCAACAGTGAATGCAGCAGCTTCGGGCTCTTGGTTCTCAACCACCACATCCGCAAGAGCCATTCCATAGGCAGATAGAATACTCGAATATCTCGGGATCAGGGCTCGTCGGATACCGAGGTCTCGCGCAATCGCAACCGCATGCTGGCCACCGGCTCCACCAAAGCAGCATAGATTGTGTGCAGCGGTCTCAAATCCTCGGCCTTCACTCAATGTTCGAATGGGGCGAGTCATGGTTGCATTTGCGATTGAGAGGAAACCCACTGCAACCTCTTCTGCAGTCAGTTGAGATAGTCCATCTTTCTCTGCGTTAATGGTGGCTGCCAAGGAAGTAAACTTTTCCTTCACGATGGCCATATCTAGGGGTCGGGGGAAGTAGTCCGGGATGATTCGTCCAAGGAAGAGATTAGCATCGGTCACGGTCAAAGGACCCCCTCGCCCGTAGCATGCCGGGCCAGGGTGAGCGCCTGCGCTATGAGGGCCGACTTTGAACAGGCCATTCTCCCAGAAGAGCATTGATCCACCCCCTGCAGCGACGGTGTTGATATCCAGCTGTGGTGTCTGGATGGTGACTTGTGCAATTGTGCTTTCGAATATATGTTCCAAGGCCCCAGCATACCGAGCAACATCGGTACTTGTACCACCCACTGTGTAGTGTCAGTAGCGGTTCAAACGCAGGATAATTATCCTGGTATGTAAAGGTCAGAACTTACTGTCGAACGCTAATATCGGTGTCTTGTCTTCGGCATCATAGCACGTCCTGGACATACCAACCACACCACCAGCTGGTCCACTGAGCACTCCGCGCAAACCAGAAAAGTTTGCGATAGATGTAAGTCCTCCATCAGACTGGTTGACAAACACCTTCTTGGCATGTTCATCTCTGAGTTCACCTTGGAACCCCTTTCGGAATCCGTCCAAGTACTTTTGAGTCACTGGTGAAAGATATGCATCCGCAACGGCCGATTGACTGCGTGGTATCAACTTTGCCATTGTTTGCAGCTCTGAAGAAACGGCCACTTTGAACCCAATCTCCCGAGCCACGGCAGCTACAGCAAGCTCGTGCTTTTGGAAGGTATATGAGTGCATCAGGGCCACAGCTACAGAGCGATAGCCCTGGTTCCAAAGCACGTAGAGGTCACTCCGAACAGCGTCCAGATCTGGCGTCTTTAATACCCGAACCGCTTCTCCTGTTAACCCAATGTACAAATCTGAATCATTGGCATCAATGGGCTTAGGATCTGGGTCTTCTGAAAAACCTTCGATGGTGACTCGCTCATCGACTTCCACAACCGTCTCGTAGAGTTGGGCAAGACGTTGAACTGATAGATCGAAAATGTTGGGACGAGCCTGGTTGCCGATTTTAAGTAGGTCGCGGAAGCCCTTCGTAATCACCAAAGCGACTTGCTCGCCTTTTCGCTCAAGCAGGGCATTTGTAGCAACCGTGGTGCCCATCCGGATGGACTCAACGGGAGTCAGATCCAGAGGGGTCCCTCGAGGCACTGGAGAGCCACTTGCAATTTCCAGAATCTGTCGAATACATTCTGTGGGTGCGTCATCGTATTCCTCGGGAGATTCGGATAGGACTTTGAATATAATATCGGAGGCATGTCCTGGGATTTGGGCCCAGGCGTCGGTAAAAGTACCGCCTCGATCGATCGCAATCCGGATCCCAGCTTTTGTCATCTTGTGTTCGTGTTATGAGAATTTAAAAGTCAGTAGTTCCAACAGCAGTTACGTGATGAACAACCGCTGTTTATAATGGCCGGTCATTGACCAAGGGACCCGAAGATTGCGACTACTCCGCATTTCCAATATCGGAACAAAAGCCGCCAGCCCGTGGCTTGCACTGCAAAAGCCCGTCAAGTGTACTGTACAATCGTGGATCCACTCGGCTAGCGGGGGTGAGGGCCGGGATAGCCAGGATCGTCGACCGGCAAGTCCAGCATGAAGCCGACCCCGCGCAGATATGTGATAACGCCGATAAACTGTCATGCAGGCATATCAGTATGTAAAGATAAACATGCTGTACCTTATCTACTAGTGTGTGTAAAACAAAGAAATTATACCTTCTTTGCCGGACTCGAGTGTGAATTATGGCGGAAATCCCGACCATCTTGCTGGTCGAATCTACCGTCCAGCAAATCGACCATGTTCGACGCCAGACTCTCTCCGAAAAAGTGTCAATTCTAAGATATGACTGTGCTTCCGTCGAGGACTTCATCGCTCGCCTTCAACCTGGCGGTCTATATAGCAACATCTGCGCCATTGTCCGCACCGGTTGGCTGAAAGCAGGGCCATACGCATCCCATCGCCTATTCGCCAGCGAAGTTGTGCCACATTTCCCTTCTAGCCTAAAACTCATCTGCTGTAGCGGACACGGATATGATGCGGCAGATATCGACGCGTTAACCAACCGGGGAATCTGGTTCTGTAACACGCCAAATGCATGTACCGAGGCCGTCGCGAACACTGGACTCATGTTGGTGCTCGAGACATTCCGCTATCTGAGCTTCGCACAGTGGTGTGCAAGATACGATTGGCAGAAGAGTCGAGAGCTGGGCTTGAAGGCAGTCGATCCGGCCGGGATGGTGTTGGGTGTGGTCGGCCTGGGTGACATTGGGCTTGCGATTGCCGAAAAGTGCCAAAATGCACTGGGGATGAAAATTGCATATCACGGCCCGAAAAGGAAAGAGGAGGCAGAAGCGAGGCTGGGAGGTGCGCAGTACTATGCCGATCTGACAGGCATGATTTCAGCCGTTGATTGCATTGTTATTGCTGCACCTTACACCCAGAGTACGCACCATCTCCTGTCGCATAAACAGTTTCAGTTGGCCAAAGGCACCGGTCTCCGAGTGGTGAATATTGCTCGTGGCAAAATGATCGACGAGGATGCCTTGATATTGGCTCTCGAGGCGGGAAAAGTGGTTGGCGTAGGACTTGATGTGCACGAAAATGAACCAGTGGTTCACGAGAAACTGAGAGAGAACTGGATGGTGACTTTGCTGCCTCATATCGGAGTTTGTTCCAAGACGAGTTGGGCCAATTTTGAAAGACAAACCTGGGACAATCTAGAATCGTTCCTGCGGACTGGAAAGCCCGCATGCCCTGTGAACATGATTAAAGAACCCTCTATGTTACAAGTCAATTCGCCCAACTCATTTTGAACCATCTCCATTGATCAAATTATGATACTACACTTTTTTTCCAAACATGTACAGGCCTCGCAAACCCTTCCTCGTCCCTCTCAACTTGCAGTATCCTCTCAAATCCCAGCGCTTTCAACTCATCCTCGAACGGTGGCCTGATCTGGATGGTCTTATACGTCTCTCTCAATTCTTTATTCCTCTTTGAGGCCCTCGCATAATTACTCATAGGCTGCGGCTCCACGACGAGATAACCCCCCTCATTCAGTATGCTTTGTATATGCGCAAATAGCTTTAATATCCCGGAGTCCCCGTTGTTGAGATGTATCCACTTGGTCACGGAGAGTAGTAAGACGACGTCAAACTTGCCTAGTGCGGTACCTGTATACGCGGGCGTATTCACGAAGTCAAAGTGCTCAAATGTACATGGCCCTTCCGGGTACGCCGCCTTCGCCTGCTCGACTAGCCACGGGTCGATATCGACGCCAACTGATGCGGCCGCGCCGCAGTGCGCTATCGCCTCATAGGTCAGTTTACCCGCATTGCAGCCTAGGTCAATGACTCGAGCGTTGCGGAGGATGTCTGGTGGGAGAATGGAAAGGCGCTCATCCGGAACGGTGGGCGCGCGGAACTTGGCGTAATATTGGTGGTAGTTGCCGTGGCGCGCAGCGAGGTGCGTAGCTTTGAAGCGCTCTGCATTGGAGAGCTCTGTTGCAGGGGGAAGGTTATGGCATGCTTCTGCCATGTTTGGAGATAGTGCGAGCAGAGAGGTAAGGAGGAGATTTTATGAAAAAGACCTGCCGGAGAAAATCAAGGGCGGTCTCAGTAGGTTGGTTCCGCTTAACGGAACCCACTAGCGGGGAGACTTCTATCCCCACTCCCTTCAATGAATATTCCATCCAACCAGTAGAGCCTGAATTCTCTATTAGAGAGTTCCACCGAGGATCATGTCCTGAGGTTGTTCCTCAACCAGCCGAGTTCCCTCGGGAGACACAAGAGTGGTCCAACAGAGGATTTCGGCACCGGGGACAGGGGGCTGAGTTTCCGTTTGGCAAGGGGCACGTGTTGGTGATGATATTGAGTCGAAAGAATGTGACTAACGTTAGCTTTTAGCACATCAGGTAGGCAATATATCAGTATTTAAAGGTCTTGATCATATATTTACAAAAGAGTCTCACAATTATTACGACTTTTCGTATCCTAAGACCATCTAAACGAGCAAAATAAGGAAAATACCGCCAACCACCTTTAACCACTCGGAACGAAGAACCAACGCAGAACCAGTGTACGCGACACTAGGTGCGGCAGTAACATCGCTATTTATCTGAGTGGATGTCGCTGAGGTAGTAGCAGAGCTCTTCAAGGAAGTAAGAGTGCTGCTGCTAGCGGTTGTTGGAATGAGAGCGGAGAAGGAGTGTGTAGAGCCGTTAACTCCATTATGGATGGCCGCGCTTGCGGTCTGTAAAGCAGAAACGGAGTTACCAGCTGCTTCGGCGGACTGGGACTCTGTAGCCTGGGCCGAAACATCAACATCAACATCAACAGGTGATCCTGACGTCGAAACTGTAGGCGCAGCGGAAGTGGATCCTGCAACTTCGAACGAAGTGGAATCAGCATAGACAAATGTCGACTTTGAAGCAGACACTGTCGGTTCGATCAGAATAGTGGTTCCGGTTTCTGTAGGTTTGCTGCTTCCATTTCCAACGAGCACAAGTGAAAGAGTCGTAGTCGAAACATCGAAGTCGTTCGCAGCCGAAGACTCCTTAGCAGAGGAAACTGGGTACGTAGTGATTCCTGCAACGAGAGTCTCGGCGGTGGTGTATGTCTGTTTCTGAGAAGCAGGGCAGTCTGTCACCGTAGAGGGGCAAGCGGTGATGGTCTTGGTCACCGTAGTCAAAAGAGTTTCTGTGGTCATATCTCCCGCAACGGGGTTGGTTCCTGCTCCCACAGAAAGAACGGCGGTGGTGGCAGTGGCAGTGACAGTGGCAGTGACAGGACAGATGGTAGTGGATACAAGGATAGTTTCCGTTGTCACAGAAGTAGTCTTGGAGGAAGCGGGACAATCATGGACACTGACAGGGCAGGCTGTAATTGTGGCTGTCCGAGTACTGAACACACTCGATGTCGTGTACGCGATATCTCCAGCGCCCGTGCTTCCTGTTATTTGGGGGGCGGCGGCGGTAGTGGCTTCTACGGCAGTGACTGGGCAGATGGTAGTTGAAACCACAATGGTTTCGGTTGTGATGTAGGTAGACTTGGCGGAAGCGGGACAATCATGGACACTGGAGGGACAAGCTGTGATTGTTGCGGTCCGGGTGCTAAAAACAGTAGATATCGTGAAACCAAGGTTTGAAGCGCTTCCTTCATTTCCAGGCAGTGGCTCAGCTGTTACAGTTGGTAGCAGGCTGAGTTGTGTCTCAATGACCGTCATGGTACCGATCGTCAAGGGGGAGGTCTTTGTCCCTGCCATCGAGTTGGCTGAGGTTTGAATCGTGGCAACAGTGGTGGTGGTGGTGGCTCCGGGTGCGGCGGGCATAGGGACAAGGCTTGAGGAACCATCAATGTCGACTGTGCTTATAACGCTGATGGATGCAACAGATGTGGTCTGGGCCGATGGAGCGACGTGGATCGAAGAAGCATCGTTGCTTGCGCTTGGCCGAGGCACGGGCAAATTAACGGGTGCCGTTGATTGGGGGGCTGCGGTAGCCGGTGATGAAGGAATGACTATTTGGGAGATTGGAATTCCCGAGTTCGAAGGTAAAGATTGTCCTATGGAGTTAGGATTTCCGCTTGACAGGCTGGGAACCGACAAAGGCAGAACAGTCGATGATTGCTTCGGTGGTGAAGCCGAGGGTGACGTATGGGAAATTGGAATCCTCGAACTAGAAGGCAATGGTCGCCTTGTGGGGGTTGCGGAGGAGAAACTAGGCGACAGATTTGATTGAGTCGGCACTTCCACCGATGAGGATTGTAGTTTTGTCGAAGATACGACACTTGAAGGCGATACAATAGACGAGGAGATCACTGCAGGTGCGCTGGTAGGAGTGTTGGAAGGAGTGTTGGAAGGAGTGCTAGATGGAGTACTCGAAGTGGGTATATAGGATGCAACGACAGGGTTAGTAGAAGTCTTTGGTGACTCGGTTTGAGTAGAACTCGACACAACAATCACAGACGACGACGACGTGCTCGCAGCAGGTATGCTGGAAGGCGTTTGAGAGACGACCACAGCTGACGAGACCACGACGGAGCTAGTAGCCACGGCCGATGATATACTGACAGGAGTCGAAGTAGAGGCAATAGTGACCGTCGAGGTATAAGTAGATGTAGTGCAAGTCTCGATTTCGACATTATCGTTGCTAAATTGAACATTGTCAAAGTAGACTTGAGGCATAGCCTGAGGGACGCGAGAATTTCCGCTACAAATCACAAAAAGCATCAAGTCGAGGCTTGTGCTGGTAGGTGCGTATGTCGTCGACAGGGTCCTCCACGATGAAGAAGCTGGGGTTGCTGAAGATCCCGAGTACGCAACATATCCCATGGGAGTTGTGGTGATGCGACTCGTGCCGAAAACGCCGTTGACCGCAAAATAGAAATTGCAGGTTCCGGAGTTAGCAGCAGAAGCAATTTTATAGTCAAAGGACAGTGCGTATGTTTGTCCTACGGTGAGGTCGGTCAAGCTCTGGTAGAGCGAGCCCCATCCTGAAGTGGCCGGTGTCAATGCTCTATTTGTTCCAAATTTGAGTCAGTAAAGATATACAACCTCATAATAATTGAATTTATATGCAGGAGATGCTCACGCAACATAGCCCCCGTCATCAGAAGTGTCTGCCACAATAGTTGAAGTGCCCTCGCTTTCATAGACAGCCCAAGGAGAGAGGGACCCGAGCTCGAAAGATGGGTTTTGAGCAACATTATGACTCCACGAACATGTCACATCGGTTCCTGTGATCACCTCAGTCTCTGCAGCTACATTCAATGGCAGAAGCAGCAGCAATAAGGAGATAGGGTGAGTCGACTTCATCGTCCAAACACCAGACCCGGACGGGGTCGCTGAAACAAAATAAACGAGTGTGGTGGTGAATTAACAACAGGAAAAGCAGCAGACGTTCAATTGATATTAAACATGATATTTCTGCAGCATCTCATGACGCAAGTTCTCGTGTTGAGGCAAAAATCAAGATGTTATCATCCGACATTCAGCAATAATTCGCGATGAATCCACCCAATGCCCCACTGAGGCTGGAAAAGAGACCAATGCCGATGCGCTCGCCGACAAAAAAATGGTATCTGGTGAGTTTAACCGACGGTAGAAGCTTAGCTAGGTACCTGTGTATATTCGGAGCTTTTTCGGAGGAAATCAGGGGTAACAGTGATTCAGCACATTCTATTCATAGATATTTCAATGTATCGACGTGGAAATTTACTATTTTACTATTGACAGCCAATTCAACTGTTTAATTGTCTATTTACCTGTATTTGGCGACTCGTCCGCAATAGGGAAATAATATACGGAGTACACTATCGCGCAATATTGAAATCTTTGAGTCATGGATCTACGGGAAGATCAAGAAGGGCAGACTTTCTGTATTCTAAGAAGAAAGAATAAACTGGCCATCCATAACCTTTCCCATTGCATCGGGGATAAAGATAGTACAATGGGTAAGAACCATGATTTATATCCTCCATGGTGTCTATACGTACTTTTATGGGAATGTATGTTAGAAGTTTAGAAAATTGAGTTGTTTAAGGCTTTAATTTAGTGTATGTCCTGTGCCCTTCGTGGACTCCGTATGTAAGATAGTTTTCATCTTCAATACTGCGCGGTAATAGCTATCTCTCTGATATCGTCCTCAATTTCCCGAGCCCCAATCATGATCCCTGCTTGTCTAGGGACATGAAGACCTGTGTCTCGTACCACAAAGCTCCAAAAACACTGCTTTCTTACTTCATATTGCCAGACCCAACCGGACGACACCATGCATGCAAGTGCCTATTAGGATAGTAAGCCGCAATGCACTCCCGCCATTGCATATCCTCTTCCGTCGTGCCATCAATAGTCAAGTCAAAGTGGCGAATCATAGTCGCGAAAGCGATATACATCTCCGCCCAGGCCAAGTTCATACCGAAGCACATGCGTGGCCCTCGACTGAACGCTACCAGCCAATGATCCAATTCACTCTTCCCATTCTGGGCATTTGCTTGCTCCGCGCTCTCCAGCCACCGTTCAGGTCGGAACACAAGCGCATCTTTACCCCATACTTCGGCGCTCTGGTGCACGTGTAAAATTGCCATGCCTACCACTGTCCCGCCGGGAATCTGCTGCCCTGCTATCACGGCGCCTCCTGGTGGCACGACTCGAGTCAGCGATACGCCGGACGGGATAAAGCGGAGGGATTCTTTGATTGTTGCTGTGAGGAGGGGTAGGGTTTCGAGATCTGTCAGAGACGGCTGTTTTTCGACGTCGGGCCAGACAGTGAGGAGCTCGGCTCTCAGTTGAGTTAGCAAGGTCTGGTTCTGCATTGCGTGCCAGTGGCCCATGAGTAGCGTGTCGGCTACTGTGTTGGCGCCCGCGAAGATGAGTGTGAAGCCTTCGTCGTGTAGCTCTGTCAGATTCAGGACCTCCTTGCTCCGGTATGATTCCGGGTCAAGCATGCGGTGGAAGAGGGTCTCGTGAGGCACGTTCTCGAGCTTTGAAGGGCAGTCTAAGACGACATGAAGCTGTTTCTGGACAAGATCACGGACTTGGTATAGTCGTGGTGCTAGTTTCTGGGCGTTGGGGACAAAGCGCATAATCAGGGCTGGTGGCACAGCGAAGATAAGGTCTCGGATTATAGGGAAGTTCTTCAGGAGGGGCAGCATACGAAGACTGGCGTCCATGGCTAGAATCAGAGGGTCGCTAAATGCCGGCGCATCGAGGGCGTTTATGCAGTTTCCGAATGTGAAGCACATTATGGTATCGAGAGTGTAGGATCGGAATGCATAGAGTAGGTCGACGGAGCTTTTTGATGCATTGGTTTTGGCGATGGAAGTTGCAAGGTGATTTGCCTGGGAATCGATGATTTAGCGATAGTTAAGAGATTATATAGGTCGGCAGCAAAAGGAAATAAAGCAATACACTACTCACATTTCGCCAAACGAGATGCTCAAGACTATTAATAGCTTTCTTGGAGAAAATAGGAAGAATAACCTCCCGTCGTTCTTTTGCCTGAGCATACTTTAAGAATGTGAATGACCCGGATGAAACGCCGGGGGTTCGGTAAAGACCCGTATCCTTGTCCCACCTTTTGCTGCTATGATAGATATCGTGGAACGCACCTGGGCTTCCGAAATGGAGCTGTGATAGGTGAGTGTTAGACCTGTTTGAGCTCTATAACCCAGAGAGGGAAGTGTAGACTGCTGGGATTATGGCAACTTACCTCGTTCGGAGAAACGCGGACAATATCACCTATTAGGTATGTTAAAGAAAATGCCTCAGAGTCCCAATTTCATCGTACCATATTTCTTATGGAGATGAAACAGCTCATGAACCGCCGACTCTTGCTTGATAACTTCCTTGTATGCTTTCCAACTCGACGTAGCCCCAGCCATCCAAGGCCCAGGGAAGTTCCGCAGTGGGTGGAAGAAGACATTGTATACAACTCGGCCCAAGCCATAAAGACTAGCAGCTGCCAAGAAAAATAAGCAGAATAGTGTAGTCGCCATCGTGTTATACTGAGACTTTTTTTTCTATGCTAGCAAAGCCAAATGATGGCAAAGGAGGACTTTGAATATATACTTCGAACAAAACATAAGAAACTCCGAGCTCGAATGAAAATCCCCCCGGCTGACCGTTTTGCCAAAAGCATCGTCATGACTCCAAGAGGTCTAAACTGGGACTTAATAATCTCATGATTAGCCAAGCAATAATGAAGCGTTCCTTTATGCTGTAAATACAGCCATAGACATGATGGCAAGTGTTACTGCATATGTATCGTTGTCTCATGCCTCTGAGTGGGGAAGCTGCATAGCTTCTTTATGTTGCAATCTGTCCCAGTTTATTCGCAAAAGCATCGGCGAGCACTCTGCATGTCCTTTCATCTTGGGTCCTCTTTGTTGGGCATATCTACCGCATTGCAACGAAGGACTCTAATTTGTACATTTCCTCATTATCTTACCCAAAGAACACCCCACTCAGTTCTGTGCGTTGACTTGCACAAAAGTACGCCAGTGCAACCCCGCGCTCACCAATACAAACTCTAAACATTTCTGCGATGGAAAACCGCACTAGATTTACCTAGGCATAACTAGCATCAAGCAGTTTATGAGCATGCATAAGCTAAACTTGTCCGTATTGTGTATTGCTGTTGGGCCTTATATGCCTTATGCCAATTAACCAATGCATACGAAATGAGGACTTCGGAAGATAAGAAACTCAAGCGACGACACTATTGGTAGAACTCGCTTCTCTCTATGAGTCTCTCGATCATCCTATCCTTTGAGGGGGATTCCCAGAACATCGTTTGGTGGCTATTGGCGGGCCGATGTCCAATGTGATCAACCATCACGGTATAGGCATTGTGCGAAATCGAAGCGGATTCGGGATTCATGGCGTCCCTGCTGACCACGACCAGCGCCATTCAAATCAATCTTTTAAGGTTAACAACGGTCCTATTCTTGATAATGTTAGACCTGGCTGGTAGAGGACATTCCTTGAGGGGTCCTTGGGTGGAATAGAAGCCCTAAAACGAAAACCTATTTCATTCTCAATAGAATACAAACTAGGTGATAACTTAAGTGGCATAACAGCCCTAATCTGGACATATAAATTTAGAATATCTTCCGCCTTTGCTTGAAGCTTTCCAAGGTTGCTTGCCGTTTTCGGCAAAGGAATACGTCTACACTACACCCCCCACTCGTAATGGAGATAATATATATCCACGTTACATCGTGAAAAATGGCTAGTATAGTCATTCATATATATTCACCCTCCGATATTACATCCCGTGGCTTGCATAGAACAGAATCCTAGAAGGAGACCCGCCCATACGCCGAGTGTTTTCACGCCTGAGCGCTCGTATAATCTGCCCGAGGTACATCTCTTAGTGTGGAATCCTCTCTTTCTCCTTACGCTATCTCTGCTAGCCTGACATTGGATGTGTTGTCTCAAGTTCAGAGGATGCCCGTTTACATTGGTATCATCGGCACACTAGTGCTAGTATACTTCTCGGCCTTTGCATACCGGCTATTAAACAATATCAACGCTGCAAGAAGTATCGGCCTGCCATTTCTGATCTACCCAGTAAATCAAAACAATATCATCTGGGTATTAACATCTGTCCCTTTGCGCCCATGGTTGCGACGTATTCTCCCCACGCGGATCTACAACCGTCTCACGCTGGTGATATATGGCTGGGAATTCCATGAGAAACGTCGTCCGTTCGATGAATATGCAGCCCCACAAGGCGACGACAGGTCATTCTTCCTTGCTACTTGCGGAACCCTAGAACTTTGGACTGCTGATCCAGTCGTCGCTTCGGAGGTTCTGCAACGTACGGGTGATTTCAAGGTTCCTACCATCACCGGTCTGCTTCTCGCCCAGTTTGGACACAATGTGTTCACCACAAATGGCACGAGATGGGCGAAGCAGCGCAAGGTTGTTGCGAGCGTTATCAACGAGCGCATCTCTAAGACTGTCTTTGATGCGACCGTATGTCAAACCACTGGTATGCTGGATGAGCTTATTCTCGCTGCTTCCGAGAAGAGGGGAAGCTCTGCCGAGTCAAATGAGTTATTTGATATGATCAAGCGTGTTACGATTCATGTGCTGAGCGAGGCTGGGATGGGCGCAAAGGTTCCATGGAGGAGTCAAGATGGCGAGAAACCTATGCTAGGGTTTAAAACGACATATATTGAAGCCTCCAAAGTGGTAATGGGCGCTGTCGCTGGGCCGATAGTTATCCCAACCAATATTCTTTTGAACTGGCCATCCTGGTTACCGGGGTATCAGTGGTTGAAGCAGCTAGGCATTAGCAAGCGCGAGTTCTCGATGCATACCAAAAGCTTACTTGATAAAGAGCGTCACCGTACTTTCAAGAAAAAGACAGCTCTAGGAAGAGGTAACATCATGAGCCAACTGCTCCAAGCATCAGCCGAACAAGGAAATACGGATGACAGCCTCAGCGAAGAAGAGTTAAACGGCAACCTCTTCCTATTCACAGCAGCGGGATTCGAAACAACAGCAAACACCATCTCCTACGCGATAATGCTACTTATCAGATATCCCAAATGGCAAGAGTGGCTCTTCGAAGAGGTCGACAGCCTAATACCCACAGACGCGTCAGAAACTCTACAGTATACCTCCATCCTTCCGCGGGTGACGCGCATCATGGCCGTTATGCTTGAGACACTACGACTATACTCACCTATTATCCGCATCCTCAGGACAAATGATGCACCACAAGCGTTAAAGACATCCAAGGGTATCATTCACCTCCCAGCCAACTCTACGGTGACTATCAACATCATTGCACTGCACCTTGATCCAGAAGTGTGGCCCGACATCAACCGGTGCTCGGATCCATCATGGGTCGCAGATGATCAAAGACTCTCGGACGAATCCACATTCCGGCCTTCTCGCTGGATCAATCCTGACACGTCTCCAAGGCGGTTATACCAACCGCCTAAAGGGTATTTTCTTGCGTGGAGTCATGGCCCACGTGTTTGTCCGGGGCAGAAGATGGCACAGGTTGAGTTTGTGGCGGTTATGCTCAAGCTCCTGCAGCATCATCGTATAGATGCTGTGCCGCTTGCTGGGGAGCAGCGGGAGGATGTTGAGCGGAGGCTGGATACGGTAATGAGTGGGTGTATTCCCAAAATGACATTAGTCATGGAGGGGATATATGATGCTAGCAAGACTGGAGGTGTTCCGGTGCGATTAACTAGGCGGAAATAAAAGTAGACGGTTGCATTTGTGAGAGTAACAAATATGTATTGCAAGAAAAAGAAGAATAAGAATAAGAAGAAGAAGCCATTACTGAATATTTCTCCTCTTTGGAGGACTTGACTCCGAATGGTCCTAGGAGCTGAGTCTGAAAGCATCCACAACGATCTGCCTTTAGTCAAATACCAAGTCTCTATTCAGCATGGCTACAAATCAAGGATATCTCCGTCGGAAATTTTAGGGGGATATTCCGATGGGAATTTGCTCAACACCGATAAGTTGACTATGGCACGTTGAGGAGAGTACAACATATCTACTTGGAATGCAGAACGTAGGGGTTTGCAGATCGCATCTAACTCCTTAAACTTTAAATCGGAGCAGGGCGACGAGTAATAATATTTTCCAATTTAGATAAATCGAGTCTCGCCTACAAGCTTCTGTACGATATCTGATTTCATATCGATCTCTATACAAAATGTGGGATTACTACAATGACAAAACTATCTTCATCACAGGGGGAACTGGCTTCCTGGGAACTGCTATTGTATATCGCTTGCTCACGCAAACATCCGTGGGTCACGTATACATGCTATGCAGAGGGGGTATAGGGTCAGTTCAGCCCCAGACACAAACCTTGCAGAGAAATATAATTGACAACTCGAAATATAGAAAACTTCAATCAAAATGGACAGCATCACTATCATCGGCAACAGTCGAAACCCTCCTCAGCACCAATCGAATCACAGTCATGGATGGTGACATCCTCTCACCCGACCTCGGACTTCCCCAGAATGAATTAAGCACACTTCGACGAGAAGTCAATGTTATAATTCACTCGGCATCCTCTATCAATCTTGCTAAATCCCTCGACGAACTATCAGAAGTGATTACAGGCGCTAGTGAAAGGATGACAGATATTGCTCTGACCTGCCCGAGTTTGGATCGCTTTGTTTATGTCTCAACTGCATATTCCAATGGCCACCTACCATCTACGGGCGAAGGCATTGAAGTCGAGATCAAGGAAGATATCTACGATCCCAATCCCAAAGATCGTTCAAGTGTCATGAAAGAGTGGATACAGGTGCAGGAGACTGGTTCTAGTGATGCGTATGAAGCCCACGACTTCCCATGGCCCTATGCATATGCAAAGAACCTCACAGAGCGACTTCTTCTCCATCGGTTCACTCAAAGCGGTGCTCAGGACAAACTTCTCATTTTGCGCCCTTCTATCATAGGACCAGCACAAAACTTTCCAGTTCCTGGGTACAACGTCCCACTGTCGAGCCCATCGACACTAATCGCTGCTGTGCTCGCATTGATCCCCGGTGGTATGGCTCTGGTTGCAACGAGAGCAGTAGGACAAAGTTCCCAAATTTCTATTGATGAGGTTCCAGTCGACGTGGTTGCTGATCGTTTGCTCGCCCATTTAGCTGTGGGGACCAACGGTTGTGTTCATGCAGTCAGTGGCAAGCGAGGACGACATCAATTCATCAATTGGTGGGATTCAGCGGTTTCGCTGCGTCGCTTACCGAGGAATATTGATTTGTATTGGAAGGACCTGGACTGGAAGTCTGATGAGCAACATTGGTTGGCTCAGTTCTATGTAATCCTTGGGTCTTCTTTCGAATTTTATGAGGATAAGACTGTCGCTCTTAGCCAGAATCCTTTGATCGAAAGTTGCAAAGAGCTGCAACTATTCAATAAGGTCAATTTCGGAGAGCAGCTGCGAAGTCGAACGGAAGACATCTACTTCGTGATGAACCATATTGCTCAGAGTGATGAGAGGGCACGAAGAGTCATCAAACGATACTATCAGGATTCCGTTAAAGCGAAAATTTAGTATACTAGCTTTGTCGAAATCAAAATCGAAAATCGAAAAAAAAAACTGTGTTCATTTTCTGTACTGACTGACGATTGGGTAAAATGTAATTCTATGGCTATGCGTGATTTCAGTTTGCAAGCCTCCAGGGCTTCCCAGTCCGCCATAATTATTCGGCGCCAGCGCCAATTTTGGCTTTTTTTAATAGTTTCATTATACATCTTCGAATTCTTCATCGTCCTCATCAGATTCCTCGGCCTCCTTCTTGACCTCGACCTCAATCTTGGCATCAGGGTCAGGCTTGATCTCAGGCTCGACCTTGATCTTCTTTGCCGCAGGTCCATCGTCAGCAGGGGTAGACGGAGTCCCAGCAGATGATGGAGGGACGCTGGAGGCCGGTTCGAGTTCACGCTTGATGCCAGCGCCCCCAGAATATGTAGTAGGGACACTGGTGACTCCGCCAGCCATCGCGGGTGTACCTGGTCCGCTTGGGCCGGAGATTCCCTCGACGTCCTCAAAGTCTTCCTCGTCTGAGTCATCGTCTGCACTGCTGGCATCTGCTTGAGCCTGCAGTGCCTTCTCCCGCTCCATTTCGGCGTAGTAAGCGGCGACTTTGTCGTCCAAGGCATCCACGCTGGGTTTTTGGTCCTCATCCGCAAGCTCAGGCTTCACCAAGGTACCCACCTCGGTCTTGATCTGAGCACTTCCAGCCTGGGCTGCATTGACTGTAGAATGTGTGTGCCAAACTGGGAGCGCGTTTTGCTTTTCGAGTGCTGCTTTACGAGCGGCCTCATCAGCCTGCTCGGCAGCACTCTTCTCTTCACTTGAGGTGAGAGAGATCTCCAGTGCAGCGGCATCCGTCTTGGCGTTGGGACGTGTAATATCCTGGGCTTTGGGTGGAACAGCAATCGCGGCACGGACTGGGTGTGTGTTCTGGTTTCGGATGACCTCCACCTTGTGATCCCACGCGGTTTCAAAGTCATTCGGCGGGATTTCGACCGAGTCAATCTGCTTGAGCAGTTTGAGCATGTTGTCTAGCTGTGCCATGAGCTTACTGTTTTTCTCGTGACCCGTACGGTCCATTCCTTCCGCGCCCTTGACATCCTCCGTCCGTTCCAGGATGGCGCCGCAATTTTGACATTCGAATCCTTCATCTCCAACTAAACTCAGTACATCCAGTTCGGTCCACTCAGATTTGCATCGGACACAAATGTATTCCTTGCGCTCCTCACTAGGGGTATATTGCGCTTTGATGATGGCTGTCAACTTCGAGACTTTAAATTTGATCGCATCGACGACCGGGTGTAGGGGGATGTAATAGTATTCGCGGTTGACTGGGCGAGTAGACCCATCACGGATCTCGGCGCGTGTGCTCCTATATTCAACATGGACTAGATCAGCTTTGTGTTTTCCACCCTGAGTTCAAGGTCACATCAGGGAGGAGTGACATACACTCCGATCAAGCGATCCTCTCGAAGCTTGGCGCAAAGCTTGCGAAGATCTTTCTGTTGCATTCCCATCAAAAAGGCTAGATCCTCAGCGTGAAGACTGTAGCTGGTCAGCAAAGTGACCATTCAACAGAGATCAACTCTCATCATACACTGAATGTAGGAAGAGCGCATCGACAACTAAGATGTGACGGGTCTCATAAAAGGCACGCGCCACAGTTCGGATAAGCGTCTTTGAAAGATCCATGGTTGCAGAAGCTCCGGAGCAAAAGATGGTAGTCGAGAAGGAGGCCGGGAGAGAATTCAACTGGAGCGCAAGGCGAGAAGTCGCAGGGTTCAGATATTGGACAAGACAAGCATGCTTTGATCAAAAGCAGCGAAAGGAGTGAGGGGTTCCACGACAGAAGTGAGAGTTGCGCTTAAGCGACAGGCAGCGCTGAGCTAGTGAGCGAACAATGATCGTTGCAGGTCCGGTTCAAAGCCCGGAGCTTCACGTCACATGCGAAGTTGATTCCTCAGGCGTAAATGTGACTATATACGGCTAGTCTGGTTTATCCACCCACTAGGCCATTCTAGGACTAGTACAGAGATCATGGAAAAGATGAACCGCGCGGAGTGGAAGGGCAAATTTCCCCGAAACATTGATTTCATGCGTGCCTCGATCATTCACCAGCGGAACCTTTTTGGGATCCTATCTGCATCGAGAAGCTCAATTCTAATTCGATCGCTCCCCCAAACCACCCAGAACCACACTGTTAGTCGGCAATTTTACCGATCTTTCTGGCGCGACCCTTCTGCACCTCATACGGACCTATCAGAGGTCTTCCAACGGATACAATGGCCGACAACAAAGGAGCAAGAGGTGGAGGTGGTGAAAGGCGTAAGAACCGCGATATGGGGCGAGCGGAATGGAGGTATGGCGCATCCATTGTAACCTCCCGTTCTTCGTCGGCTAACTAATTAAGTCGCCAAGCGATAGACAAGCGTCAACGTCATGAAGACAAGACCGAGGCCAAGCGTCGCAAGATCGAGAACGGCGAAGAGCTCAACTTGCCCATCTACGCGACCCAATTCTCCAATGAGGAGATCGACAGCGAAGAGCGCCGCCCCAAAAAGAAGGTTGCCCTTCTGATGGGATACTCGGGCACTGGATACTATGGAATGCAGTTGTAAGTTTCTTCTTGTTCGGTGTATAGCCATTCCCGGACTAATAAGCTATGGTATAGGAACGAGCAGCAACGCACCATCGAAGGTGATCTATTCACTGCCCTCGTCAATGTCGGCGCAGTTTCTAAAGCGAATGCGGCGGATCCCAAGAAATCTTCTTTCGTCCGTTGTGCCCGTACAGATAAGGGTGTCCACGCAGCTGGCAATGTCGTGTCGCTGAAGATGATCGTCGAAGATGAGGATATCATTCAGAAGATCAACGCCGAGCTCAGTCCCCAAATCCGTGTCTGGGGCTACGAAGTGACCAGCAAGAGTTTCAGCTGCTATCAAATGTGCGATTCTCGAATTTACGAATACTTGATGCCAAGTCACTGTCTTCTCCCCGCTCACCCAAGCACCTATCTTGGAAAGAAAATCGTCGAGTTTGCCGACAAGGCAGGCGAGTTGGATGCCGTCAGAGCTAGACAGGAAGAGGTCGCAGGCTATTGGGAAGATGTTGATGAGAAATACATCAAGCCGATCTTGGAAGCCCTGCCGGAAAACGTCCGCACCATCGTCGAAAAATCTCTCTACGAGGACGAGTCCCGCGATGCACTCCAACCCTCAGAAGAGAAGGAGGTAGTCACCTCGGTGCCAGCTGACGAACCTGCCCAGCAGGAGACCGGTGAACAGCCTGTGACCGAGCAACCAGCTGACGCAGAGGCCCCGAAGCCCTTCGTCATGGACCCCCGCCAAAAGGCCATCATCAACGCTATCAAGTCCATCAAAGCAGCATACCTAACCGCGAAACGCACCTACCGCGCGCCCGCTTCACGTATCGCTCGCCTGCAAGAATGTCTCGACCGCTACGAAGGCACAAAGAACTTCCACAACTACACAGTCCAAAAAACGTACAAAGACCCCTCCGCGAAACGACACATCAAGTCATTCAAGGTGAACACCACGCCAATTATCATCGATGGCACAGAATGGCTCAGCTTGAAGGTCCACGGACAGAGTTTCATGATGCACCAGATCCGCAAGATGGTCGCCATGGCTACGATGGTTGTTCGCTCGGGTTGCCCTCCTGATCGGATCAATGAGACCTATGGTCCTGAGCGCATTGCTATTCCCAAAGCGCCTGGTTTGGGCCTCTTGCTTGAGCGGCCTATCTTCGACGCTTACAATACAAAGACACAAGGTCTTGACCGTCAACCGCTAAATTTCCAGAAATTCGAGGCGGAGATGAATGAGTTCAAGCAGCGGGAGATCTATGATCGGATTTTCCGGGAGGAGGAGCAAAGTGCTGGGTACGATATTCTTCCGATCAAATCCCCTTATTGGATTTCGCATTAAGACAACAATACTGACTTTGAATACAGCTTTGGTTCTTTCTTCAACCATATCGATCACTTCCCTGCGGGTTACTTCCTCTATGTTACCTCTGGTGGTATTCCCGCGGCTAAGCTCGCAACTGCACCTACCGCTGCTGACCCCAGCAGCCCCAAAGCTGGTAAAAGAACTCGCGGCGCTCCGCGGGCTCAGCAGGATGCACTTGCTGCCGTGGAAGTTGAATCGGATGAGGGCGAAGCTCCAGCTGGCGGAGAGGCAGAGGGTTAATCAAACAAGATAAATCTACGTGTTACTTCATCATTGAACGAAATGGACAATAATGCGCTACGAACTTCGTTGAATACAATCTTTTCAAAAACTGCGGTCTCGAGACCAGAAACTCTTTCATTTCAATGCTCGGAAATAGGCTTGCGAAATGCATGTAGATGACCTGTCCGTCCATAGTCACCCTTCATAGAAATAAATCCTACTCCGGCTCATCATGAGCAGAAGAAAACGCCAGTAACCATCACAATCATCGTAAGGGGAAAAAACAACAGCAAGAATTCGTAAAATCCGTGAGGTATGAGAATTTGCCTCTAATCACATGCACACATCGTGCTCGCTGAATCCATTGACATCGCAAGAACGCATGGAAAAGAAACACAACAAAAAGCACATTGTAGCGGGAAAGATCATCGTCTAAGGAGATCCCGCGACTCCCATTTCGGAATCACTTGCGATCACCGAGTTTGCGTCCCATTCCTCAACTGAGGCCACGTCTGATTCTAGGGGGGTCGGGTTAGATGATGTTCCATGGCCATTGACGAGGGATAGAGATTGAAGCATACCGGAAGGCGCGTCATCGGGCACTTCTTCGAGAGACATTGACTTAAGAAGAGAGAGGAGTTCTGGAAGGATTGTGTTAGTAGGGCTGCAAGAACCCAAAGTGTATACACTCAAGCATACCATTAGCCTGTTGAACTTCTTGCTGGTCCGTCTCCGAGTCGTCATAAAAAGTAGCCAGACAATAGTTGATCACAGGGGTAATATTCTCAAGCAGTCTGGCGTCAATATGACTGATCTGATCAGACA